GCGTCTTACGTTCTTTTCAAGATGCGAACTGGGCTCCGGAACGGATCCCGTTCGCATCCCGAGGTACCACTGTATTTATATATGCGACCACAGCTGCTCGGATGTTAATGACCCAGAAATGGAAAGAAGACAAAAGTCCCTACCAGAGAAGAATGGCAGATTAAATTGATGGATTATGCCAAAATGGCACAAATGACCAGAAGAATCAGAAATCAGGAAGACCAAAATTTTAATGAGTTAAGGAATGGGGAAATTTTATAATTTATCTTAAAAACCATTGTAAACAGGTAAAATCATCAGTAGGATTGGAATGACACTTGTAGTTTAATGTCAAATTTTGGATATAATGGAGATGTAAAAGATTTGGATTAGTATAAAAGATGCAGGAGGAAATGGTTTACAAAAAGACCCACAAAGGGGAGGAGGGAAGTTCAGGAGAGTCTTTGGAATCTTGTTTTATGTTGGTTGTTGATAATTGACTGTAAAACTTTAAACTGAAAAACTAAATAATTTTTTTAAAAAACACAACAACCACCTCCAAGGAAGGAGAGTCCACAACCTCCCGAGGGAGCCTGTTCCACTGTCAAACAGCTCTGACTCAGAAAGTTCTTCCCAATGTTTAGTCAGAATCTCCTTTCTTGTAACTTGGATCAATTGGTTCAGGTCCTAGCCTCCGGAGCAGTAGAAAACAAGACAGTGACAACCACCAACGTGGATGGATTTAAAAGAGGATTAGACAAATTCATGGGTGCAGCAATAAAACTGCTAGCACTTTTGCAAAACTAAACAGGGTCTGGTATGGTTTCAAATTGGATGGGAGACTGAACGCTGAGATTCCTGCATTGCAGCGGGTTGGACTGGATGACCCTGGGGGTCCCTTCCAAACTCTACAATTATATGATTCTATGGCAAGGCTATCAATGGCTTCTAACCATGATGGATATGTTTTACCTCCATGGTTGGAGGTATTATGCCTCTGAATGCCAGTTGCTGGGAATCAGACATGGGGAGAATGCTATTGCCCTCACGTCCTGCTTCTGGACTTCCAATGAACATCTGGTTGGCCTCTGTGGGAAGAGGATGCTGGACTAGATGGGCCTTTGTGGCCTGATCCAGCAGAGCTCTTCTAAAGATGCCAAATAAGATGTTCCCAAGCCACCACTGTCACCACCCAAAAAAAGCATATTAATAGAAGCATGGTTTCTAGGCTTACCTATAAGAGTCCCCAGCAGTTTATCAGTCTGTAATAAGCAGCTGAAACAATAGCTGTAAAAAAGGGAAAGGGCAGACAGAGAGAGAAACAACAACAGGAAAACACATTATAATGAGGACACTCATAGTTCACAGAACCTATCACAAACTGCTTTTTTAAATGCCTTCAGTCTGAAAAGAGGTTTGCTGTGAAGGAAGGGCTGGCGACTGCACTAAGAAACCAAACAGAGAGCTTCACACTGGGTGTGCAGAGCAAGCTGCAGAGACCAATTTTTTGGGCCCAGGCCATTACTGTATTTCCAGACCTAAATTATTTGCTGAAACACTAGTAGCGGTTCTAGCCTGAACTTTTCATTTTATTCCTGGTCAAAACTAAAAAATTGGCAAAAACTAAGGTGTTTCCGTGTGCTGCTCTGGTTTGCCAGAAGTGGCTTAGTCATGCTGGCCACATGACCCGGAAGCTGTCTGCGGACAAACGCCAGCTCCCTCAGCCAGTAAAGTGAGATGAGCGCCGCAACCCCAGAGTCATCCACGACTGGACTTAATGATCAGGGGTCCCTTTATCTTTACCTTTAAGATGAATTATTTGGTTCTTTCTGGAAGAGACACTTCGGCCTCCAACTTCAACATAGGATATTTGCAATTAATCGACTTGCAATTAATGTTTGAACAAATGAGATGCAAAAAAGTGCATAAAGAAACAAGGAAGAGAGAGAGACTCTTTAAAATAAAGAAATAAGAGCGGTACTGCAACAATAACAGCATTAAATAAAAGCGTCCTACCATAAATCCCAATGTGAGCTGAATATCCATGCAGTAAACAATAAATTGAAAGCAAACTGCATAAATGTTATCAGATTGTTTTCCTTTTCGTCTTGCATGACTTGCATTCATTAATTTTTCCATAGCTGCTAATACCCAAAGTTGCCGGGTCCAAATTTCCATCAAATCAGTCTTTAGAGATCTCAAATATCTTGCTATAGTAAGCTCAGCTGTTGTCTCCAGATAATAATCAGATATTTTTGAGATAGGTTTTGAGCTTGCAGATCAAAGACAGGTTGATTTTTGGACTGGGGGGTTACGGATTGACCTGTAATTGCTCCTACCTTGAGAAGGGCTTTGCCCCTAAATTGCTGCACTAACGGGTAATTCTATCACAATTTCACTAAGAGTGGGTTATTTGACTTGGCTATTTTACTAAACAATAAAGGATGCATATAAAACCGATTTAGGACTTCCAAGGCCGTTTCCCAAATTCTGGCCAAGGTTGATCTAAAACAGTGTTTCCCAAACTTGAGTCTCCAGCTGTTTTTGGACACAATCCCATCATCCCTGACCACTGGTCCTGCTAGCTAGGGATGATGGGAGTTGCAGTCCAAATACAGCTGGAGACTCATGTTTGGGAAACACTGATCTAAAATGTGTTTTACACCAATTCCCCCCATAAGTATCTCCTATTGATTCTCCCGTCTTGTTCTCAGCAGATTTTTAATTTCTTCAAAGAAACCATCACAGCTTGCACTTGGATATTATAGTTTGCAGAGATAAGCCCTTTCCCCTTAGGGTTCTCTTTATAAATTAAATGTTGAATGCAATTAATTTCATGTCCTTAAACTAGTAATTTTTGTATATAAAAAAGTTTTGCATATGCTTCTATTATTTCCAACATTTGCTTTGCTTACTTTTTCCAATAAAAGAAAAGGAAATAGAAAAGGTGAGTGTTGCTTCCTTGCCCATAACTTCAAAATTTCTGGAAATTTTACATTGCCAGGTGGAAGGCAGCAAAGCTCAACTAGCCTATTGAGTTTGGAGAAAGAATTAGAGAATATGGTAAAAACTGCACTACACCCCATAGGATAAAATTTGGAAACTAGACACAGCAAGTATGGGGCTTGCCAAACGACAAGTTGGGAATCTCTGAGCTAGTGTACATGTCGCACGTTCCTATGCTTGCAAAGTCCGATGCTATCCTGGGTTCAATGGGGCTTATTCCCAAGTGTGCATGCATACGATCTGCCCAGCGCTATGCAGTTTTTTAGTTGCAAGGAGTTCCCACTTAGTGAATTGGGAGCAACTGGTGAGAATCAGTTTGTCAGTTTCACGACAGATGGGACTCAGTTGTGGGGAAGGTAAGCAGGTAATGCAAAAAACCCCAAAAACATAAGAACCAGTTATATGGTAAGACTCTTAAGAGCTACAATGAATACATGCAGAGATGAGTCATCATCAAACCTCAGTGTGTGTTTCACAGCAACTTGTGAAAGAGCACATGCCCATACAAACTGTGTATTTACTAACCAGGGGCCCTTGACTAGACAAGAGAGAGCAAGAACAGATCCTACATGGATATACTGGTACCTTGATTTACAAACTTAATCTGTTCCGGAAGTCCGTTCTTAAACCAAAGCATTCTTAAATCAAGGTGTGCTATAGCAGCGGGGGACTCAATTTACAAATGGAACACACTCAACAGGAAGCGAAACATGTTCTTATTCCAAGGCAAAGTTCACAAACCAAAACACCTACTTCCGGATCTGCAGCGTTCTTAATCCAAATTGTTCATAAACTAAGCTGTTCTTAAAGCAAGGTACTTGCATTTTTTTCTGTTGCAAACTGTCCGGGTGTAAAATTAACTGAAGAGTTTACAACCAGGTTGCACTATGTTGCACTATGGTGGGGTGTTACCACCCCAGTCTAGGGACAAGAGCAAACACCGATAGGCCAGGGGCAGGGGACAATTGCTGGAGAAAGCGAGGCAGCATTTCCAAGTCAGGACTAGCAAAGCATGTGAACGGTGCAGGGCTACAGCATGGCAGCACTGGAAAAAAGTGTGTGATTGCAGAGAAAATTCCAGGCGTTAAGAAAGCCAGCAGCTACAGTAGCAGCTACTACTGCACCCGTGTTTTGTTAGCCCCCAAAATGGAAAACGACCGAGGTCCCAACCAAAGAGTGGCAACTTAAGTTGACGGAATATGCACAACTCGCAGACTTACCATACAGAATAAAAGAACAAGAACATACGTTTCAAGAAGATTGTAAAACGTTTATTGAATATATGGGGAATAATTGTGTGGGGCTGAAAACGCTTGCAGCATTAAGATAAATTCCACAGTATGAGTAAGTTTTGATGGATGCAATAATGGAATTCTGAATGGTATATATAGATTTTTGTGAGATATGCAGGGATTTATGATATATGCAAAAGGAACCATGGAAAGAGGAGGAGGGAAATCATTGATATCTTAAGGATGTAAAAATGAGTATCTTAAACTGTGAAAGAGAAAACTTAATAAAAATTATATGCAAAAAAGAAAGCCAGCAGCTAAGCACCTTGTTTTGTTTTCGAGTTGCTTTGGACTCGGGAGGGTATTTTCTGGGCAGAGTCAGGCCTGCGGGTTTTACTCAGGGGACGGGACGACGATGACGACGACCCAGGGAGGGCAGCATTATTCCCTCCCCAGGCTGCGCCCGAGTCCCCGCCGCGCGAGACGGCCCCGCGCCTCCTTCCGCCGCCCGCCCCTCGGACTCACCTTCCTCTCCTCGGCAGCCTCTCCGGGCGGTCGCCGAAGCTGCCCGGGCCGCGCCTGACGCGTCCGCGGCCTTTTCCCGAGCCGAGCCTTCGGCCCCGAGAGCGCGGCTCTTTCGTTCGGAGAGCCGGGCTGGCTCCACTTCCCGCGCGAACCGCGCTGCGAAGCTCGGCGCCGCCTTCCCCGCCGCTTCCGGAGTCAGGCCCCGGCGCAGGCCGCCTCAGAGGCAGGGGCCTTCGGCAGGCCCGGCGTGTTTTCAACATGGCAGCGTCCAGGCGGGCTCAGGTGCTGCGGCTCTACCGGGCTTTGCTGAGGGAGAGCCAGAGCTTCAGCGCCTACGGATACAGGTACTGGAAAGGCTTCCTCCGCCTTCGGCTTGAAGGCCCCTCGCGGCCCTTTTCCTTCAAGCGCGGTGGGGTTTCCCCTTCTCTGAAAATAAAAAGTGCGTAGCCTTTTCTGCAGCCTTTATTCTCCAACCCAATGGGGGCTGCAAGCTGACATGTCCCTATTGACCTGGGAGGAAGCCCCACTGAACTCGAGGCTGGAAACGAACTGGGTTGGGGTCCTGCTGGCGTCTAAACTTGATTTGGAGGGGGGCTGGGGGCCATTTGGTTTCTTTGTGCTGTATTTTGTTGCGCAAGTTTTTAGAGATTCCCCTGCCCCCCCCAAAGGTGGGGAGGAACCCTTATCTTTCACGAGCAGCTAAAATATATTAATTCCTGTTTGGTATATTGGGATTTTTAACGGGAGCTTTAAAAACAACCACACGCCTTTTTATACAAAAGTTAGCATTTCGGAAAGAAACCTTACTACATTATTTCCTTCCTGCCGTGTGTACCTATGTTTCTGTGTTATATGGGACTTCCAAATAAATCTGTTGCTATCGTTATTGTTTGTTGCATTTATATGCTGCATATCTTTAATCAAGAGCTTAATGATATTAATTCCTGTTTGGTATATTGGGATTCTTACAGGAACTTAAAAGAAATAGCAACACACCTTTGTATACAAAAGTTAGCATTTCAGAAAGAAACCTTACTGTTCTTTCCTGCAGTGTTCCTGTGTTAATTGGGACTTCCTACTAAATCCATTGTTGTGTTGCTGTTGTTATTTATTACATTTGTTGTTATTTATTACATTTACATTTATTACATTTACATGTTATTTATTACATTGTTTTATCCAAAGGCGCTCAAGGTGGTCACATGATTCTCCTCCCCATTTTATCCTCACAACAACCCTGAGAAGTAGGTTAGGCCGAGAGATGGTGACTGGCCCAAGGCCACCCAGTGGGCTTCATGGCTGAGCTGGGATTTGAACCCTTGTCTCCCAACACTCTAACCATTATGCCATACTGAAGTGCAGCCTTAGGGAGCAATTCTAAAGCAAGATCCCCTGGGCTGAGCAGGTTAGAATCCAGCAGGTCTCCAGCTGAGCCAGGAAACTCCAGAACAGCATCCTCCACTCAGCTACAGATACCAGCAGATCTTAACGTAGTTTAAGCCATGAAAAGGGTAATGACATGGCAGGGACCAGAAAGGGGGGACTTAGGCTGGAAGCTAAAGGCCTATTCACTAGGTCAGGTGACCTGGCAACTCCGCTTACACCAGCCCAAAGGGTTGTATAACTCAAACAGTATTTTAAATGCTTGTTTTATCTCTGTCAGGCTTAGGTCAGTGCAGCCCTGCTACTGAGTGGGTTTGGATCTGCTGTGACTTTACACCAGTTCCTTGAGTATAGGATTGCTTGTTGGGCTGCATAAGTGTACCTTGACCCCAGCCCTTGAAAGACAGGATGAAAAAATCAATGAGTGAGAGCTCCTCAGGCATGGAAAATCACATAATTAGTTTCCTGGTGAGCCATGTTTGATCTTCATATGTATTAGAAAGGAACAGTTTCAACTTTAAGGTGTGGCATTTACCCCCACTCTCAGGACAGCTTGACCCTGGTTGCAATGGATTTTTCTATCAAATTGTTGGTACAGCCCAATCCAAACAGAGGCAGAATGCCCATCAATGCCAGTTGCTGCAAATTGCAAGTAGGTAGTTTGCTTTTGAGCTCAAAGGCATTTGGTTGGTCACACTGAGAGCCATTGGCCTGATAGAGCAGGCTCTTTTTATGCTCTTATCTTATGTAGATACAGGTCTATGAGAAATTGTCAAGGAAGGATGCATACCATTACAACCTTTGGGTTTGAGCTGTTCATACATTGCAAGAGAGCATTGATTCTTTAAAGATATGTTTGAATTTTCAAAAACAACATGCAAACAAGACAAACCACAAAGAAACAAAGAACAATGGCTTTATGGAGCACATTATTGCAGTTGGAATAAAATAAACAGAGGGTTCAGTGCACGTTTGCAGACATCGTAATAAGAGATTCCTCAAAGGGAGATTTTTAGAATAAGAGCTGCATATTGATATGGTATCCTCAGCACATACTGCAGAAACATGTGTCAATGGGAACCTTTGCAGTGTGCAAGTATCTATTTATAAAACATATTTATAGTACCAATACATCAAAATGGTCTTGTTCGGTAACCCATTTTTGAACCCGCATATGATGGGTTAAATGTAACATCACCCAGAATTGTAGAGGACCCCAATTTAGTCCAGCCTGATGCAATGTTGGGCAATCACAACTAAAGTAGGAGGAGGATATGCCATTTTTATTCACTAGTACTTTGACAAAGCTAGAGTAGACTACTCAAAAGTAACAGCACAATCCTAACCATGTCTGCTCAGAAGGAAGTCCAATGGAGTTCAGTAGGGTTTACTCCCAGGTAAGTGGATACAGGATTGTAGCCTGAGCCTCCTGTCTTCTGCCAACCAAACTCAGTGGATACATTAAATAAATCTTGGGACAGAAAGCCGCCCGTTTATTGATCTTCTGGGTTTCTCTTCTTCAGGCAGGAGACACTGGTTGCATACACATCATATATTTTAAATATATACCCCAAGAATCCTGGGAACTGTAGTTCACCCCTCACAGAGCTACAGTTCCTGAGATTCTTTTTGGTAGAAATGTGCTTTAAATGTATGGGGTTTACACGGCTGGTGGCTCCTGCCTGAAGAGCATAAACCCGGAACAACAATAAACATGGAGGGTTTTCTTCCCAAGGTTTCTTTAATGCACTGGAACTTTCTGCATAATGGCATCTATTTCGAGTGCAAGGTCCACCAACACGCTGTGTTAGCTTTTAGTAGCACAGCCCCATGAAAATCCACCTGGAGATGCATGAAGAGTGCTTTTAGGCCTGCTTACATGGTAAGGGAAGGTCTGCGACATGGAAATAAATGAACACCATGTTCCTTGGTAGCTCCCATTATTTTTAGTGGGGGGTAGCCATGGCTCTGTAGTTAAGCATCTGCTAAACCACAAAGCCTAGGGCTTGCTGATCAGAAGGTCGGCGGTTCGAATCCCCGCAACGGGGTGAGCTCCCATTGTTCGGTCCCTGCTCCTGTCAACATAGTAGTTCAAAAGCACGAAGTGCAAGTAGATAAATAGGTACCGCTCCGGCGGGAAGGTAAATGTTATTTCTGTGTGCTGCTCTGGTTTGCCACAAGCGGCTTAGTCATGCTGGCCACATGACCCGGAAGCTGTACGCCAGCTCCCTCGGCCAGTAAAGCGAGATGAGCGCCGCAACCCCAGAGTCGTCTGCGACTGGACCTAATGGTCAGGGGTCCCTTTACCTTTACCTTGCATGCAAAAGGTCCCAGGATCAATCCTCAGCATCACTGAGTATGGCTGGGAAGGACTCCTGCTTGAAATCCTGGAAAGCTGCTGCCAGCCAGTGTAAGACAATACACTGAGCTATATAGACCAATGTGTTGATTAAATGCAAGGCATCTTCACAGCTGTAATGGAATTGGCATTGTTATTGAATGGCTTGGGATTTCAACATGCTTGTTAATTTTTGTTCGTAGGAGCCAGTGTGATGTTCCTTGCAATGAGCCTTCTGGCACATAATTTTTAGAGAAGCATTTTACCAGCTTATGCATTCACTAAGGTTTGATCTGGAAATCAAAAGTATTTGATGTACTGCCGCAACTTGCCTTCCTGCAACTTGTTCCTTCAATCAGAGGTTTGAATAACGTTGTCACTGCCATTGTAACTACAGAGTAATCTTGGGGCCTCTTCTGTGCTGGAGTTTGTGAAACTTAATGAAAACACTTAACTACTCTCTTGTGGCGGATATTGTGCTCCCTTCAGGTTTTGAATTGCTTTTTGTTTTTCTCCATTGGTTTTCGTGCCTGGGTGCAGCGGGCGGCAGACAAAGTAGATTTCAAAATGGAAGTTAAAACAGCTGAAGTGCAAATCGAAAACAAAGACTAAGAGGCTAGAGTCGAGAGGTGTGCGTGAGGGCTTCTAGCAGAGATAAAATGCCACTAGGACTGAGATTAGAAAACAGTTCATTGAAGCTGCACTTAATCAACAGGGACACCATCCAGTTCACTGTGAGTGCAACATCTGAACCCCAAAGATTTCCAAATGCTCCATGGAGGCCTGCCCCCTTGCTCCGCCATATGCATTCACAAAGGCATCACTACCCAGAATTTGGATAGAGCTCTTGGCTCAGAGCTTATTACTTGTGCTTCAGAGTGTGGCCCCAATGTGCAGACACTGTGTCCATGGTGGGCAGGATGATGACCCAAGTTTTTGTGGTCTCAACCTTATCTTATAAATCTTTTACAGTGGTGCCTCGCAAGACGAAAAGAATCCGTTCCGCAAGTCTCTTCGTCTTGCGGGTTTTTTCGTCTTGGGAAGCAAGCCCATTAGAGGTTTAGCGGCTTAGCGCTACAGTATTAGCGGCTTAGCCGGCTTAAAGATCAGCTGATAAGCGGCTTAACGATCAGCTGATAAGCGGCTTAGCATCAGCTGTTAAGCGGCTTAAAGATCAGCTGATAAGCGGCTTAGCATCAGCTGTTAAGCGGCTTAAAGATCAGCTGATAAGCGGCTTAGCATCAGCTGTTAAGCGGCTTAAAGATCAGCTGATAAGCGGCTTAGCCATCCCCTGATAAGCGGTTTAGCGGCTTGGGAAAAAGGGGGGGGGAAGGAAAAAAACCCCGCAGGAACTCGCAAGACATTTTCGTCTTGCGAAGCAAGCACATAGGAAATTCGTTTTGCGAAGCACCTCCAAAACGGAAAACCCTTTCGTCTAGCGGGTTTTCCGTCTTGCGAGGCATTCGTCTTGCCGGGCACCACTGTACTTCTAGCCCATAACGCTGGGACTTAGCCTCAAAATCCGTTATATGCATTGTTGTTGTTGTTGTTGTTATACTATGCTTCACCTGAGGATCACGGGGCAGTTTACGATATAAAAACACAAGCTTTGACTACAATCTACTGTGTGCTCAGACAAGTATCTTGAGCATTGCAGATTTGTTTTGTGCATCTTCTCTTTTTTTATATAATGCAGTGGTACCTCTAGATGCGAACGGAATCCGTTCCAGAGCCCCGTTCGCATCTAGAAGCAAACGTAACCAGTGACGGCACGTCTGCGCGCACACGCGTTGCTTTTTGCCGCTTCTGCACATGCGCGTGATGTCATTTTGAGCGCAAGCGACGAAACCTGGAAGTAACACGCTCCATTACTTCCGGGTTGCCGTGGAGCGCAACTCGAACGCGTTCATCCTGAAGCACATTCAACCCGAGGTATGACTGTAAAGGATTTTATAAGGGAATGATAAAGTTACAATCCGTGTAATAAGTTTGATTTTATTATTCCTTTTAAAATCCCAAGTTAAGTAGCAGGCATTGGTTACAGCTCATGATTTGTCTGGGGTAAGACAAGCATGAGCCTAGCTTCAGACAACATGCTAAACTAAACTGTGGCTTTGCTCACAACAGAAGCAGAACCAGAGGAACAGGGTGGCTGTGATCACTTCTCTGGGAACCAAAGTGTTGTGCTGAACCATGGTTTAGATAAGCATTGCATTCAGACCTGGTCAATGTGCTCTGAACATTACATTCACGTCTATAAATAGATACGTCTATAAATATGAAGCACAGTAGAAGGTAAAGGTAAAGGACCCCTGGACAGTTAAGTCCAGGCAAAGGCAACTGTGGGGTTGCGGCGCTCATCTCGCGTTCAGGCCGAGGGAGCTGGTGTATGTCCGCAGACAGTTTTTCCGGGTCATGTGGTCAGCATGACTAAACCGCTTCTGGTGCACGGAGGACCGCGAGGAGTGCCAGAGCATGCATGGAAACACTGTTTACCTTCCTGCTGCAGCAGTACCTATTTATTTGCACTGGCATGCTTTCAAACTGCTAGGTTGGCAGGAGCTGGGACAGAGCAATGGGAGCTCACCCCATCTCAGGGATTTGAACCAATGACCTTCCAGTCAGCAAGCCTAAGAGGCTCAGTGGTTTAGACCACAGCGCCACCCATGTCGCTCCGAAGCACTGTATAAATGCATGATTGTTAGTACTCAGCATATTTCTATATTCCTCAAACTCTTGGTCCTCTGCATCGTAATAGATGTTTTACAGCTTGTCTCTCACAATTTTGGCAATCATGTGGACACTCATTTTTCATCTCTAACATTTGCTTAGGACATATGCCATCAGAAGAATAAGGGATGCTTTCAGAGAAAACAAAAACATAAAGGATTCAGAAGAAATAGAAACACTAATGAACAAAGCAAAAGCTAGTCTGGAAATGATACACCGACAGGTAAGCATGTTTTTCTTACCAGTTTAATTAAATTGCAAAAATGTTGCTCTCCTTCCAAATGTGTAACTCTGGTCTGTTACACGGCTCTGCTGAATGTATTAACAGTTGGTGAAAATTATTATAATTAGTTTTATTTATTTATTTTGTTAGTTGCTTTATCTTGCCCAAGGTAACCCAAAGCGGCTTACAACCAACCAACAAAACAAAGCAAAAAACCCACATAGATACATTAAAACCCAAAGAAGGGGAAAATACATTAAAACATCCCGTGCACTTTGAAGAGGCCACAGGTACCCTGTTTCCCCGAAAATAAGACAGTGTCTTATATTAATTTTTGCTCCCAAAGATGCGCTAGGTCTTATTTTCAGTGGATGTCTTATTTTTCCATGAAGAAGAATACGGCACACATTTATTGTCTAATTGTGAGTCGGCCAGATTCCGTCAGGGCAGAGCAAGCAGCTGGCGGCAGCTTGTCCTGGCGGCGGCGTGGGCTCTCTGATTTAAAGAGACCTCGCACTGCCTGAACAGCTCCGGCTGCTCTGCGGCCAATCAGTGAGCTGCGCAGCAGCGCCCGCCACTACGGTCCAGAGGAATCAGACGCCTTATGGTAGCTTCGGGGGCCTTATATTCGGGGGAGGCCTTATTATCAGGGAGGTCTTATTTTCGGGGGATGCCTTATATTACAGCGAGAGGCAAAACGGGAAGTAGGTCTTATTTTCGGGGGATGTTTTACTTTCGGGGAAAGACAGTAGTTAAAGGCCTGGTTATAGAGTAAAGTTTCTGCATGGGGCCTAAACATATGCAATGAGTCTTCCTGGGGAGAGCATCATTCCACAAATGGGGAGCCACCACAGAAAAGGCCCACTGTTGTGTTGCCACCCTCCAGACCTCTTGTGGAGAGGGCACACGAAGAAGGAGCTTCAGATTATGATCGCAGGGTCTGGGTTGGCTCATATGGGGCAGGGCATTCCAGGTATTGCAATCCTGAGCCATTTAGGGCTTTATATGTTAAAACCAGCACTTTGAATTGGGACCCGAAACTAATTGGCCCCCAGTGCAGTCAGGCCAAGATTGGTGTTATAATGTGCCAACTGTCTCGCCGTGGTGAGCAATATATCCTGTTTTAGACTTCCTCGGTGTGTACATATGCAAGGCGGTGTTTTTCCTTTCGTTGATGCCTTTGAAGAAATGATTATCTGAAGGTGCTTTATACCAAATCAAACCAACAGCCAAGCCCAGTTGAGAAACAGTGTGGCGTAGTCTTTAGGGTGTTAGACTTGGGCCCGAGAGACCTGGATTCAAATCTTCACACTCTGTCATGCATCTCACTGAGTGACCTGCCCTATGAGCCAGTCACCATATCTCAGCCTAAGCTACATCACAGGGTATTTCTGCTTCCAGTGTCAAAGGCAGCATGCCACTGGATACCATCTTCTGGGAGGCTCTGCTTGGGAATGCAGTTGGCCACTTTGAGAACAGGATGTTGGATTAGTTGGGCTTTTGGCCTGATCCTACAGAATTTTTTTCTCTCTTTTTTTTGCAATCTTATGTTTGTGATGATGAAATGGGGGGGGGGGGGGTTAACCACGTAGGCCACCTTGAACTCCTTAGAGGAAAGCTGGTATGCAAATGGACTTATTAAAAAAGTTGACAGTGACTTTCCAAGGTGATGTATGGAGGCTTCTCCTAGCCCTGCTACCTTGGATTCTTTAACTAGAGGTAACCTGGGTTCTTCCACATGACCTGCAGTCTCCCACTCAGCAGTTTTCCCACTGGTCACTGGAGAAAGCATCATTGCTTCTGTAATAATTTCACGTATTCCACCAGCTGCATCTTTATTTTTCTTTAGTAGAGGGGTGGCTAACTTCTAGTCCTTCACATGTTGAAAGATGGCAACTCCCATATTCCCTGATGATTAGCCATGCTGGCTGGGAATGGCGGGAGTTGAAGTTCAGAAACATCTGAAAGGCCACAGCCAATTGGACATCAGTCAAAAGATGGAATTGTACAGCCTCAACTGATTCAGGATTTTCCAAATCAGTATGTATAGACTGAACCCTTAATGTGTTTAGATACACATACAGAGAAACAGCTCGCTTTTAGCAAGAGGCTGTGTACACAGTATGTTTTTAACACGAATGATGCACACATTACTCATTTGTTGTGCATCTTCCTTAGATCTTTCATCATGTTTGCACTTCTGTTGCAAGGAAACCACATTTCCCCACCACTGTCTGGCTGTGCTGGATTTCATATCAGGGAAAATGTAATACACATACATGCAAGTCCTGCTGTTTTCAACGGGACTGTGTTCTCTGTAGTAAGTGTATCTCGTATTGCAGCCTACATTGGTGCTGACAACACCAGGGTTACAGGTTTGATCCCCATATGGGAGAGCTGCATATTCCTGCATTATCAGGCTTCCTCAACATCGGCCCTCCAGATGTTTTTGAGACTACAATTCCCATCATCCCTGACTACTGGTCCTGCTAGCTAGGGATCATGGGAGTTGTAGGCCAAAAACATCTGGAGGGCCGAGGTTGAGGAAGCTTGGACTAGATGTTCCCCAGGGTCCCTTCCTGCTCTGCAGTTCTATGATTCCTGAATGTGACAGTGGTTTATGGAGTCAGAAATGTTTGAAGTAGTATCTAGATGGTATAAAAAATCACCTTATACAACTGTTGTTGTATAACCATCATTTACTTATTTTCTAATAAGCAAGCAAAATGCTCTCACTGTCTCTAAGCACACTTGTTAATAAGGATAAATATAGACTTTTTCACGATGTCTAAACCTATATTGATACTGTTCTATTTTCTACATGCAATTATATATTCCAGAGGAACAATTATACGAGTATTCTCATTATTTTTCAAGTGTAATGTTTATTTTTTATGTGTGTTATAAAGAAACAATTCAAATAGTGAACAAGGGTTGTCATGAGCTAGGGTTTTTTTGAAATCTTAAACCTAAGACCCGTATTATGTGCAGAGTTTTATAACCAAGGCAGTGGAGCAAATCAAATATTAGATGTATTATGCAGTTTGCAGGTTTATTAAGATGTAGCACATCTCCTTTTGCTGACTTTTTTTTCCCCGTGACATGTCGATAGAAATTAAATAATATCCTCGCTGCCTTGCAATTTGTTGCTTCTGTGAAATCAAATTTATATTCTCTTTACATGCTAATTTATGGTTTAGTCATCAAAGTGACCATTGGCATCTCAGGTTCATAAATAACTAGTTGAATCAGCCCGGAGGGGATTGTGGAAACGTGACGGATTATAGTCATTTTGTTCCATGACATTCATGGGATTTGACTGAATTTTACAAGAGGAGCTTTCTATAACTAAAAAGCATAAAAGTGCCTTTTTGTCTACTGGTGTCTTTTTTATATTTTCCAGGTTATTGGTTTTTATTTGAAAATGTCTATGAAAGCAGGGCAGATATTCTATAGAAAAGTAACTGACATTCCAATCCTGTGCACGTTTACTCGGGAGTCAGTCCCACTGTCTTCAGTGGGGCTTGCTCCAAGATAAGGGTACACAGGGTTACAACCTAAAAATGTTGTCTCCTGCCTGTTTCTCCCCAAGAGCATAGTAAAAGTTTTATTTCGGCCCAGATGGTAAACCCATAGTATTCATGTGAAAGTCTGTAGCACATGCCCTGCATTCATAAGATTCCAGGACAAGTTCAGCAGTCTCTAGTTAGAAAGGATCCCGGGCAACAGGATCCCAGACCTCAGCCTGAGATCTTGAAGAACCGCTGCCGAAGAGAATGTAGTACTACTGAGCTACATGAACCATCAATGTGGCAACAGTCCTCGGGCTGGCGTGCTGGTATGGGGAACCTCAGGCAGGGGCCAGATGTGGTTCCCCAGGTCTCTCCGGCTAGACTCTTGCTAGCTCACACACCCTTCTGCGCCACACCCCTTGCGACCCATTCTTTACAGCCTCCTTGAGCGGCTTTGCCTGAGTGGAGTGGAGAGCCAGTGTGGTGTAGTGGTTAAGAGCAGTAGACTCGTAATCTGGTGAACTGGGTTTGCGTCTCCACTCCTCCACATGCAGCTGCTGGGTGACCTTGGGCTAGTCGCACTTCTTTGAAGTCTCTCAGCCCCACTCACCTCACAGAGTGTTTGTTGTAGGGGAGGAAGGGAAAGGAGATTGTTAGCTGCTTTGAGACTCCTTAGGGTAGTGATAAAGCGGGATATCAAATCCAAACTACTACTACTCTTCTTCTTCTTCTTCTTCTTCTTCTTCTTCTTCTTCTTCATTGAATTCTGATAATGCTCCTAGCTTCCCTGGGTAGAGAGGTGGGTGTAGAAGCAAACCTACTCTACAAAAGTGAAATTGATATTTCATTTTGCCTCTGAGCCTGCACATCACAGGCATGTGACTCCCATCCCCAGTCCAGTGTTAGAAACTCAGATATATAAGCTAAGCGCCAAAAAGACTCCTTAAACCAGGGTTGCAGTCTTCAAAATGGAATGCCTAGTTGTCATTTGGGGGCCAGACATCTTGAAAGTCGCATTTTCCAATACAAGTTTTTGGTTCCTGAAATTCATTCTGATTGTGCAGATAAAATATTATGGGTGGAATTCTACAGGATGTGTTGTTAGTGTGTAAAAAGAGCCAAGATGCGCCTCCATCTGGTGGAGACGTCAGACACTGTCCTGGCGCCTGGGCATCTTCACTTGGTTGCAAGTGGCCGATACCCAAGTGCAAAATACACCTGGTGCCTTCGCTCATGCAGAAGTGAGTGGTTGGGCTTTTTATGGTTAAAAATGTGGCCAGTGTATTTTTAGTTATTATTACGTTTGCATCACACCTAAGGAGTTCCAGGTGATAAATATGATCCTCCCTCCACTTTATCCAGGATCACCCAGCAAACTTGGCAGTGTGTGGATTCGAACGCTGGCCTCCCAGGTCTTAATCTGACATGCCAGTGTGGTGTAGTGGTTAACAGCGGTAGACTCATAATCTGGTGAACCGGCTTTGATTCCCCACTCCTCCACATGCAGCTGCTGGGTGACCTGGGGCTAGTCACACTTCTTTGAATTCTCTCAGACCCACTCACCTCACAGAGTGTTTGTTGTGGGGGAGGAAAGGATAATGTTAGCCGCTTTGAGATTCCTTCAGGTAGTGATAAAGCGGGATATCAGATCCAAACTCTTCTTCTTCTTCCGCCTAACTGCTACAACCAAAATTTTGACTTTGTTTGACTTTGTTACTGTCAACCAAGATTTTGACTTTGTTCGCTTCTCATTTGAAATCAAGATTGGGATAGTCTTCAATAGTGCAGAATGTACTATTGAGTTAGAACTTTTGATGGAAAAATCTGGCAATGCATTGTTTAAAGGAAGTTTGGTGAATCCATAGCTGAGAACCAAAGAGCAGCACTTTTGAGAAGTCAAGCTCTTAGGTTTAATCTCTCAAGAATTAGTTGTCTAACTGGCCATTTAAAAAGGTATTATTTTGGATTTCCCAGGCGATTTGAAGGTTACAGCACCTATCTGAAGTTTTCAAAGCGACATATTTCTTTTGAAGTGCCCTTCAGTAAAACAAGAGCTCTGAGGCACATTGCAGCTTTTCTGTTCCATTCCAAGTAATCCAAACTTGAGAGAACTGTGTTTTAGGCAAAAGATTCTTCTGCAGACCAACAAGTGACTTTCTTAACTTCTAGCAGACATCTATGTAGTTTCTTGGATCAAAGCTTGCATTGCTTTTAAGTTCTAGCTGGTCAGGCGAATCAGTAATGATAGCTTTTGTGCATCTTCCAGACTTGATTTTCCAGTGTGTATGAATGAGGCCATATAATATAATGTTGTAAGAGCAGTGCATGTATTCTCCTTGTGAGAAGTATGGCACTTAAACAAAAGATGTAAGCACTTTCTTCTGACAGGACTTGATGGCTCATTGTGTGGCAGTGAAACCTCAAGTGTGCTCTAAAGCAGTAGTCTTAAACCTTTTTAGGCCTTTAACCCAAACATTAATTTGAATGCCTGTATCTTTAAAGGCCGGGACGCAGGTGGCGGTGTGGTCTAAACCACAGAGCCTAGGGCTTGCCGCAGAAGGTTGGCAGTTCGAACAGGGTGAGCTCCCGTTGTTCGGTCCCTGCTCCTGCCAACTTAGCAGTTCGAAAGCACATCAAAGTGCAAGTAGATAAATAGGTACCGCTCCTGCATGAAGGTAAACAGCATTTCCGTGCGCTGCTCTGGTTCGCCAGAAGCGGCTTAGTCATGCTGGCCACATGACCCAGAAGCTGTCTGTGGACAAACGCCGGCTCCCTCGGCCAGTAGAGCGAGATGAACGCCGCAACCCCACAGTCGTTCGCAACTGGACTTAATGGTCAGGGGTCCCTTTACCTTTATCTTTTTAAAAGCCATATATTTGCATGGTGGTAGTGCTGCTGTTGCAGGCCAGCTTAGACTGGGCTATAACTTTCTAGTGGGTCCTGACACACCAGTTGAAGACCAATGTGCTAGAGTGCATATTCATCCCCCTGTACCTTGCCGTGGTTTTGGCTCTCACCTACCGAGCTTGGAAGCAAGCAAAAACATAAGAGGTGCAGGCCTGACTTTTTGTTGTAGGCAGACACACACAGGTCATCTTGCTCCTGTGCAGGAATGGCACAACCCCCTCCCTGCCTGTTTTGCTTGTGTCACCAGCACTGCATATTGGCTTCTCATGTGTTAGACTATAACCATCCCTCAAATATTCTGAGATAAAAAATAGAATATGTGCCAAGTTTGCAGTCACCAGAGGAACACAGTTAATTGTTCATCAGCTGTGTCTGTTAACAAAGCAAGTTGCAGGACCAGAGACCACCTATGTAAAGCAGGTGAATGGCAAGGCATAAACTAATAAGACACTGTTTCTTGAGCAGTGGGTTAAACCGGGTGGTCTACTATATCCCTTCCATGGTTCTGTTCCTCCTGGCCCAGTCAAATATCTACTGAAACTTGCTGGAGACAAGCTTGCTTGAAGGTCCACTTCATTCTCAAGAACAGAAGAACATCAAAAGGGCATTCTGGATCAGACCAAAGGCCCATCTAATCCAGGATCCTGTTTCCACAGACCACCAAATGCCTATGTGAAGAACATGAGCACAACAGCACTTTTCCTTGCAACTGGTATTCAGAAGCAACAGGAGAAGTAGAATGTGCCCATTGTGGCTAATAGCCATTGACAGTCTTTAGACAACACAAATTTGCCTAAGCCCCTTTTAAAGGTGGGCAGCCACAACTATATTTGTGACAGCAAAAATCCATAATTTAGCTATACACTTCCGTTTTGAAAACATGGTCCTAAGCAGTCTGTACTGCAGAAAATGATTTTTCCAAACTCTTCTAGTTGAAAAAGCATCTGCTTTTACGATTTGAGCATAACAGTGCTGGCTGGCAGAGTTCCTCTGCTCTTGCATCCAAATTACAAGGTTATGTAACACTGCTTTATTATATAATGTCAATTAGGAAAGGCATGCCCAACAACCCAGCATAGCAGGCGAGGAAGCCTTCACATTCAAGAGGTGTGCTTGCCACCCTTATTACCCAGTATTGTGAATAATTTTATACAGGTATTCTTGAAGGTGCTAATGAGGGTGTTCGCTTTCTTTTGGCTTCCCCGCCAGGGAAACAGATGTGAGGGGGAGTTTTTTAAGGCAAACTAATCCACTCATTTAGTGAGTTTCTCTGTATTGTTTTTCCTCGTTACCTTTATTCCTTTTCAGTAATTCCCTATCACCCTTCTGTTGCAATCACAATATACAGGACAGGCTGCAACATTAAAATTATAGATTACGGTAAATTCATAGGGTGGTAATTGACGCTAGTCTAAGGATAAACTCATTGAAGTTAATAGACAAGGCTAACTTAGTTTTATTAATTTCGGTGGGTCTTCTCTGACTAGGGCGTAGTTGAATAGAGCCCATAATGTCAGTAAAACACTACAACATTGAAATAGAGGCAGTACATAGACAACGAATTGTCTGTGTGTTTAGCACAAATAATTTTAAAATAATTTTAGTATCACCACCCAGCACAGTAAGTTCTACTTGCTTTTCACTTTGATTTTTGATCATAGGTGTTTTAAAGGAGTGTAGAATTCTTCATGTTCAACACATGTCTTTGCATCACGGCAAGACTACAAGGATTGCAGTTACTTTCACCTTACACTTTTTATTCTTACTTTGTTTTACTCGTTCACCTGAACGTATAATTAATTAAGTATAATTCCCAAGCAGACTTGGCAGTAACTGGGTCATTCAGAACAATATTGCCTACTTAACTCTCTTTAAAACTTAAAGCTTTGCACAAGTGCCGTTTGATTGGAAATACACCTGGGTCTCTAATATTCATTATGCATGCACACCTTTTCAGTTCCATTATGACTGACAGATGCCAACCTGATGACTAAAATCTGCTTGAATTGTAACTGAATGTTCTTAAATGTAGACTTTTGGAATAGGGGAATATCACTATGCTGATGACATCCAGTTATATATTTATTTCAGTAAGTAGCTAGGAACTGATGCCTTAGTGTTAAGTCAGTGTCTGAAAGACTGTATTAAGTGGTAGAGGCTGAACCAGTTGAAACCAAATCCAACAGCAGCTATTATTGATGGAGAGAGGTCATCTTTATATGTGGTTGATGAGATTGGCAGGGACTCTTAGGAACAGATTTGTTGTCCAGAGATTCTATTGGATCCAGTTGTTGTTGTTAGACAACAGAGATCTAATTGTTCTCATCTATGCCTTTGTAACATTTCAGATTGACTAATGTGCTCTTGAAGATGACTTGGAAAGTATCGTGACCTATCTCTAGTGCAGGAGACAAGGAATAGAAAAATTTCCAAAACAAATGAATGGGGTAATCTCAAACAATTCACAGCTCTGGCAGACATCGGTTTCTAAGAAAGGCTGAAAGATTAACATTTGCTTAAATATTACGTCTTTACTAGGATGTTGGATTGAAATAGGGATTCTGACTTGAATTCTCTACCATTTGTTTTGTGATAAAGTATTTTCAGTGGGAATAATTAAGCTTTGGGTATGGGCATGTGAGTTTTGAGACGAGTGACACACAGCAGATTCAAACCTGGACTTTTCTGCCTCTAAACTGGGACTCTTCAACCCCTGGAACCACTCAGCCACCTTATCCCAGTTAATATCTTGAGCTTATTGCTTAGTTTATCAACTTTTCTCCCTTCTCTGCTTTGCTTGTTCATGGTTGGTCCCTGCTCCTTCCTGGACCTGTATAGGATAACCTTCCTGCAAAATTGATTCTTGTCCGGTGAACAGCATACAGACCCATCTTATTCTTCCTTTTCTTACCTGTCACAAGTCCTTTTCCTAGCATTTCAAGCAGGTTCTTGTTTTGCCCTCTCAGCCCAGGCACCTTAACTCATTTCCTCTCGAGGAGCGGTATACCCCTCCCCTATCCTTGAGCTTGTTTGCTGCAGACTTGCTAGAGATGTGATCTTGCAGATGACATTAACCTATATATTGGGGTTCATACCTGGACTCACTAGAAAGGCATTGTAAATTCAGTTTGTGAATGAGGGTGGGGTTTTTTGTGTGTGCTTTAAAGTAACCAGCAGGCACAGGGGGCCAAAACTCAATCAAGACCCTGATGGTGTTTTGGAGAACTTTTCATCCTTTCCTTCCACTGGATCTCTGATTTGGAAACTTCCATTCGATGTGAATGGGGCCTTTCCTTCCAATGAAAATAGAAAGCACAGGGACCCTAACCCAGAGCCCGGATGAAGGTTGGAAACTATTAGGAGACCTGGAGTGTTATGTCTGCCCTAGGCCTGCTTCTGTATTTTATGCAACCAAGAATTACTCCTCCAGCCTGTCTCTCCTTCTTTTTACCCTGTGGTTCACTCAGGAGCAATTCTCAACCTATCAAATTGCTCAGAAGAAGAAACACTTAAAATTCTAGCATCTGAAGTTATCTGTTGACAAGATTTATTATTGGAGTTCCACCGTTACAGCTTGACAATTAAGAAGTATTGGCAAATGTAAACACATTATTGATGTCAATTTTTAAAAGCACAATATTGATTTAGCATCCCAGAGGAATACCAACAGAAGCAGAAAGAGAGTAATAGCCATCAATAAGTATTCACTAGTGACAAACACACACACACACACACACAAATCAGGCTGCTAAGAGATGGACTACTTTCTACTGAAATTAAGATCCTTTAAATAGGAATGCTGAGTGCTGTGCCTCCATTTATTTGAACTGGAAACTTCTGCCCCTCTACCACCTCAAAAGATCTTGCAATGTTAGCAAGTAATTGTGGCACAACTGCATTCCTTTTTCAGTGGGTAGATAACGGTTTAGAAGTTTTAAAAGTGGGAGCCATATTCCAGCTTCCATCCAGCATTAATTGCATTTCTTTATTTTAAAAATGCCTATTATATTTCCTTTCTAATATGTTCCTTACTACCCCAGTCAACAGATGCTTGAATGCAGCCACAGACTGTGTGTACACAGTCTCGCTTGCAATCAGGGTTTGAAATTAGCAGGGCGCCAGGCGTATTTTGCACCTAAAGATTCTCCATTTGTGAGCGCCTCAAAAAGTCTTGAGTGCAATTTTTTTGCACCTGGCTCAAGGATTACTCAAGCCTTGAAGTATATATGTTAAGGAGTTTAATAATAACGAGTAGAGTGTTTTGAAAACTAAAGTATGGTACCAATATTTTTATTGTAAACACCAAATTAAACATGTTTCAACAATTTCTGCTAAAAATGTGATATTAACAATGGGTCTCTTAAGTGAATTGCCTATTAGCTCATGCTTATCATAATAATAAATAGAAAGTGTTGGCAAACCACCGCCCTCCCTGCTCGTGGCGACCAGACATTCTGTTTTGGCGCCCACAACCCAGGTCCCAGGAGCCATTTGGCTCCTAGCTTTCCCACCCCAGTTTCTAACACTGCTTGCAGTGATATTTGTACATTCATCAGTGAAGCAGGTGGCATGTACAAGGTTGGCAAGACCAGAGAATAGGTTTTTAGAAAGGTGGTGCTGATCTTAATAGTTTGGAGGTTGGGGACCTCTATCTTTTTTTGCTTGGAAAACTGTAAATGTTTAAACGAATAAAGCATGGTGCATGGCACTGCATAAATAAAGATTACTCACCTGTCACACATTAGGAAGGAGGAGTTTCTTCTTCCACCTTTTATCCTACTAAAGCATCCCATAACTTTCATTCCCTTTCCCTGGTGTTTCCTTACTGAAATACAGAATGTATGTAATGGTCTAGTTAATTTCCCCTAACTTTTTGTGTAGCTCTCCTAAGCTTTGTGTACTATTTGAAATAACCATTTGTTTGCAGTGCATGTTTCTATTTTGTTTGTGATTGTTTTGTTTAAGAAACTATTTGGAAGCTTATAGGCGATAAGGCCGTCTCTGATGCCTTCAGACGAAGATGGAGATATTTGCTGCTCTCAGATAAAAATGCCAAGGAGCTTTAAGCAAGAGCTCTGACCTATTTTATTGTGTGCGGGGCTTTTTTATATAAAAGAAAACAAGGGGAAGGCAAGGGAGGAACGTGGGAGCAGAGGGTTTCCAGTAGTACAGTAATGGAGATGACCTTTAATATTGAGGCCTTAGGATCAAATTTAAGTTGGCATTAAAATTTTCTAATAAATTCCCTGCTGAATCACTCGGGTTATTTCCCTCTTCCTCCTGCCCCTCAAAGTTAATTCAATAAGGTTGCAATAAAGCAAGCTGTCTGTGCTATTGTAATTGCTCTCAGCAGGCTGGTAATACCAGTGCACAGAATTGCCAGCCGCTGTGCTTTTATTTCTCTCCACAGCCGCCCTTCCTTATTCCAACCCTCACTTCCTTCATTCTTTCCCCAGCCCTTGCCTCATCAGTCCTTCTGGTGTTGAAAATCTTGCTGCCCTTAATACCACATTCCCTCCTGCTTCTTTTATCCCATTTAAAACGTGGACATGTTTTTTGACAGTGGCGCTTCCATGCACTCTTTCTACAGGAAACAGAAAGCACCACTAGAAATAATAATAGTGGAATGACTGGAGTTCTGTTTTCCTCTCTCTCTGATTAATAGGCTGTCTTCTATGGTTTCAAAGTCAATGAAATGAGAACTCTTATCACACACATTTTTTTTACTGTGGTTATGCTTATTATTACTCATGTGCACCTCAGGTGGGTTTTTTAAAGCTCTTTTTAACTTGTAAAAAGTTTATTTTGACTCTTGACTAATGGGTGATACCACCTTAGTGGTACTCGAAGGCCCATTAAAATTGATAGATTTTAGGTGCATTGATACACTTTTGAAGAGAATCGGCACCACTGCAAATACTGCACTGGTTGAAAACCATAGAATGGTTTACACATGCCTGTATGTTGCTTGACTTACTACTCAACAATAGTCAAGCCACACATTGGCAAAATGTGTGAAGTGCCCCTGCCAAAAAACTTTGCATTTGGGGTGTGAGGTGAGATCATATAAGTGTTTGCTTCTAGTGGTTGATTTTTTTTTTTTTATCAGTAATGACTCAGCTGCATATACATGCAAGTCTCACTTGATGGCTGAGTCATCAAGTGCCAAACGTACTTCTGTGAACCTGCTGTATGTATAACAATATTTCAAGTAATAAATCATATTTTGGGGCAGTTCAGATGTTGTTGGACTCCCGACTCTCATCAGCCTCAGCTAGTATGGCAACGGTCAAGGGTGTTGTTCGCATCAGTTTGTCTCGGGAGACAATGGGAGACTGTGCTTTTGGACAGTCAAGCTGTTGGAGAGTTACAGAGCTTGCTGTGGTTGTAGAGACCGATGTGGGAAGTGCATGTGTTATTGCAGGTGAGGCAGATAAAGATTTTGGTTTTCCTACTACAGGTGCACTGTGGCATTTCTCTGTGCACTGCTCCCAGCAGTCATTCCTCCTCTGGTCACTACTGTGGAAACATGAGCTGAGTGTCAGGGATGGTGGTTGTTATAATCTGGAGGGCCAGAGGCTCCTCATGCCTGGTATAGCTAATATATGAACACAACACATTTACTTTTTGCTTTTAAATGCATCTAAAAGCTGGATTTAAAAGGTCATAAGTAGGGCGATAGAGGGACGCGGGTGGCGCTGTGGGTTAAACCACAGAGCCTAGGACTTGCCGATCAGAAGGTCGGAGGTTTGAATCCCCGCGACGGGGTGAGCTCCCGTTGTTCGGTCCCTGCTCCTGCCAGCTTAGCAGTTCGAAAGCACATCAAGTGCAAGTAGATAAATAGGTACCACTCTGGCAGGAAGGTAAATGGCGTTTCCATGCGCTGCTCTGGTTCTCCAGAAGCTGCTTAGTCATGCTGGCCACATGACCCGGAAGCTGTACACCGGCTCCCTTGGCCAATAAAGCGAGATGAGCCCCGCAACCCCAGAGTCGGTCACGACTGGACCTAATGGTCAGGGGTCCCTTTACCTAAGTAGGGCGATGTATCAATATATAGCCCTTTCCACATACCTTGCGGTTCAAATAAAAACTCCCACGTATTTCCTTCTTCCATCCCTACCCTAAAATCATGGCGCTGGCGAAGAGGCAATGCCCACTTGGCTACAGACTCTTATCTTAATGCATTTCCAGTGAAATATATGAATGTTCTTCAGCAAACAGCCTGTGCATCTTATCCCTGTAAGATCTTCTTTTATAGGCCATACACATGGCAATAAGAAGCACAGTTCAATTCCCTATGTTTCACTGTCCTGTGCAAAGTTGTCTTTTAGGACCCAAAGGCGCACCTTAGACATAATGAACTCACTCTGATAAACCATAGTTTGTTAGACCAAGAACAAGCCTTTCATTCCATCTTTGCTTCTCCTCCCCTTGTACTCCTGTCTTTGGTGCTTCACTAAACCACATCAGAACTAGGAAACTGGATGTGGTTTATTGAGGAGAGATCAGACCACAGTTTCCCAGTTTGTATGTAATAGCGACTGTGGTTTAATAAGCCCTGGAAATGTTCCATTACAGTGCACAAGGGAGCTGTGGGCACAACACTCATTTTCTGTCTAATAAATAATAGTTTATGTCAAAGAGAACAACAACTACCAGACTTTTAGAAGACATCTGAAGGCAGCCCTGTTTAGGGAAGCTTTTAATGTTTGATGCATTACTGTATTTTAATATTTTGTTGGAAGCTGCCCAGAGTGGCTGGGGAAGCCCAGCCAGATGGGCAGGGTATAAATAAATTATTATTATTATTATTATTATTATTATTATTATTATTAAGATCACTATGTCAGAACCAGATCAATGTGGTCTTATTGTGGGGTGTGTTTAAGAGAAATAGTGTGTGATGAAGCACACTAAGCATTTAACAAAGCTTGTTTCTATTAATTCAAAAAGCAGTTACCTGTTTTAAACGAAGGCAATTGTCCTAGAATCCATCAAGAGCATTTCCAGCTAACGCAGCCAGAAAGCTTTATCCCTGTTTAAGGTTGTGCACCTGTTTTGCCTGACCTGCTGCCTTCTCGCAGACTAACTCGTGTGTGTGTGTGTGTGTGTGTGTGCACACACACACACACACAGACACATATTCCAGTGACACTTGCTCTCTCTGAAGCATTTTTCACACTGCTGCATTAAAGGGTTGATGGACTGGTGTGATTGCAAGGCTAAACTGAAATCAATAATGGGGCTCTAAGTACAAGCAGAAACTCTGTCTCTTCAGTAGCTTCTCTCATATCCCTAAGTAACCTCACAATTTAATTCTAGACCTTCCTCTCCCTCCTCCCTTCCTTACACTTGAGTGACTACTAAATAACTTGAAATGGAGCCCATCGCTTGACAATCCGCAAGCAGATTTAATGGCCCGACTACGTGGGTGTCGCTAATAACTTATCAGTGACTAACAATTCCAGCACTTGATATCAGGACTATCTTGACCCAGTTCATGGTCTTGCTGAGATTAATAGGCCTGAATGATTAAACTGTAATTTATCACTTGACTACACTGCATGGTGATTTCTGCAGCTCCGTGTAGGGTGTGAAGGAAGCTGGAAAGTGATAATATGTTAAACAAATGCCATCTATTAGTTCAACTAAATATATCTGTTCAAAGCAGAGTGGAAGATGTGTGCAGAGAAGGGGATACACTAAATCTCTCCTTTATGTAGAACAAGCATATTCAAAGGTTGCTGGAGATGTGATTTAAATGTATATTACTGAGTTCGGTTTTTACCGCACCTTTTTCTCGGTGGCTTCCAGCCAGATTAGAATATTTAAAATCTAATGCAAAATGACTTTCAATATCAAGTGGTTGCCAGTGCATGCAAAGTGCTATTCATGGGGCTTTGCAAGTGCTACCAATGAGCTGGTTGGTGATGCCTGCAAACCCTCTTTGGCCTACCTGCGTCTTTACCTGCTGTACACCTGCCAAGTGTGGGGCAAGTGTGTACAGCTAGGCCAAAATTTCCTCATGCTAATCTTCCGCCCACCCACATACCTTTCTCCATCCATGCTGTTACAGGAACCTTCTTGCCCTTGCATAGGAAACTGCCTATCCAGACGGAGATTGGTTTCCAACAGTTGGACCTGTATCCTCTCCTCCTCCTTTCCTTGGTGCATCTGACTTCCATTGGGTACTTCTGAGGGTACTTCTAGACATTTGTTTTTGAGTGGCATAGGAGTTTCTTCAGCACGCTTGACACCCCATTCTGCCAATCCTGGCAGTGATTGCTTCTGCTCCAAGTTGCTGACTGGCAGCTATGGTTGGTGCAGTCCAAACGAGGGACTACACCACAAAAACCACCCATACTAGCTTAGTATTGCAGAGCTAAATCATCCTGGGAGGAAACCACCGAAAGGGTCATTGGGAGTTAAACGTCTCTGATAACCTAAAACCTTAAATGGAACTGGCTCACTAACATCTCTGTAAAAATATCTATGATTTGTGTATGAGCCCTACCGAGACATAAATATGAATGTCAGGCCTATAAAGCAGGTCACCAGAGTCATAACTCAGAAGAAACACAGAGCACCAGTGATGTTTTACATTTTGCTTACTGCTGAAACAGTTATTTGACTGGAGCTAAGGCTGAGAATTCCAATGACTTGAATACCCATTTGACAGAACCTTAGTGGTATTGGGGCTGCAGCAATGTGTGACTCTCTTAGACCACTTTAACAGTGGATGCTGAAGGTCACAGATGAGCCAACACTCGTATTGGCTGATAATTGCTCCATCCAGGAGCTGGGGCTGCGCTGGCTTGGGAAGGTGCTGCACGTTAATATGCATATGAAGCTATCTTTTACCAAGTCAGATTATCAGTTCTTTTGGCCCAATTCGTTTAGGTGTGGGAAGCCTTTTTGGGCTCAGGGACCACATACCTATGATGGTTGTAGCCAAAGCCGGAAGTGGGTAGGGCATGCCTTCTTTCTGCCCTGCATTCACCCATTAACCATCATTCTTCCATCTATGCTCTTGATCTCTCTCACGTCATCCACTAACTTAGGAAAGAGCAACATAGCCTCAAGCACATACAAAAAGGAATGCCCCTTTTTCACTCCTCTCCACTCTCACACACATCTACATGTCACTGTCACCCATCTTCTACCACCCACACTCTCATACATTCCTTACATCCACCAGTTTACACACTTTCCTCCATTCTCATACTTAGCTTCATTTTGGGGGGAGGGGAGAATCTCTTTCCTAGCATACAAGGGAAGAGAAGTGAGCTGCTATGGGAGGACTGGAGCCCTCTTGTTTCTCCACTGGCAGCTTGCTTTTCCTTCTGTGTTGGATGGTCCTTGATCAAAGTGATGCTGAGGAGATGTCAAAGTCCATGTTGGGTGAGACTGCGGGACCCACCTCTTTTCTAGTCCAGTATTGTCTAATCCAACTGGCAGAAGCTCTATTAAGATCTAACACAAAGGTCTCCCCCAACCGTTCTACCTGAAGTGTTCTGTCTTTTTTTAAAAATGAAGTTGTCAGGAATTAATTTCTGCACAGAATGCATGGTGTCCAACAGTCAGCTATTGCCCCAGCCCATGGGCTTCACCCATGTTGGATCTGTGGCTTCCAGCATTACTGGAATATGGTATAAAGGATGTCTGCTGTGGCGGATCCCATACCACTAAGTTATTGTCAGAAGGAGCCCTAAAACAGACCCATTGCAAGTTGAAATATTACTATGTTAATCTCATTAAGGCTTTCCCCCCATTATATATCTTCATGGGTTCCTCTGCACCAGAAATTTGCCCTGGTTTAGCCTAACATTCAACTTTAAGTACTACGTTGGCCCCATTTGGATGTAATAAATATCAAGCCATGAAGTATGACTTGCTTATCCACACTGTGCATGGGTGCCATATTGGTGCACACAGCTGAAGATCTCCCATGTAGCTCCTCCCATAGCTGCGCAGGGAAACAAACTACCTAGTGTTATATCTGGCCTAGTGCTATGTCTGAACCAGTGGTTGTGGTTCATTTATCTCCAAACAAACCATGACCTGCAGCTAGAGTCCGTTCAGGAAACATAACACTGATAATGTTAAGCCGCACTCCTTGGTGCATTATCTCACTCAACTAAGGGAGGAGATGGAAGCACTTTGAACGCACAGCTCATGCACAGTATGCTTAAACAAATCATACTTTGTGACTTAGTGTTACATCCGAACGCAGTCGTTGTGGGTGGATAACATTACCCAGCTCCAGGATACTTGGCAGCAGCTGAGAGCATGGAACTTCAGTGCCTCTGCGAAATCAACCTTCAGGTTGCATGCAGCCAAATTCCGCCCAAAATAGACTGTCATGTTCCATCAAAGTGGAGCATTTTTCCCAAGATTTGTGTTCCAACTTAATGAAACCCACATTGCCGTGCCCCATGCACTCGGAAGACAGTGGACTCTAATGTTTTACACGGAAACATGAAGCTGTCGTGAGTTGTTTTTTAATAAAGACTGTAGTCAAATATGGTGTGTTTTCAATTTCAAAAAGAAAGTTAAATTGTGCCACCTCTATTGCAAGTCCACGGAAAATTGGACTGCAAAGTGTGCCTTTAGCATTTATTTTCCAACACAAACTCCTAATAAGTGCTGTTCCACTGGCAGTGTCTGTGTTAGAAAACAGGCAGCAAGTATATTGGGCATACTGCTGTCTCTTAAATTTAATGAAAATGCTTTTAAGACTTGGTGTGTGTGCATGTGTGTGTGAACACAGCAAGCAACACTTCACCTTTTCATCCCTCCCCCAATACCCCATTAGATTTTCAGCTCCATAGGAAACTAAAGAGCCCCTTTTGTCACCGCAAACAAGGACTGGTGATTGAATTACAAAGTGAGTGGAAGTCAGGGACGTGGTCTATGTAAGACTTCCCTAACCTGGTGTTTGACTCCACCTCCCATCAGACTTAGCCAGCGTGGCCAAGGGTCAGGGATAGCCATGCCACAAGTGGACATACATTGGTAACCTCATGATTAGACGACTGTAATGTAGGGCTGGGCGATGTTAGGTTTTCAACATCGTGATGCATCACCAGCCAATCATCGCAATCTGGCAATACATCGCAATGTTGAAAGGGAGGAATAAGTTGCCTCATTTTTGGCACTGCAAGACGCTGGGATGAAGCCACCTCAGCTTGAAGCTGAGGCAGTTTCAATACAGCTTGCTCCTTCCACCCAGCACTTCTCTGCTGAGGGGCGGGCAGCCACACGCCCCTCAATGGAGAAGCTTAAAGGAGAAGCCAAGGGAGGAGCAAGCCCGGCCGACTCCGCTTGTTCCTCTCTCAGTGGTATGAGGACCAGAACATGGTGGTGGTTTCACCCAGCGGTGTATCACGGTTGGAATCGCTGCCACTCCTGAGTCCCTCAGCCACCAGCTCCCGGCTACAGCTTGTTTCTCCCTCAGCACGCTGGGCGCTGATGGTAGAGGGACTCAGGAACAGCAGCGGTTTTACTCTTGAGTCATGATACACCGCCAGGTGAAGCAGCCATTATGGTCTGGCCCTCATACTGGTCCTGGGCGATGTAGCGATACATCGCCCAGGTCTACTGTAATGCCTTGTATATGATGCTACCCTTGTGCCTGGTTTGGAAGGTGTAGCTAGTGCAAAATGCAGCTGCTAGGATACTTAGCAGAACACCAAGTTTTATACATATTACCCCTGTGTTGAAAAATCTGCACCAGTTGCTTATTATCTGCTAAACCAGGGGTCTGCAACCTTTAAGAGAAAAAGAGCCACTTGGACCCGTTTCTGAAGAAAAAAAAACTGGGAGCCGCAAAACTCGTTATTATAAAAATAACTTTTTTGTCACTTTTTTATTATTTCTTTGTTTGACCCCTCAGAATTACACCTCCTCATAGAAATAAACGTTAAATTAACAAGTTACCTTTGTGTGTGTGTGTGTTCTTCACTCCCCTTCAAAACAGTGACCAGCGTACATGCCCCTTACAATGTAGCGGGCGGGCGGGCGGGAAGGTGACGTCGGGACGGTGCGTGACTAACGCACGCACCGCCCCCATGCGACATCACAGCCAGTACAGTGCCCACCACAGTGGGGCGTGTCAGGGCGCACAATGCGCCTCCTCCTCCCGCTAGTATCCGCCCCGGAGCCGCGGCAAAGGTGTAAAAGAGCCACATGCGGCTCCGGAGCCGCGGGTTGCAGACCCCTGTACTAAACCAAGATCAGGATTTTGTTGGTGACATTTAAAGCTCTAAACAACTAGGAAACAGGATACTTGGTAGACCACCAACCCCGGTACAGACCAAGCAGATTTTCATGATCTTCTGAGAAGACCAAGTCAGTTATCACTTGGTGACAACACCAAAGCAAGCCTTCTCAGGGATAGTGCCCTTCCTCAGGTGGTTTGTGAGGCAGAGACAGTAATGACCTTTAAACATTGCTTTAAAACATGCAGTATATGTTTACCTATGCTTTCCTGGACTCCGATTCCCAGATTTTAATTATTATTATTGTACACTGCTCAGTTTTACTTGTGACGTACAAATGTTTTGTTTTGATCTCATTTTTCTCCAGCTTCTAGGTAATTGCATTGACTGTGGGTATTGTATTTTTATCATTTTATGTAAAGCGCTTAGAGATTTATATTATGTTAAGCGATATAAAACTTGACATACAAGTATGTAATGCTGAATACATAATACCCAGAGAGTTGGATGCCAGCCAACCTAAACCCAGAAATCATTGTCTGTAACACCAATGGTATATGTTTGATTGGTATTTTTGTATTAGCAGACGTGTAATGACATAAAGCTCAGGGAAATTTAATAATGGGTTTGGCAGGCTCCTGCTGAAGGAAAGAGGCAGCCCAGATGGCTGAAAATGGCAGCCAAGAATGTTTTGTTACATGTCTGCACAAAACTCATTACATGTGCATAAATAACGATCTCTTTAACTGCTTCTTCACTATATTTAAAACCGTGATGATATGGGGGGGCTGTTTCCAGTTTTTTTTTAATGAGGCCACTAAAAGACACATTTTTCTGTGAAATGTATTTATCAGCTATAAAGAAGATGCAATTAACAGCTTACCCTTGTATTTTCAGTTTTGTTGTATCCAGTATAAAGAGTAAGAAATGCTATCATCTCAGCCCATTGTTGTAATGCTAAACAGACTTTAGATGTGCTTATACATGTGGCTTTTCATGATGTTGGCAAAGGGATTCTTGCACCGTGTGAGATTATTATTATTATTATTAATTCAATTTATATACCACCCTTTATCAGAAAATCCCAGGGCAGTGTCTGAACCCTAATAAGCGGAACCATGGTTTATTGAAACAAGCCAACTTCATAAAACCCAGGTTTGAAATTATCATAAATAACTTAACTGCAACTAGTGAAAACAGAGGCAAAAAATTGTGATAGCATAGGCGAGAGGAGGGAATGTCAGCCCACAGCTTACTTATGCTCATCCCCATAATAATAAACCATAGTTTGTCATTGCATCAGAATACAACAGGAGCATAAGAATTTTATGCAAACAGAACACTTAAAAAAAATACGGTAAGTTCCAGATTGGACAATTAAATTTTTTAGAATGCATTTCATGTTGCACATTTTCTTGCAAATAAAATTAAAAATACAAATTAGTGTATATAGATTGTTAGGAGTGCCGTCTACCTCCCGTTAGTTGCAAAACTGTAATTTCATGTTGAATTTATGGAGCTGAAATAAACTAATAATCATTCATTAATCTGTGATGTGGTTCTGAAAATGGTTTCCAAGATACTGCTGTAATAAAATGCAAAGGCTGCTCATCTTCTTAACCGGCAGAATTTAAAAGGCTGACTCTATAGTTCTGCGTGATTCAGTCACCTAATGAGAAGCCGTCCATCAGGCCAGCCGTCACCTTAGTCCTTTCAAATGGCAACTAAATTCTTGCAGAGCCTTGTCAGGGTCACTTATTGATTACTAGTTCTTCTGAAGAACAGCATTCTTATTGATTCACCTACAGTTCACTACCTTCACTTTTACATACATACATACATACATACATACATTTTGAATATAATCTGGTTTGTTTTGCGTTTTTATTTGCTTTCCTCTCCATTCAAATGCCAGACAGCTATGAGAAAACAAAGTGCTTAAATCTCAAACGATTCCACATAATTTTATATTTCCACATGTTAATTTTTTTATTGTTTGATTGTTTCATCCTTCGGGTGACAGGAGAAGTTATTTTCATACAAAGGAATCATATGAGTTGACGTAACAGTAGTCGAAAGGCTAAACTAGACAAGACTGATCTGCCTTGGTTTTATGCTTCTAATAAAGGACTAGATAGTGGCAGAATAGATTTGTGCTAGTAAAACCATGACCCACTAGATCAGGTAAAGTTTTGTTATTGGCTTCAATAAAATTAGATTTAACATATGTATAAATCTATACAAACAATGAATTGGCTCTTCCTGCTCTTATATGTATCTATGTTTCTCTGGCTTCCTGTTTCCGCCACTCCATTCTCTTACTCCTTCCCAGTGTTAGAAACTCAGATATATAAGCCAAGTGCCAAATGCCTCCTTAAACCAGGGTTACAGTTGCCAAAACAGAACGTCTAGTTGCTGTTTGCGGGGGGGGGGGCATGTGGCTTGAAAGCCCTATTTTTCAGTACAACTTTTTGGTTCCTGAAATTCATTCTGGTTGTGCAGATAAAATATAGCGGATAGAATTCTATAGGATGTGTTGTTAGTGTGTGGAAACAGGCAAGATCCAAGGATCCTCAGGTATGCATCTCCAGATGGTGAGACTTCAGGCACAATCCTGGTAACTGGACATCTTCACATAGTCACAAGTGGCCGAGAGCTAGGTACAAAATGTTTCTGGCACTTGGCGAATTTCAAAGGCTGATCCCTCCAACCCAGTTTTCAGGCTTTGCCCTCTTCTCCTCTCAGACTCTCCACATTTCTGACTGCTGAGTTATTATGTGTTTGTATTAGGAATCCCTTCCCCACATAGGTTTGGTGGTGGTGGTGGCTGGGTTTTTGGCAGATTCTTCGTTTTGTTGTGTACTTCAGGGTTATGCTGAACCCGCTGGTATTTCTCTCTTCTGTGTCGGTGGTTCAGTTTTGGCTACACAAACAGGAGCATGGGGAGACTTACATTTGAAAATAGAATCCTGATTATATATGTACGTTCCTTGTGTATACACTCGCAAATGTGCAAAGATGAACTGGGAACGTGGGACGTGTTGCTAGTTTAAATAATCATCTCTGCCTTTATTTTCATCGCTAGGTTATTTGGATGGCACTGCAAAAAAATTATTGTTTGGTGCCTTGTTCAGTTGTGCGTAAGGTCAAGTTCACACTTTGCCTGTATGTCTCTCATCACTTTAGTGCTTGATGATGCACAGCTTTTTGAGACGATGTCGAAGTTCATGGTTCTCTTTCCTCCCTCTCCCCCTTCCCCATTTTATCATCTCAGTGACCCTGTGAGTCAGGTTGGGCTGAAAAAGAGTGATTGGCCCACGGTTACTCTGTAAGCTTCATGACTCGCTTGGATCCTAGCCTGATCCTCTCTTAAGTCCTGCAACACACCGGCTCTCGTTCATCCTTGAAAACCATCCATTGGCTTTTGAGAGGTGATGAGCATACATGTATGAATCAGCCCTTATTTTTAAGCACATGCTGGGTGTATACTGGTTTAGAACCAGAAACATTTAAGAGGCAATGGCTAGTGGTGCCTGCCTGCCTGCCTGCTTGCACAACAGCAATGAGGCTTCTGGCAGAGCAGATTTGCGGAGTGTGGCAGAACGGAAAAAGTCATCCTGTGTGCAGGTAGAGCCCTGCTTCTGCGATGATGGAGCGCACACTATGTGTTCCCCCTTTTTTCCTTGTATCAGTTTGAAGCAGTTGTGTTCGGTGGCCAAAACAAGCACATAAGTGATACGTTTCAGTTTACGAACAAAATGATCCAACTTACTCCGACTTGTTGCCTTTTGTAAATTTAGGGGTCAGATCGGAAGGTAAGCCTGCAGTCGCCGGAACAGAAAATCAGTGGGAGAAAAATGTTTTAAGCCTGCCGTGTCTGCCTTGGAAAATCTAATAAGGTCGCTTTGTAAAAATGATTAAACATTTCTGTACATTCTCGCTGCACTAGAGCCAATGATGATGTAATTAGCACCACGTGACCTTTGCTTTATGCTTTCAGATGGGATCCATAAATATTTAATAACACGGGAGACTCTCTGTTCTCTCTTCATAAAAGAAGGAAAGCTCTTGTCAGCCGCAGCGTGGCCCTGCCTTCGGAAGTCGCAGCACGATGACTTGCTTGTGCTAAACCGTATCAAATCCAATTGCTTGCTTCCCCGAGTCCAGCTAGCTTGAGTCAGCCATGCAAGGAACTATGCAGCGCTTGATGAATTCGCGAGAAACTGTGTTTGCCTGGGGCTGCTTCTGCATCGCCTGCAGAACGGACCTGGGCCGGTAGCAGGGAACAAGACAATGGCTTCAGCGTAGTGCGATCCCACGCTCCCAGAACATGAATGCGACTCTGCTATTTATTTATTATTTAACTTTTGAAACTGTATGTCCCACCATATCGTTGAAGCCTCTAGGCAGGGCACATGTCAGTAGTGCATGGCATGGATGGGGCGCCATTTGTCTGGTTCCCTCCTGCACGGTTGTCTTGTCCGCCTGTGTGCTGCTGTATTGTCCGCTCACGCAGTGTTGAATTGGCTCCCAGCCTTTGGGCTGCACATGTAAAAGTGGACCTACACAGAGTAGCCATGACAACACAGCAAGTGGAAACCGGAGGGAACATGCCGGAAAAGCTTTGCTTTTAACTTCAGGCCTCCTTTGCCTTGTTATTTTGGTTCCATCAGCCGCTAATGCTCAGTGCTGGTTTGTTTTACGGGGAGCTACCGTCCTTGAGGACACGGGTGGCGCTGTGGGTTAAACCACAGAGCCTAGGACTTGATGATCAGAAGGTCAGCGGTTTGAATCCCCGCGACGGGGTGAGCTCCCGTTGCTCGGTCCCTGCTCCTGCCAACCTAGCAGTTCGAAAGCACGTCAAAGTGCAAGTAGATAAATAGGTAAGGTAAATGGCATTTCCGTGTGCTGCTCTGGTTCGCCAGAAGCGGCTTAGTCATGCTGGCCACATGACCCGGAAGCTGTACGCTGGCTCCCTCGGCCAATAAAGCGAGATGAGCACCGCAACCCCAGAGTCGTCTGCGACTGGACCTAATGGTCGGGGGTCCCTTACCGTCCTTGCTCCCACTGCTCTCCAACCCCACCCCGTTGCAAACTCCTGCAGTTACATGTGGACACCTCCCCCATAGCTCTCCTCACAGCCATCCCCTCAGGGTTCACCCCAAATACAGCTCCCAACAGCTTGCCCAAATCCCCCTTCCCTCAGAAGCTTGCCCAGTCCCACCATGCCCCCTGTCACTGCTGCTTCCGGTAAGGGGGCAACAGGAACAAATAGGAGAAATTTGACTTTCTTCCCCCTCGTTGCTCTCCTGCCCTGTGGCAGCAGCTGCCCTGTCCCCCTGGCCTGGATGTTGTCACCGGTGGAACTGAACTGGTGGGGAAGGGAAGAAGAGTGCTTTTGGCATGGAGAAGAAAGCCAGAACCCACCCCGTTGGCATTGGTAAAGGAGAAGGGCGACTCCATCAAGCCCCCTCCTCTGGGGATTCTGCCATCAAGGGAAGAACTGGGAGTCAGGAGCTGCCCACCTCTGCAGGAAACTCCTTACATGCACATAAATCACAATCTCTTTAGCTGCTTTGAAAACAGCAATGACATTGGAGAGGGGGCAGGAGGGATATTCCTTTTTTAAAAATTCCAGGGCTGTTAAAAAAGCTTGAGGACAGGGGCCATCTTAGACCTGATTTCTGTCAGTCAATATGAGAGCTTCAGGGCAGGGTATAAATTCTGCAAATAAATAATAACAACAACAAGCGTTAGCCTCTTCCAGACTCTTCACAGACTGTTCCTCTTATATGAAGAGACCAGTTGCTTTCTGCACCAACTAATCTCTTCCTGCCCCTTCTCCCAGCCACTGTCCATTCGAAGCCAGTTTTTCACACTTCATCCTTTCATCCAAGTGGCCTTTGTCCCCCTGCTCCTTGCATGAAACATAACCCTTCACTCTGGCTCTTCCTTTCAGTTACCAGAACCTCCATTCAGGTGTCAGTTTCAAGAGCGGCATGCGTCAGAGACTACAGTAGAGACCTCTGGTGCCTATGTGCCGCTATGACTTCTGCACAAGGCACAAGAGAAAACATAACTTTCAGGGCACTGCATTCATAAGGACTAAAAATATCCCTCTTAAAAACGTGAAAGGTGAAAAATCGAACATTTTCCCCTTCCCCCCCAGAAACAAGGTGCTTAAGACATGGGTAGGCAAACTAAGGCCCGGGGGCCGGATCTGGCTCAGTCGCTTTCTAAATCCGGCCCGGAGTGCAGGATAATTGTCAGTCTTTAGGCTGGAGGACTGGCCATTAAAGAGACTATACTGCTCTAAAGAGACACAGAATGTAGGAGAGCTGGCCTGGAGGCAAGACTCAAAAGGCCTCAGGTTTTGTTACATCCTTCTCAGAGAAAGTTGCTCACTAGGACCTCTGCTTGCTAACCTGCCCCATGGGGTCCTCCATGGAACAAGAACAGGACATGCATTTTGGAACTTCTTGATTATGTTGCTTTCTGTGAGCTGTTTCTTGTGAGCCTGTCCTCTCCAGGTCTTCACCTGTTCTGGACACCAGTCTGCCTGCCCCTCTTTTCCTACTTCTGATTCTGCACAGATCAGGGGTAGGCAACCTAAGGCCCATGGGCCGGATGCGGCCCAATTGCCTTCTCAATCCAGCCCGCGGACAGTCCGGGAATCAGCATGTTTTTACATGAGTAGAATGTGTCCTTTTATTTAAAATTCATCTCTGGGTTATTTGTGGGACTTGCCTGGTGTTTTTACATGAGTAGAATGTGTGCTTTTGTTTAAAATGCATCTCTGGGTTATTTGTGGGGCATAGGAATTCGTTCATTGTTTTCTTCAAAATATAGTCCAGCCCACCACATTGTCTAAGGGACGGTGGACTGGCCCACAGCTGAAGAAGGTTGCTGACCCCTGGCACAGGTGTTCTTCCCTAGTCAATTGAAAGCAGGAATGGGGAGCCTCTAGCCCACCAGATGTTGCTGAACTACAATGGTCTCATCCCTGATCATTAGCGATGCTGGATTGGTCTGGTGGGAGTTGATGTCTGACACCATCTGAAAAGCCACAGATTTCCTGTTCCTGATTTAAAGTCTCTACTGCTAAGAGGGTATTAACAAGGACACTGTCTGAGAATGGTTCCTTCAGACTGCTTTGAAATAATTTAATAATGTTGTGCTAGCACATTACATTCATTGTGATGATTCATTCATAAGATTTTCAATTGATTACCTGATGTGCTCCTTCTCAAGCTTGGAATTTGAAAAGAGTTGTAAACAAGGGAGCCGACGTACAGCTTCCGGATCATGTGGCCAGCATGACTAAGCCGCTTCTGGCGAACCAGAGCAGTGCACGGAAACGCCGTTTACCTTCCCGCCAGAGCGGTACCTATTTATCTACTTGCACTTTGACATGCTTTCAAACTGCTAAGCTGGCAGGAGCAGGGACTGAGCAACGGGAACTCACCCTGTCGCGGGGATTAGAACCACCAACCTTCTGATCGGCAAGTCCTAGGCTCTGTGGTTTAACCCACAGCGCCACCTGCATCCCTGATCTCAAGGTAATTAACTGTTAAATGTGGACATCTTTTTTGTTCCCACAGGGGGGAAATCTGATTAGCATTTGAAACTGCAACCCTCTTTGTAAACATCTGCTTTCACTCTTAAAATTCAAAGTAAAATGAAAAACATAGCACTCATGCTGGTTCGCATCAGTGTCCTTCCAAGTAAGCCACTGACTGTTTCCTGAGAGGGGAAAAACACATACCCTTGTATTTCTGCCTGTATTAAATGACTGGTTTGTTCTCCTGCTGTGCAATGCAGTGTAATCATGACATCATGAAATGGTGTCACAGCTTAAACCAAACCATAGATTCTGTTGTAGCGAACGATCAATGCCATTTTAAGATCATCTGCTTACTAAGGTGTGTTGTAGATGTGACTGCCCTCATTTAAATGCCACTGAGAGGTCTTCTCTGTGACCCCCCCCCCATCCCATGGAGGGTGCTTTGAATTGCTCCCACAGCCTGTGCCTTCCATGCATAAGGCCCATGGTCCAATCCTGACATCTCCAATGAAAGCGTATAAAGTTGCACTGGTAGAACATCCCTTTGCCTGAGACCCAGGAGAGATGCTGCCAGTCAGTAGAAGCAATAATCATTCTCAGCTGCAGCAACTCCATACACTTTCATAGATCCATAACTTCGCACTGTCACCCAAATAAAGAAACCTTAGCTGATTGATCATCTGTTTTTTAATTTATTCTTGATACATTAAATATGCATAAATGTGCATATCGAAAACATTTATGTCTGAAGAAAAAGAACATATTTTGTACTTCACACTTGTGTTACAGCAGATGCCGATTTAGAAGAGGCATTTCTGAGTCTTTGGAGGTTGCACTAGCCTAACTGCATTTTTCCAAAGTGCTAGTATTTTATTTCATTTTTTAAAACCTTTATTTTTAAACCTGCTGCCTAATTTAAGTAGGGGCACCTTTTTAAACAGAACAATCTAAGCAGCTGATTGTTGCAGCTGTAGTCTTCCACTATGCATCAACTGATGTACAGTGGTACCTCAGGTTACAAACACTTCGGATTACAAACTCCGCTAACCTGGAAGTAGTACCTTGGGTTGAGAACTTTGCCCCAGGGTGAGAACGGAAATCGCATGCTGGTGGCGCAGCAGCAGCAGGAGGCCCCATTAGCGAAAGCGTGCCTCAGGTTGAGAACAGTTTCAGGTTAATAACAGACCTCCGGAATGAATTGTTAGAGACCCGAGGTACCACAGTATTGGAGTCTACGGGCATCAGTTTTGCCATTGGCAGGGCATTGGTTGGCATTGGCAGACACTGGCTGAAGCAGCTGGTGACCCTGGAAGATAAGGAGCTTCCTGGGTTGACCATAATACTGCCACCATGGCCCGCATAACTCACTGAGCTTTTATTTTGGTGTATTAAAGTTCCTTTCAAGTGTTTGGTGACATTTATCCTTGATAGGCCATTTATGTAAATGAGCTCTTTAATGAAGTCTGCATTTTAAATTAGATACATTTTTATTTTAAAAGAAAATCCTCTTTGCTTTCTTATTCTTTATAATACTTGAATTAACTACGAATGTTTCTTATGGGAATACTTTTAATTCCCATCTCGTACAGGTTAATCGCAGTAATAAAAAGAGCTTCCTTGCTTGTCCTTTAAGGGGTTGGCATACTAATGAGACTGTTTGGAAAGCTCTGATGAAAACCATCTATTTGCCTTTTTAAAAACACATTAAGTGTGACCTTCCTTTAAAATTGATATACCTCTGTCATTAATTTGGAGGTGGGAAAAGAAACAAAAGTGAGAGAAGCACTTTGCTTTTTATAGCAAGTCCTATTGAGGTCTGATACAGATTATGTTTGGGTTTGTTTGTTTTTTGCCAAATATGCCACCCAATAACACTCTCTGGTTAAAAATCTGTGGTAGTGTTCATTTAACAGTGTCATCTGCTACCCTAACATAAAATTCAATGTAATGCTCCCAAAATCAGTGTAATGCTTGTTCACCTCTGTATCTGCCTCCCTACATCTCACCCTTTAATGTAAAGTCTCCCTGTCTTTCCCTCATCAACCTCAACCATGGTTAATAGATCAAATGGATTTGGTTTCATTTTGCATTAGGATCAAAAGACCTTGCTGGCCATGAGAAATTAATAGGCCAAATTTCACTGTGTTGTGAATTCCATCTGTCAGGTTTAGAATAAGGTAGGATTAAAAAAAACCTTTAACAAATAAAATAAGGCTACCAGCATGAGTTTTCTCGCAGCTACCAGCATGAGTTTGACCAAACTCCGGGAGGCAGTGGAAGACAGGAGTGCCTGGCGTTCTCTGGTCCATGGGGCACGAAGAGTCGGACACGACTAAGCGACTAAACAACAACAAGGATTTTAAAAAACCCTTTAACAAATAAAATAAAGCAGACTTGAGGAAGGGGTGAAGAGTGTGCATATGTATACTTCGCTGAGACCACCAAAGTCATCACGTGCCAAGGATGGCTAGCTAAGAGCTAAGCCACTCATTGCCCAGGATTGTTCAAGTGGAATTCCACTTGAACGACAGGGCTTCCCTTCCTCTTCTCCTATGGAAGCCACCAACCCACCCAGAAAATCTTCTCAGGAGAGTTGGGGAACCTCCAGAACAGATTTAGGAGCACACAGGAGGCCTGCCTGGAGGGAGCAGGGGAGGAAGCAGAAGGCCCTTTACTCAAGAAGAGGCCCATAGCACAATCAAGCAGGTATTTTGCATGTCTCCTGCAGTTGCCTTCTTGGCTCATGATTATTAAATTCACACTGTAAGTGTTTTTGCCTCAGCTATATGTATGTATGCTATATTTATATCCCACCTGTACATTTCTGTGAGGAAGGATAGACTAGAGATAATTACATGCCCATGGCCATCCACCTGGCTTTATAGCTAAGTGGGGAGTTGAACGTAGACTTCCATCATTCAAGCCCAGCATACAGGTATAATGTTTTGTTTTTTTGTTTTGATTACAGCACTATAAAACTCCCCCCCCCCCCCCCCGCTGCTTCATGTTTCCTGGGGCTTACAGGTTTGCTTGGATTGAAATCAATATTTCATCTAGTTAGCTTTTGGGAGATTAGGCGATACACCACAACCAAGCATAAAATCATTATAAAGCCTCTATAGGGTTTCACCTGTTACAATTATGAAAATACGTATTTCTTCCTCCTTTTGAGCATATCCCTACAGCTGCTATTTGGTGCCTGTAAAAGTCTCTACCTGCTGCCATTTTGTGACTCGTGGGCCTTGTGCTCTTAAATTCAGCTCTCTCAAGTGGACCTTGGGGGTAGGAATTTTAAGAGCCCCTGATACTGCAGAAGTAAAAAATAGCTCATTAAAACTGATGATCAGCGCATTCATGATGCTAGAAGAATGATACATTAAAGGAAAGGCAATAATACTGATATCCAACATTCTGAGTCCGCATATCAGCTAATTTACAAATTTTAATGTGATAATATGCCATCTACCCCTTATATCTTCCTTTTTCCCAAAAATGGTTCTCATTTACTTCCTCTCAGGATGAATTCTTGCCCGCACTTCTAGTTCACAAATCCTCTTTTCTAAAAAGGCTTCCCCCAAACATATAAGACAACTGGCAAATATATGAAGGAGAAAATAGGAGTGCAAAGTGTTTCCGTATTTATAGCTTTTGATGTGCTGAATAGAAGTGGAATAATAGGCCAAATTTAGATGCTAAGACAGATACCTGCTGTTGAATACAGCAGCCTTGCATCAGCAGTGGGGGAACTGGATCCAGCCAGCCAAGTCCTCCACCTTCCATGGGCCAACATTGGCAGGTGGGCAGGACCACACACCTATCCAGCATAATGATGTCAGGTAATGACACCTGTGAAAGTTCAAAGGGGGTCAGTGTAGCTGCCCATCAGCGTACATCTTCTCTCCAAACCCCTCCCCACTCCACTAATACCTAGTAATACAAGCTATCTATATCTGTTTCAATCACACAAAGTAGTCGTGTTAGGGGAGGCTGATCTGAACTGGGGCTGCACTACAGAGGAAGATGGGTCATCTTTTGCCCCTGCAACACAACTCCAATCCATATCCAATGTAGGTCTTCCTTCCACTGCTATTAGCAGCTTTGGGAGTATTATTTTGTTTGCTTGCTTGTTTGTTGAATTTATATACCACCCTATACCCGGAGGGCTCAGGGTGGTTAACAGAAAATATCACAATATATAAAATCTAAATTAAAACAATAGCCCAATAACAACTCCCCCAAAAGAGCCACATTTTAAAAGGGCATAGGATGTCAGTCAGATCAACCAAAGGCCTGGTTAAAAAAGGAACATTTTTGCCTGGCGCTTAAAGGTGTATAATGAAGGTACCAGGCAAACTTCCCTAGGGAGAGCATTCTACAGAAGGGGAGCCACTGCAGAGAAGGCCCGTTCTCGTGTTGCCACCCTCCGGACCTCTCGAGGAGGAGGCACATGAAGAAGGGCCTCAGAAGATGATCTCAGGGTCCAGGTAGGTTCATATGGAAAGAGGCAGTCCTTGAGGTGTTGTGGTCCTGAGCCATTTAAGGCTTTATAGGTCAAAACCATAAAGGTAGCCAGTGCATTCGGACCAGGGTCAGTGTAATATGCTCAAACCGTCTTGCTCTGGTGAGCAACCTGGCTGCTGAATTCTGCACTCGCTGAAGTTTCCAAACCATCTTCAGAGGTTGTTTAGATTGGTGCTGGTACAGAGAGTTATATACAAACCCCTGCCCTGCTCCAAACCCAGCTCTCCCTGCATGTCTGCTTTTTGTAACTGAAAATGAGGTCAAGAATTCTAGCCATGGAAGTCCTGGACTTTGTCGTTTGACCCTTGACCTTCGCAAAAAGAGCCAGGCAGACACTGGGAGCTGTTCTTGCCTGGGGGCAAGTAAGAAGTATATGCCCCTGGGTCACCCTATGCAGAACGCGCTGAACATCTGGTTCTAGTATATCGCTTTGTTAAAACAATGGAACAATCTCTTAAGTGTTCAAAAGCACAGGGGAATCCCAGCAGGCATGTAGCATCTGAACATGATCTGAAATATAAGGCTTCTTTGAAATGGACCACAAAGATAATATTGGTGCCACTGAGCTCCATTTTCTTTGTGTGTAGAATCTGTGACCTCTGGGTCACGCTTTCAGTCCTATCACAGTTCTGCTTATAAAGCAAAGTTGTCGGCTCCAAGTATTTAAATCATCTTCTAGCTAATGCTATTCCGAGCTGCATCAACTGAAGGCGACCACATAGTTCCCATTGAAAATCAGTGGGAATATCCCATGGATTTCAATGGGAACTAAATGGTCACCTCATGTCCCTTCAGATCATGAGAATTCTCAGTATTGTACCAAGCAGGCATTGCCTTCTCATTTAGAGAAGCACCCTATGCAATCTTTTGCCGTCTTCCTTTTCGATTTTCCAAAGAGCGACAGTATTTGGATGTTCAATAAAAATAAAAATGTTGCCTTGTTTTGGTAAAATGTGATGGGATCTTTGTAGATGGCAAGGGCTGTGGCAAGGAGGTGACATTCCTCATGCTTAGCACCAAGCTATCTACTCTTGATTTTACAAACTACTCCACTTTAGATTCAGGTAGGTAGCTGTGTTGGTCTGACGCAGTCGAAATAAAAAGAAAATAAATAAAAAATTGTCCAGTAGCACCTTATAGACCAACTAAGTTTGTTCTGGTATAAGCTTTCGTGTGCATGCAGTATCTGAAGAAATGTGCATGCACATGAAAGCTTATACCAGAACAAACTTAGTTGGTCTATAAGGTGCTACTGGTCAGTTTTTTATTTTTATTACATCACTTTAGGCATTGCCGTATCACCTTTTGCATCAAAAGATTAGAGTGGGCGGCCATTCTAATTGCACTTCCTATTCCTCTTTGCTGATAGACTTTAATATGATCCTTTTGGATCCTACGCTTTAAAAAATGTGGTTTCTGAGGTTTTTTTCCCTTTTGAAAAATAATTGCTGGATACAAGTACCTCTTCCACCTGCTTGCCCTCCAATGTTTTTAGATATTCTTGGAACTGGAAAATGAGCCTTGTTGTGATGCTCATTAAAACCGAATGGTCAGCTTTATAGAACTGCCAGTAAGAATGTTGTGGGTGATGGTCCAAATTGACAGGTGCCTTAACTTTGAAGGTGGCACTTTTTCTGATACAGTGATATATTCGTTATAACTGCATATAAGCACACAAAAATAAATAAATTCACACAGCGAACCAGGGTTGAAATCATCTCCCTGGACTTGTAACAGAATGGAATGCTTTCAGATTTATAAAATAGTTTCTGGAAGTGAGGCAGCCAAGTTGCCTGTGCCTAGTGGAAATGCATGAAAGGACAAAAATGTTTCCAAACAAATGTTAGATGGTGTCAATGGAGAATGTGTCATGCAGTTGGCTTTTTGGTTAAGTGATGACTGGTCTTGATACGTTGGTTCGAGCTCAGAGGCAGGTTCTACACGGCACAAGTAAGAGAAATTTAGGTAATCAGGTTTTACCATATTCCACAGATCTGAGCACCAGTTTAACAGCACAGTCCAAACCCATGATCCACCAGGATGCAAGTTTGGATTTGGCAGTTTTGGGGCTTTCTCGACTGAGCCAGGGCTCAGTTTGGACTACACCAGCGCAAGTCAATCTCCCTAGCTTTGCCAGGGCTCACCCAGTGGAACTTACACAGGTTTAAGTCATCAAAAAGGGATGTTCTAGGGACAGGATGGGGCAAAGAGAGACTCACATCTATCTTTTTTTCAGTCTTTTATTGTTTGCTGGATTAAACAAGTGCTCCTGTGAACATAGGAGTCTTGAAGGCTTAACACTTGTTGTGTTGTTATTTTTAAAAGAGGTGGCCAACATTCTGAAATTACAAAGCAAAACTTAAAAGTTTGACACTATCTGAAGCGCAGGCATATCATTTGCCCACCTGGGGAGTCAATACATCAAGGGTCTTCTGCACAATACGTGGTTATTGCTTTTCAAAAACTGCCATAGATACCAGTCAGTTTTCTAGTAGTTGCTACAAGCTTGATTGAAATTGCAGCTTGTGATTTATCCAGTGAACTCCATCTTTTAAAATAGGCAGCCTGTATGGAGGGTTAATTGGGAGCCAGAGCAGAATTGCCTTGGGGTGACAAGTGTATATTCACTAGATGTGTTGTTTGTTCTTTCTGCATATGTACCATAATGAACAGTAGCCAGAGAAATAGATCTGTTAAAAGGCTTTCTCATGCTAAGAAGAATATTTGCAATTGCTGTGACAGTGCAACACTGCCATCTGTCGGCTAACACATATTTCTTTTTCTTTTTTTAAGTTAGACACAGATTCGCTCGAAATTAAAAGGTGTTCATAAAGATGGAAGCCTATTTCTGAATTATTTAACGGTCCAGTTTAAAAATCTGGACTTCATGAAAATTATTTGAATTGATTATAAACGCATGGACTCAGAAAGCATTCCACAGGAACAAAGAAGGGGAAATTAGGGTTGTTCATGCATTACACTGGGACGCGGGTGGCGCTGTGGGTTAAACCACAGAACCTAGGACTTGCCGATCAGAAGGTCGGCGGTTCGAATCCCCGCGACGGGGTGAGCTCCCATTGTTCTGTCCCTGCTCCTGCCAACGTAGCAGTTCGAAAGCACGTCAAAGTGCAAGTAGATAAATAGGTACCGCTCCGGCGGGAAGGTAAACGGCGTTTCCGTGCGCTGCTCTGGTTCACCAGAAGCGGCTTAGTCATGCTGGCCACATGACCCGGAAGCTGTCTGCGGACAAACGCCGGCTCCCTCGGCCAATAAAGCGAGATGAGCGCCGCAACCCCAGAGTTGGTCACGACTGGGCCTAATGGTCAGGGGTCCCTTTACCTTTACCTTTTTATGCATTACACTGACTGCAGTTACAAGCTGTCTCCTTACTTGCATAAATGTTTGTTTGAAAGTGTATACACGTGTTGATCTGTACAGCTCAGCTGTTGTGTACACAGACTGTACACTCGTTGAACATTACATGTGAATTACTGGACAAGCGTATAGCTCAGCTATTTTTGTACATAGATTCTATATTCATCAGATGTAACAGATAAACGCACCTGATGAGGATCCCATGTACACAACATATTAGGGCGTGTCATTTTAGGGAAACTTAATTTTTGTACATTTCTTCAGGGAAGCTTAAAAATGTGTTTTTGGGTGAGGAATTAAAAATCTGTTATTATTTTTAGGATTAGACATTTGGTATCATTTGGTAAATCTGTGCTTGATTAAAAAGCACATAAACTGATCTTGGAAAAAGATTTTTACTTTTACCTTCTGAAAATGTCCAGTAATGCCAAATAATAATAATAAGAAATAGTATTTAATATATAATATAACTGCAAGTACTTGGTGATCATTTTTAATGATTTCTATGCAGTTTTACACACATTTTACTTGCCAAGCAAAACTAAATTTCATTAATTTAACCAAAAGTATATTTTGAATTCCCAAGTCATTTTACAAGTTTTTAGCACCCCTCATTTTTGGAATTTGAAAGCTAAAAAATTCAACATACCCTAACAACAAATGGAACCATGAACCATGAAGTTACTTCAGTTCAGGATCAGTTTATTATCTGTGCTGTGGACAAGGCTGGTGTCCTAATGCAGATTGTTCTGCCATTCCCTTTATGGTACAGAAAAGCTCCAAATATCCAGGAACTTACCATAGAAAAGTAGTGTTACGGTCGATTTTTCAGGGCAGGAGCTCATCATGATAGCCTCTATAGCCACATGCCCAATGAAGTGTAGCGTTGATCCACCATTTACGTACGTGTACACACATCAAAAATTAGTACATAACTACTACTTATTATTATTATTATTGCTATACCTCTTTATAATCTCAAAGCGGTTTACAACCTATATTGGAGCATCAGATAAAACAATCCAGAACAAAACTTTCAGTATACAGTGGTACCTTGGGTTAAGTAATTAATTCGTTCCGGAGGTCCGTTCTTAACCTGCAACTGTTCTTAACCTGAAGCACCACTTTAGCTAATGGGGCCTCCTGCTGCCGCTGCACCGCCAGAGCACAATTTCTGTTCTCATCCTGAAGCAAAGTTCTTAACCTGAAGCACTATTTCTGGGTTAGCGGAGTCTGTAACCTGAAGCATATGTAACCCGAGGTAACACTGTACATTCAGAGCAACATAAATAACAGGAAACTAAAATATTACCTTAAAGATTTCAAAATAAAATATTACAAAAGAGGTCAACTACAGAATGCACATTTAGCCCAAACGTTAACAAAATAAATCACAAACATTTCAAAAGGAAGCTTTACTAAAGTAAGTCAAATATAAAATACACATTTAAAACAGCATAATTAGCAAGAGAATAAAATATTATCCTAAGCCTAGAAGGTATCTGCTGCTGCTGCTGCAAATCCTGCCAATGGTGGTTCCTGGCCGGGGGGGGGGGGGGCGGCTGTGGTCACTAAGGCTCAGTGACCTGGGTCTGCACTAAGAGACAGCCAAGACTATGCCATTTATTAGGATCAGCACGGTTCTAATGCTGTGCGGACTTCCCTGAAAGTAAGCTCCACTAAACTCTGTGGCACTCACATCTGACTGCATAGGTTCAACCTGTAAAATACGCTGAGCTTTAACAAAAGATCTTAATCCAGCTGAAATGCACCCTTTAGCTTTTAGTTAGAAATGCTAGCAATCTTGCAAAGACGAAAACCGCTAGCATGAAGTAGGAACCCTATCGAAGAAAAGGAAAAGAGTCGCCAGCCTCTGCTTGATTATTTTCCTTGTTCTCACTTCATTAGCTTGGCAGATCAAGGAGCAGTGGCGTAGCGGGGGGGTGCAGGGGGGGCCGGGCGCAACATCTGGGGGGGGCGCTCGCACTCGCAGCTCTCTGCCCCTACCGGGTTAGGGGGCTCAAATTACTTGCCTTGCCCCGGGTGCTGACAACCCACGCTACGCCACTGTCAAGGAGCCTTTTGTTCTGAAAGGAGTCTTGGAGCTTGGCTTCCCACACTCCCCTTCCTTTATACCACTGGCTAAGACACCTTTAGAAAAACAGTTTTGCACGCAGGAATCTTGATACAGTGGAACCTCGGTTGTCGAACGTAATCCGTTCCGGAAGACCGTTCGACTTCCGAAACTTTTGACAGCCAAGGCGCAATGGATGGTTAGGAATTTCAATGGAGAAAATTGAGAAGTGCGCCTCAGAAGCCGTTCAACTTCCAAGGTGTGTTCGAAAACAGACACAATTACTGTATTTTTCGCTCTATAAGACACACTTTTCACCTCCTAAAAAGTAAGGGGAAATGTGTGTGCGTCTTATAGTGCGAATGCAGGCGGGAGGCTCTGCTCAGCGCTCCCTTTAAAGAGCTGCACACACACTCCGTGTGCTCTTTAAAGGGAGCGTGGCTCTTGGGGGAGCCTTCTGCCTTAGCCGCGCACAGCCTCTCCCGGGCAGGGGGAGCCTTCATCCCGCTGCCTGGGAGAGGCTTCGCGTGGCTATCCCAGAAGCCAGGACAGCAAGAGGCTATCCCAGAATCCAGATCCCTCTTGCTGTTCTGGCTTCTGGGATTCAGAATATTTTTTTTTCTTGTTTCCCTCCTCCAAAAACTAGGTGCGTCTTATGGTCTGGTGCGTCTTATGGAGCGAAAAATACGTCTTATAGAGAGAAAAATACGGTACTTCCAGGTTTTCAGTGTTCAGAAACTGAAAAGTTCAGCTTCCAAGACACTCGAAAACCAAGGTTCCACTGTATGTTGACTTGTAATAACTTGGTCAACTCCGAACTCTTACAGACTTCAAGGATAATAGATTCTGGGATATGATTCAGGGAGTTGGCAGAAATCACTCCCGTGCATGAAGGGAGAAGCCACTTACGATCTGAGGTGCTGATATGAACTTATATATGTAGCACCGAATTCACAGCTCTTAACTGAGGCGATGAGAGGGAAGGGGTTGCAGGATACACACGACCTTTCGAATGTCAGCGAGATAAAAAGTTAATGGTCACAGAAGGTCCAGACATTTATATTTACTCGCACGATACACTGTCTGGAAAAACAGTGGAAACGGCTTTTTTTTTAATAATCCAGCTCTCTCAGACAACGTAACTGCAACTTATGAAAGTAAGCTTCTCTTCTGAAAAGAATCAGGGCAAATTCTGAACACATTTCTCTCGCCTGTTCATGCATTTGGTTACAGGCAGCCAATGCTAAGTTTAAGGATTGCATCCATAAATAGCTTGTGGTGAAATGGAGAATAAATATGTGGTGTGGTGTTTGGTTGTTTTTTTAAGAAGAAGCCTGGGTTCTTCATTCATCTTAAAGCAATAATACAGAAAAAAGTAAAATGTGAAAAACTTGTATTTGCTGGGGAAGAGCTGGCAAATTCCTAAGCATATTCCTTAAAATAAAATAAAAACACCTCCCACCATATCCATGGAAATAAATTCAGCTCAATTAAAGCAGGACTTGCTTCCAAGTAGGAGTTGCCAGCTGAGCCCAAAGCACTGGCCTGCTGCTCTGTGTTTTAACATCAGCTTGATCCACAATTATTATTAATTTTTGTAGTATGAGCATAGGTGTTATCACCTGCTAAGAAGGCAGAGCATAAGTTTGTTCAAAACAGAGGAGCAACGTCCAGAAAAAATGTTGGCAATCCTAATTTCCAAACACTTCTTTATCGCCCAATCCTATGCATGTTTACAGTGGTGCAAATGAAATTCATTCCCAAGCAAGTCTCATTGAACTCAGTTGCACTTCCTTCCGAATAAAAATGTTTAGGACTGGGATATAAACTAAAGAAGCATCCATGGACAGCTCTTTCCCATACTCTTACTTCCTGTTGCTTGGGGAATGTGCCAAGCTATTTTTATGTTTGTGTATGTATTCCTTTTGATAGCAACACACCAGCTAGGACTGTGTGATCCTGTAGACTAATGGTTGCTTCATCTGAGTAATCCAAAGGCCCCAAATGCTCAAAAGTTCGCCTTAGCAATCTCGCATTTCAGCTATGCTTTAAAAGTGATGTCGGGAACCATAAGCATCAATGTAAGCTGCAAGCAAGATGTTATAAACTTGGGTCTTCAAAGTGGATCTGTGGATTTATCAAGCTGAAATCAGAGGCTGGGACCTCTAAAGAGCATTTCTGCCAGAGGGTAAGTGACTGAAGAGCTTCCATAGCCGCCGCCCCCCCAAAAAAATACAGATATCTGATGACGTGAGCACATATGAAGCCAGTTACTCAACAGTTTGACATCATTGGGGGGTGAGGTAAAGGCAGACGACAGCTATTACACTGAATTACGTTCCTGTTTACTTTCGCTGTCTTTGGGATCTTTTTTATGTCATCATGTGGAGCTGTTGTTGTTCCATGTTAGTAGTCGCCCTTCATTTCCTAAGGGGACAACAGGCAGAGTTGCTGTCGCCGCTTACTTATTGCCATCTGTGCAGATCCTCCCAGAGCAGTGATCCCTAAAGCTTGATCTTTGGAAAGAAGCCAATGTCCACCCGCTGGGCCTCTTACTGGGTTTTGACGCTGACTCTCCCTGCCTTTAAACAGCTACAACTTGAGATTCTCAGATTTGACCTGGGATGGGGGGAGGGGGTGGAGTTTCGTGTCTGGACAGATTTTCTTGGAACCTAGTTGGTGGGAAATGCTGTGCCAGTGAGCAGAGGTATCATTTTCTTGCAATTGCATTCAGATCCTGCAACTGCCACCTCCTTAGAAGGCGTTGTTGAGAGTCATGATGGCTCAAACCCAACGGTCCTCAAAAGCACTCATTCGCTTGCCACTGGCAAGTGGATTTTCTAACATAGTGAGGACAGGGTCAAGAAAAGCCCACATCCTTCTCAGAGACACTCAGAAATTAATAAAACTTCTCCCTGCTTTCTGGCAGTCTCCAAGTCTCACGGTAACAGGCATGAGTCTTCATCCAATTCAGTGATGGCAAGAAGGGCAGGATAATTTCAACCCAGTAATCCTGGGACTTGAGGTACCAACTCACATCCAAGTAGAACCTGCTGTTCCTTCTGCTGGAGGTGATGTGCAAATCATTTGCTAACTCTTCATTGGAGTTTGTTGTGGAGAGTTTTTGGCAGGGGTGGAGTTACAATTGTTGCTTTTCTTAAATCGCCAAGTCCGTTGGCAGATCAACCGTGGGATAAGCTTTGCAACACTCATGAAATGTCATTAGAAACCATGAGATTAGAGAAACTTGTTTCTGAGTCATTAGAAAAGGGATGGAGATGCTGTGGCCCTTGATATGTTGTTAGACTCCGGCTCCCATCATCCCCAGCCAGAATGGCCAATGGACAGGTTTGCCATTTCTTGCTTCAACACATCTTTCTATCATGTTGATTAGCTTCGTTTTGCGTCCACAAGGACAAATAACTATCTCTATTTAATTACAAAAAAAACATGACTATGGTTTCCACAAGTCTTTCTCACTTACTTTATGATTTTGACCACAACGTGTGCAACTTTAGATAATGGATGACCCAGCCTTTTACCTCTGGCGTGGCGTGAAATGCAGAATAAATTCTGAAGTGGCTGTATTTGTCAGTTCTGTTTGTTGGGGTCAGTTGAGTTGCCAAGGACAAGTGGAGAGCCCCCTGAAACCTCAGCTGCAACCTTCTCTGCAATTGGCAATTGGAGAGGAGGACAAAGACTGACTGTACAGAAAAAGAACCTGATGTTCATGGGCTCTCGAGGTCAATGCTCCCAAGCCTTTGACTGCTCTTTGCAACACCATTGAGCAAACAGACTCTGAGAGCAACAGCATGTTTTCCTCTCCCTCTCCCTTGAAGAGGCATTTGATAGCAAACCTAGCAGCTTGGACTGAATCGCCGGGGAGGCCAGCTGCTTGTAAGCATTTGGTGTGTGCATCTGGCAGGTGGGTGGTGGGCAGTTTCTCCCTGCAAACTGGAGACTTCCAATTTCCGTTTTGAGCATCTGATTTGTTTCAGGGTGGTTTGAGCCGTGTGGGTTGCTTACTCCACTGCTAGCAGCAGCACAGTGACAGGGTAGCACCCATTCCATCAGAACCAGAAGAAAATGAGACTAGGTGCACAATTTGGAAAGTATTCATAAAAGCAGCAAATCCTATGTGTTTTGAGCTGAAACAAGCTCTCCAGCAGTGAGCATTGAGTATTAAACAGAAGCTTCTTTCAAACTAAATGTTTCGTTCTACCTTGAAATATGCTAGGTTTCCCACTATGATTTTATTTTTGCATTTATTGTTCACTTTCTGTGGTGTCATTGGGTGTAAACCCGTAAAATAACCATTTGGAAGCAAAGTCCTTGCCTGAAAATGACCCTTAAACTAGACTGGGGCACTTAAAGTGTGACAAGGGTGGAAGCAAATTTGCAATTGCAATGCAGGCTGCCCATTTTGGGCGAAATTTTTCCACCCTGGAGGGGGTTTTACGTTTTGATGGGCAGGAACTGTTCATACCTCCATCACTTCCACTTAGAGCACCTACTTTCATGCTTCCTCCTAGTCAATTTTTCCTTAGAGGAGACACTATTTGTGTGGCTTAGGAAGACTTTCCTTGAGTGCAAATCACCTTAATAACATTAAAAAAAAAAAAATCCAGCTTGCCAAAACATAATGTCTTTTCTACATCAGAACGTAAGTAAAATTAGGTCATTTGAAAAATTGAAAAGACAGTTGTGTAGCAAAAGAACTGCAATGAAACACAGCATTAGCTTATTTAAGACTGTGTCATAAGCTGATGAGAATGCAGGTGGTTTCTGATTTCTGAATAGCTTTTACGTGGCTGCCATTTGAGGTTAAACAGAAATGTTATGGGTAAGAAGTGTAACTGTGCACATCTCTGCAGATAACCATGCAGCAATATAGCATAGAAATTGATGAGGGGTTGGCTGAACGTGTGAGCCAAATGTTTTGTTTGAGGTAGTAACAGGTGGCACTGTTTTGTTGCGTTATTCCTCTCTGTGGTGCTGCACTGGATAGTTCAGTTGGCTGGAGTGTGGTGCTGATAACGCCAAGGTTGCAGGTTCGATCCCAGTCTGGGAGAGCTGCATATTCCTGCATTGCAGAGGGTTCAACTAGATGATCCTCAGGGACCCTTCCAGCTCCAGAATTCTATGATTCTATGTTTAACCAGGTTGCAGTCATCAACTGAAGTGCAATATATATGTGAATCAGCCTAAATATTTCAGGGCCAACTCTATGAGGCAACAGGGAAGAGTGATCTGTTTCGGCATGCTGGGAGTGAGAGATCAAATAGATGAAGCTAGGAATTTGGTGTTTGAATGCTGCAGAGTGAGCCCTAGTGATAGAACAGGGGGAGCATTTGGGCTCCACTTCAGGCAGTAGAATTTCTTAATCTGGGTCAAAAGGCCACAAAACAGAGCACTACAGGAATAAATGATCTGTATAAACAATTGTAGGCCCATATTTCTAACATCGACAGTGGAATTTGCTGCCAAGGAGTGTGGTGAAGACTCCTTCTTTGGAGGTCTTTAAGCAGAGGCTTGACAACCATATGTCAGGAGTGCTCTGATGGTGTTTCCTGCTTGGCAGGGGGTTGGACTCGATGGCCCTTGAGGTCTCTTCCAACTCTATGATTCTATGATTAAACAACTGCAAACTGGTTCCACACTGCCACCTCCGAACCCTGAAGGCACTTGATTAAATTAGTGGTTGAAACATTCCATCCAGGAGTTTGACAAGCCTTATCAGGAACCTCAGCTGGTTCCTTGAGCCACCTCCTCTCTGATTCCGTTTTGCCATGGCTGTTAACATTGTAATTGAGAAGCCAGAAACACCCCAAATATTCAAAAATTGGCCCTAGAGAAGCCATAAATTAACTTGCAAGGAAATACGACAAAGGGAGTGAAAACCAATAAAAGAGCAGCACAGAAACAAAGCCATTGACTGACTTTGAATGGTTGCCAAAGAGAAGTTCTGTACTTTTTAAAACGGCATCAATCCAGACAAAGCTCAGGGTCCACCATGCACTGCCTGGTTCTCTGTAGCAATCAAAGCACAAACCTGCGACAAACTCATTTCTGTATCATTATATGCCCGTGGACATTTTATAAAAACAAATCTGAAACTGGGGTGGTTGTTGTTTTTACAACTGCTCATTCAGTCAGATGGTCCAGATTATACTTCAGAATTATTTTGGACCTCCCTTCTCTTGGAATAAAATTCGCTATGCGTCCCATTATGCTCACAAATCATGTTTGCATAAGCCTGCATAAATGTTTTGGGTTATTAGTTAGAAGCGACAGCCTCATTTTGCAAATAACAAAATTTGCAGGATTTTGGAGAGGGGTATTAGGATGATAGAGGAATTCTGGAGAGGGAGTTTAGGGAAGATAAAGGCATCAAGTTTGGCTCGCTCTAATTAGGCCAAAATCAGTAAACCAGAAATTCAGCAGTTGCTGTGCTTGGATCTGCCAAGTCCCAGCTTCTGCCAATGTTAAATGTTGGAACAACTTTTCAGAGTGTTTTCATTTCAATCGGCATAGAGGAGGGGAGTTCATAAAATTGACACCGAAAAATATAGGAGGGATGGACTCAGGCAACTAAATACATTAAGCACTCTGATCATAGAGAAGCAGCAGTCAGCTCTCCAGCAGCTATGATCTTGAAGACTTTCCCCCCATTTTTGGTTTTTCCATCTGTTTCTATGGAAACACTGAGACGGAAGAGACGTCCTGCCAGGAAAAGTAAAGTTGGAACCCTTGTAAAAATACAAAAAACATCCTCTTGCTAGGGAAGCAGAAATTAGCATTTGCCATTCTCCTTGCCAATAACACCTACAAGAGTTGGGGTCCAAAAGGCCTGCGGGGATTCCCGCCCCCCATTAGTAAAGTGCTGTGAACACAAAGACAAGAGACCTGCCAAAACTGGAACGGCAATCCATCACTCTTCTCTTTAAAAGGAAGCAGGCCACTTAGGGCCGATTTAAACTCTCATCAGAATCCAGTGGTAAAAGCTTTTCCTGGACCGTGTTCTTTTAGGTTGCAATGGGCAAATGCCTGTTTGACTGCTCCCCTATGCTTGTATATTTATTGTTTAAATTTACAGTATATCCTGCCTTTCCATGTCTCCATGCTCAAGGCAGCTAACGGCATTGAATGCAACACAAATCCAAATCAGTATATAGGGCAACCAAGTTAAAAACCAAAACCAAAAAGAGCTTAGTTCCATGTAATTGTCTAAATAAAAAGGTCTCCATCTGTTGCCAGAAGACCATCAGAGAGTGGGGCTAAATAGGCCCTCCTAGGAAGGGAGTGCTTTTGAATTATGGTGCTGGAGGAGACTCTTGAGAGTCCCATGGACTGCAAGAAGATCAAACCTATCCATTCTGCAGGAAATCAGCCCTGAGTGCTCACTGGAAGGACAGATCCTGAAGCTGAGGCTCCAATACTTTGGCCACCTCATGAGAAGAGAAGACTCCCTGGAAAAGATGTTAGGAAAGATGGAGGACACAAGGAGAAGGGGACGACAGAGGACAAGATGGTTGGATGGTGTTCTCGAAGCTACCAGCATGAGTTTGACCAAATTGCGGGAGGCAGTGGAAGACAGGAGTGCCTGGCGTGCTCTGATCCATGGGGTCACGAAGAGTCGGACACGACTAAACGACTAAACAACAACAAAGGAAGGGAGTACCAGAGCTCAAGCAAAGCCACTCAAATGACCCTGCCAGTCACACTTCAAATGTTACTGGAACTGTGGGAAAGGTGCCCTCCAAAGACCTTAAAATACAGGCACAGTTTGTATGCAAGGAGACAAAAACTAGCAGACAATGGAGAAAGCTGATCTGAACTCATCTCCATGACATGCTAGCTTTCTGTTTGCAGGGAGGACTCTTCTCCCCCTCCCCCACTGCCACACACCCTGTCCTGCTTGGATATTGGGTATCATTCATCCACTACCTACAGCTCCTAATTCTACAGTCCATCTGTATAAAACTCTTTTACCATCTGATTCTGTTAACTGTGTAAAGCCATCTTTTGCGCAAATCTTGCTCGGTTACTATTATTCACCATTTTTATTTACTAAAAGAATTGCATGTGAATGTACAGTTCCATAGTCATCATCCCATTGGGGGGAAATGTGTTTGTATGCAACTTGCATAGATCTTAAGACAACAAATTACAAGCTCCATTCTGAATAACAGAATGGGGCTGAATAAATGAATTGGGGTGGGACCATGTGCATGATCACTTATGCCATTGAGAGAACTGAGAGCGCTTTCTTTACATTGGAAAGCTTAGTAGTAAAGTAAATGGTAAAAGGTGCTGGGCTGACACTGGATGAAAATCCTCTCTCCACAGCTGTCAGCAAAAAGAATGATTACATTTGGTCATACCCTTCCCTGGCTGAATACACAGCTGATCAGCTGAGCTGGGTTTTATTTGGTTTATTAGTCTTACAAATTCTACAGTTACCTGAACATCTGATCTATTGGCTCTCCATTCTGGCAGTGCACTTGGGAGAGAATGTAGTGTTCCCTTGCCTACGTTGGGCAATCCAGCATTCCTGCTTTTGGCTAGCCGCACAAAACCCCCAGCATAAACAAAGAAAATGGTTAACAAGCACAGGTAGTGATGCCCCCGCTTTTTCTGGGTCCTCTAGAGGCTTGCCAGTGCAGATGTACATGCAGCTGGCCTTAATTGCTATGTTCAAAAGATTATGCTCTGCAAATATTAGACGAGAAGCAGATTCAGGTGTTTGCCCGTGTTTTCGTGAGCAGTCAGCTCAGTTTATGAGAGCCTTTTTGCTCCGCTTCTGTGCGTGAGGCTCTTCCCACATGCACACAATGTGGTAATGTAATGCACTGCACAACAGGCTGCAGTTGTGTGTTGTGCTGCTGCTCAGTGGGGAAAGTTCCCTGCAGGTTTTGCTTTATTTGTTCTTTGAAACGGGTGGAGAGCCTCTGGCCCACTAGGCTCTCATATCCTGCCCATAGCCCTCTCTCCTAAGATGTGGCTAGAATAATCACCTGTAGTGTGCCTGCTTTCTCTCTTTTTAAAAAAGAAACCTCACAAGTCAAGTACATGGAAGTTAGCATTTTCTCATACCACACTATCTGCAGTCTAAAGTGATGCCACTTTAGTCTACTTGGAGGAATATTGTCAGGAGCAGGTCAGTAATAAGTCACATGGTGTCTGAAGTTAACTCTTTATTCAAGGAAGCAAGGTCAGCTCAGGAGGCCACACCTAGTGAGCATAGCAACTCATCCCAGCAGGTCTTGCCCCAGTGAGGCAGTTGCGAGGACTGAAGGTCCCCACCACTCTCCAAAACTCCTTCTTCCCCTGGTCCTTCCGCAGGAACCTGAGGCTCCTTTGTCTTGCCTCTCTTTGCTCCACCGTCTTCATTCCTCTTTGTGTTGGGAGGAGCTGGTCACAGCAGCAGGAGGAGACCCCTTGGCTTCTTCACCAGCCTGACTCATCTCTGCCTCTTGGCCCACCTCTCCAGCCTCCTCTTCTGCCTCTGGTTCTGGACTGCTCTCTGCTACACTCTTCCTGCTCGCTAAACCCTGTTACCGCTTTGGCTTCTGACATCTCCCCCTCCCAGTCTTCTCCCTCTGACCACTCATTGTTGTCCCACCACCAAACCCTGGGCTCTGAGCCTTTTTCCATTGGGCATTCAGCTGGTGCCTCCCACCACTTCTCGGTATCCAGCCACTTCATGATAAATATGCACTCAGAACTCTGACCCCCCTTTTTTTTTTGAGAAGAGAATTTGAGATTTGTGCAAGTTTGTTTATTTTTGCATTTATATCCCACTTTTTTCTCCAATGAGCTCAAGGTGATCTACATGGCTCTCTCCCTCCCCAATTGATCCCCCACAACAACTCTGTGATGTAAGTTGGGTTGAGAGATACTGGCCGGCCCAAGGTCACCCAATGAGCTTTATGGTGGGGGGTGGGATTTGAACCCTGGCCTCAGGTCTCAATACCCTGGTCCTTCTCCACTGTTCCTCTAAGCAATACAGATGACAGCAGTCAGAAGAACAACTATAGCAGTTATTTTAAGTAATAGCAGTGCACTAAAGTCATTGAGAAAGTGGCAAGGAACCGTGGGAAAATGCAGCACGGGAGAACTTTGGATTCTCCTTTTGAAGAGATCGATTAAACAATGCAGCTAAACAGTACAGTTGTACCTCGGAAGTCAAACAGAATCTGTTCTGGAAGTCCGTTCAACTTCCAAAATGTTCAGAAACCAAGGCATGGCTTCCAATTGGCTGCAGGAAGCTCCCGCAGCCAATCGGAAGCAACATCAGATGTTCGGGTTCCAAAGAACATTCGCAAACCGGAACGTTTGCGACATTCTGGGTTTGTGACATTCGGAAGCCAAAACGTTAAACTCGCATGGTGTTTCAGAACCAAGGTACAGCTGTATTTGAAATGGTATGAGGCACTTGCTGCCATGAGACCAAAAAAGAGAGACTTTGATAAGGATGCAGCCGAAGCACAAATAGATGCTGAAGAACTCACAATATAATTCAAGTGGAGGTGCTTTTTCTTTAAGAATCAGCACTGAGTTGCAGGCCTTGATCTCTCATTCTGAATAATTACTGTGTTTTTAAAGAGCCAAATCTTTGTCACATTTATTTTAAAAAATACAGTGCATTAGTGGAGTGTAATAATTTCACTGCAGAAATAATTACTAGCTATTATGGTATTGTTTGACAGATGCTGCATTCAATTTAAATACAAGTATCTAGGATTTGACAATCAATTTCTTGTTATGAAGCTAAATGACTTCTGTATAGGCATGTTAGCAACAAACATTATTTTTTTGCCTGCTCGTGTAATTCATAGGCTGCTGTTGACATTTCTGGGTACTAAAGGAGCAGAATGCTTCCTTGCAGAGAAAACCAGTCTTGCCTTAACAATGGGCTGTAACTCTTCCCTCGTGATGAATAGCCCAGTCCAAAACCCAATCGTTTTATTGTGCATCTTGGGCCAGGTCAGTCACTCTGCAAAAATAGGATTCCCAAGGAGACAGCCCTGTTGAAAAGATTCCTCATAAAAGCCACTAGACTTTGAAAACTAGCTCGTGGTTGATTTGTGTTAGTAGCCTTCTTCAGGCATTCTTCTTCAGCGCTGAGACATCAAGGGAGGGGTGAGCTGTGGGGATGAGCGAGCCAGCTCTGTGTCCTTGTCCCTCCCCATCCTCCTTGACCTCAGCAAGTTGGAGGATTAAACTCCTGAAGGAGGAAAGAGACTCCTGTAGATGAAGGCTCCCTGCAATTCTTAGAACCCAAGTTTTCCAGGGTTCTAAAGCACACAGAACCTCCAGCAGTACAGGTGGCTCCCCTAACAAGTTCATCCCTGAATTCAAAGCAAGTAATAGAAATGTGGCAAAGGGGTGAAGCTACCACCGTGCCCACCCCACCCCTTGTGTGTTTTAACATCATAGATTGTCTGAAAGTGTTATTGGGGGGGGCACGAGTTGTGCAGCCATGTTTATATATTCGAAATTTTGTGCAAGGGCTTTGAAGTGGAGGGGAAGCGTTGACCTGTGTGAGCTGAGCATGTGAGCTAAGCAATGAGCAGGAAGGTATGAAGGGAGCTTATAAGTTTGCATTTTCAGGGTTCTAAGCACAAGGCAGCAAGCACTAAATTCACGTCCAAACCCCCTTTCTACATTTCTGCTCAATGCAGGATGGTTGGGGATGGAGAAGATGAGCCAGAAGGCACAGCACCCCATCTTCGGTTTAAACTCCCCTGTATTCTTTTGAACATGTGAACAGGGGCTCTGTTTGCATATTAATGTGTAAAACATACACAACATTAATTGCTCTGCTGCTGCTGAGCTGGTGTGATAGTGACGAGTGTTGTTACTAGAAAAGCCCCTCAACAATGAAGTATACATACAAGGAAGTCTCTCTTTTTCTGCCTAACCTATTTTACCGAGTTGTGATGCCAAAACACAACAGGGAAGCAGCTTCCACATCAGTAAACATTAAGTATGATTTGTGCTTTTGCTAGGCTGTTTTAGACTAAACACAACACAGATGATCATCTTGTGCTTATTCTTTGTGCTTTCATCATTCCCTTGTAAGAAAAACTGTGTGGGAAAAGTTACAGCGCATTTTTATTATTATTTTTAGGTCACCATTGGTCAACTTTATTCAACGGAGAAGTTAATTATCGAATGCCCACAGAACGTCTGATAGTGCATGAACTCTTCTTTGCCTGTAGCAGTGGCGGATCAGCCTCAGTATTCTGGAACACGCACAGATTTTTACTTGAACATATTGTATTCTCTGTGTATATTTGAGCTGTCTTGTTTCTCCACGTTGTTCACTAAGTCTTAACATAAGCTGTCCAGAATTTTTCATAGTGTGCTTTCAATATGCCAGTAAGATGATAACAATGTGTTGCCATTTCTGAGTGTCACTATTTGCTTATATCAAGTTTTCTTGCCAATAAAATTCCATAAACTGAGGTTTGCTTGCTTCTGCTACTCAAGTTAATGTCTTTTCACCTAGCTCAGAAACTGGTAAATGAATATTTATTGCAACTTGGGGAATTCAGTGTAGAATTTGTGACAATCTCAAAACCAGGTATGGGAACTTGAGACTCTCCTTGTGTTGCTGAACTACAACTCCCCAAATCTCTGGCCATGCTGCCAGAGCTGAGGGCGGCTGTCCTTCAGCAACATCTGAAATGCCGAAGGTGTTCCCCACTCCTGTTCCAAACCATTTCAAGAGACCTCATTTCAGAGAATGCAGTTAAGACTTCAGTCCTAGATCAATTTTTACTAAGTTCATGCACTGCAGGCAGTTTGAACTTTAGCTTCCACTCCAGTACAAACCAAATTTCCTGAAGTATAGGGACCCATAGTTTTGTTGAACACTGCTTAAGCATTTCAAAATTCCATGGGGACTTAATCTACTTAAAACATGTTATCGGAAGAGCTATGAAATTTACAACTTAAAAGGATTGCTTTCAGGCACCTGAGCAATGGGGTGCTGTGTTTTCCAGAGGCTACAGATATACAGGTATTCACTTGGTATGCCATATCACAGCAGTGGCAAGGGCAGTTTGGCCCACAAGGCTCCCCCTCCCAAGCTGCATCAGGTCAGCAATGGGGCATGTAAACATGCAGCTCCCTGCCAAAAGTGTAGTTTGTAGGCACCATTAGTCAGCTGATCACTGATACTTGCAAATTCCTGCGCCTTTGTTCTGTTTGATTTCAAACCACACACATAAAAGAAAACACTTCCGTCGACATCAGGGTGATGCCCGATGAATTGACAGGTGGGTCCTATGCACACAATCCCTGCCACGGCAGCTGTGTGGCATTCTCATACAAAACTGAACATGTACAGTGCCAAAAGAAAACAGTGACACCAGCATGAAAACAGTGATGAGGTAGAGGCCTGGCCAATGGGATACAGCCCACATATTACCTAGTGTTTTTTAAAATCAAACCTAACCTAAAGGTACTGTATTTTTCGCTCCATAAGACGCACTTTTTTCCTCCTAAAAGGTAAGGGGAAATGTACGTGCGTGTTATGGCGCGAGTGGCACTTCGCAACCCCCATTCAGCGAAGCGGGAGGAGGAACAGAAGGGTCTCCTTCTGTTCCTTCTCCCGCTTCGCTTGAAGGGGCGCAGCACAGTTCTCCCTCCTTGCGCAGCGCCTCTCCTGCTTCTGTCCTGGCTTGTGCCTTAGCCGCACGCAGCCTCTTCAGGCAGGGGGAGCCTTCATCCCGCTGCCCTGAAGAGGCTTGGCGCGGTTATCCCAGAAGCCAGAACAACCACACGGTATCCCAGAAGCCAAATCCCTCTTGCTGTTCTGGCTTCTGGGATTCAGAATAATTTTTTCTTGTTTTCCTCCTCCCAAACCTAGGTGCACCTTATGGTCTGGTGCGTCTTATGGAGCGAAAAATACGGTACATCTAGCCTTAACAGTATGCCTCCCAATAGTTAAGCCAGTGCTTCTGAGAAGGTTACAAGCATGGTGAGAATAACCATTTGGTTGTCACCTTGTGAACTCCGTGACCATAGACTTAAAAAAAAATAAAAAAATTGGACACCATTGGACCTTGTGAAAATATACTGTGTGTGTTATGCATTATAAGTAGCGCTCTCACTTCAGCTGGGGATCTAGAAGCTACACAAGATTATGAAACAACCGCTAGAAGCAAGTTTGACTGTAGCACCGCATTCAGCCTTTACTCTTCAGTAAAGCTTTCAAGTGCATTGTTTTTAATCAATGCTTCCCCCTCCTTCCCCAAGCTCTTGGATCCTCATACTAGTTGACACCAGAAATTTGGTTTCTTTATAGACATATGAGGAAGAGATTCCCCCCCTCCCCCAGCCCCCTGTTTACAGCAACAAGAAATGTTCCAGTTTATTCATCAATTGATAAGCACTGTACAAAGGTGGTGGCGAGGGGATGGGAGAAGGGAAGGAGTTGCTTCGAACATATTGCTGATCCTATCAGCCTCCTTATCGAGTCCAAATCTCTGCTGAAATGTCAGGCACCAAAATTAGGCTATTTGCTATTTCAAAGGTCAAAAGAACGCAACAATTTTCTGAAACTTACAAAAACATCCAGGCTTTTTACTAGCAAACATGATTAACAATCTGCTACATCTGTAGACACCAGATTGCTCCCATGCGCTTGAGAGTCCAATCAAAAAAAGGCATGGAGAGCCTTTAAGAAAGCAGGTTAAACCTCATAGGCCATGTCCACAATTGCTAGATTTAAGGGAATGTTCCAAAGAATTTATGATCCACCAACCGTGCTTGGCACAATACCCAGGCCTAAGTAAACCTGGGTGTGTACTGCACTTGGCGTGCATTCATGGCCACCAAGCTGCAATCAATAGGTTTCGTCTCCTGTCATACAGACCTATACTAATTACAGAGGCTTGAGTTCCTACAGCGTGGCTACCAGCACGCAGCCGGACAGATCTCATGACACAGAATTAGCCATGCTTCTAAAGGAATTACAGGAAACAAAGGCTTCTTAACTATTGCACCTAAACAGTTCCACCATACAAGTTACATGACTCCTCTACAAAGCAGCCATCGCAGAACCTCCTCCAGACAAGCGTAATTGCAGTTTCCAGGCAGGCACACGTAGGGCAGCTTAGGGAAGAATGACAAAGCCAGCTCTGTATATTATTGCGAGTGTCTACCGTTCGTCAGACAGAATGCATTTACCTGAAGAAAGTGATGTTCTGCAAGTTAATGGTATCCTAGAAGCGTTCATTGAAGCTGCAGAGCTGTCTTAAGCATATGCGGTGCCGGGGTGCAAAGATCTGCCCGGTGCCCCCCCGCCAGGTTGCCCAGTCCCAGGGGCACAGGAAGGCCGAGCCGGCCAGCCGCCTCAGTGCCTTGCTGGCCCCCAAACTCACAGCACAGAGCCACCCACAGCAGAAGAGCCCGCCACAGCGCTCTGACCGATGGGCGGGCTCTTCCCCGGACTCGATTCTCGGCCTGGCGCCCCTGAGAGCCCAGCACCCGGATGCCCCGCACCCCTAGCACCTATGGACAAGACGGCCCTGGAAGGCTGATATCCGAACGCAACCACCAATAGTTTGCTTGTACGAGTAGTGCCATCAGTGGTTTCAATCAATTGAACATCATTCCTACATGCTTACTTGGGCAGATGGAGATTCTATATAAGCCAGAAGATCCCAAGTTCCACCCCAAACTAAGATGTTTAGCATCCATTTTTATTTCTCTTCCTTCTCACCATATGCTGCTGACATTGTGATAATGGCGAGCGGCACAGAAAGCCACACCAGAAACGCATAAAAAGCCCTAAGTCGATTTACACAGTCTTAACTATATTCAGCAGTTTTGCCTGTCACTTTCATACACATGGCCAAGATCAGATTACAATTGATGGGTAAATTGCACTCAACCTTAAGCACTGTAAAATAAACAATCTAGTTGTTTAAAATGGAAATAACCCTGCACCTAAAGGTGAACACTAAAGCTAATTTATAATGCTTTTCACTTGCCTCTTCATTCCTACTGCTATCACCATTTTCAGCTTAACCTCTACTTAGACATGATACCATGACAGAAAATGTCAATACAGCATTAATAGTTTCTGGGTAAACGCCTGGCATGTCTCTATACTTTTGCATTTTCTTTAGTTTTTGATAAATGAAGGCACTTCCCTGAAGGCACTTTTAGCTTCAGGACATCTGCAGGACAGACACTTATATGGTGCCTCTTACTTCAAATAAGATTTTAACCAGCTGCAGTATCTTTTAGAACCCAGACTGAAGTTTTAATATACAATATTTGTTTTGGCTTAATACACATTTTCCTTTTCTTTCTTATTTTAATCCAGATGGCTGCAGAATCTCTTATTGTTTCCAGACCTGGTACACACTAGCAAAGTTGAGAGTAAGCTCTGCTAGCACTCAAAATGCAGACATCTGGAACTGTACCTGCCAAAAAAGAGGAAAACATTAAATGAGTCTAAACATTTAAGAGTTAACTTCTTTAAAATCTCCAAATTTCAGAAGAGTCAAAGAGCTTGAGATGTACTTTTAGGAACTAGACAGTATGTTTGGGAAATTTGGCAAACTCGGGCATAGAGAAGGGGCAGAAGTTTATTGGTCACATTATTTCATTCTATGTCTCAACATCTGTTAACACCAAAGTCCTAACTTAAGAAAATAAGAACCAACCATCTTAGGTAAAAGCAAATGAAAGCAAACAAAACCTTTGCTTAATTTGAGTCCCATTTAAAAGAAACATCTAAGGCTGCCAACCCAATAAGTCTTTTATTGAACAAAGGGTTGTGGTGCTTGAAAATCTCCTCTCCTCTCCTCTACAATCTGGTTATGTTTGTACAGCAGTTATGGGATAGATATACACACAAGAAAGATTACACTGAAAACAAAAATGGATGTAGTCGTATGTAGCAGACAAACAAGCTCATTAACTCACAGGAAAAGGCATTTTTATTCATCAAGGTTTACAATTCTTGCTTATTAAAGCATCCGAGAGAATTCCTCCAACACGTCTAACAGAAACAAAAAAACTCACCCACCCAACTCACCCTTCCCCATATTCCTCTAAAGGCACTAAAAACAGAAGCATATTTGACATTCCTCTGGAAGGAGAGGGTGATCATTTACACGCAGAATGCAATCCATATTTAGAATACTCTGCACAATTCCAGATATCTCCGGGAACTCGGTCTCCTCTGAATGCTGTTCCAACAAGATTATTCACAGCAAATACAGGAGGAACTCCACAGTGTGCAAAACCAGTTCTTACCAGTTTTTGCCAGAATAGCATGCTAGAGATTTGCTCCTTGCTTGCTGAGAATGATCTTGTTCAAGACAGTATGCAGTTCTGACATATCGGCTAACAGCTCTGTTCATTCCCTCTGAATATCTCAGGCAAGAACTACCGGTAGTTTCTCCCCCCCCCCCAATAGTTTATGGAAATAAACCTGGGGGGGGGGGGCAGAGGAAAAGGCACCCTAAGTCACCTGAGCTGGCAAGAAGTCAAAGGCTACCTAATTTTACATTTCTAAAAGTGCTTATTCAAGCCCTGTGGGGTTTTTTTAAAAAAGGTATCACATTTCCTAACCAAAACACTCACCTATGTCTTCCACTGGCTCTCAGGTATACAAAAAAATTATCCCATGGGAAAATATATATTTTCCCCCATCCCCCACAACCTAGCATCTTTACCACTTAAGGTGGTAGGAGCGTCAAAGTTTATGCTGACCGCATTATGACTCACTGCGGGCTCTTTGACATGGCATCAGTTTTTTATCCAAGGAAAAGGAACGTGTGGTGTTCAGGAGAATTTGTGCACTCGTGCTTGCTTATTCATTGCTACGTTTAATTTAATACATTTTGGAAACCAGTTTTAAAAGAAAAATAGAAACCCCACAGGGTTTCTCTGCATCTGCAATATAGTATTTTATTTTATTTTCAAAAAGTGACCAGAACAAGTTCTTCCAAAATGTTGAGAAAACTGCTACTCTAGCTGAAGGAAAACAGTATTTTTCGAAGTACACTGAAAGGCAGTGTTGCTCTTGGCATGTACACAGAGATACCCTACACTTCTGTCCCACTGCCCTGCAACAAGAAGGCTTCAACTACATTTTAACTTTTGTCCCCAACAGTTATCAACTGCAGAGTCCAAGGTTACAGTAGGAGTCACAGTCAGCTTCTCTGTTTAAAAAATGAAGGGGGAAGAGCAGCCATTTAACACTTTATAAACACATCATAAAATTTCCAAACAAGAATCCAAATTATTATTTTGTAATGTTATATTAAGCGCAGAAGGATTATGTTCTGCATAGCTAGTGCACCAAGAAGCAGTTATGGCAATGGTTCTGAATCAACTAAGTACTGTGGACCGCCTGTTTTTCAAAAGCCAAGCCATGGACCCCTTACTTTTAAAAATTTTGATACCTCTGTGATAGGTTTAGTTATGTGAATGGTGCCACAAACCACACCCTGGGTGGGTTAAGTGGACCTCTTGGGGTCCACAGGTCACCAATTGCGTACCACTGAGCTAAGGAATTCTCAACTGCTACATACACAACAGGGAAGAGCAGTGTCATGGAAATATAACGTAAATAGGGACAAGCTTCTGAAAACACGCTGCATGTGTGGCGCTTGGGAACCATGCCTGGGCGAGACCTTTAGACTGATGTGTGCACACCACAAACCCCATGTTCATTACAATGCTAAGTGCCCCTTAATCTCCTAGAGATACATTCCTAAAGCAACCTTTAAGGTGATGCTTCATTATATAAGTTGTGGTTGCACAGTGCTACAACTGGACAAAGTGAGGCATATATAAACCCCAATATGGCTCTGCAAAGCTTACCCCTGCTCACATCTCCCTTCACCTTGGAGGGTATGCCAGTCTATTGCATTCATACAAACCCATACAGGATCCCTCAACATGGCAGATGTTTCATACTACTGACCTACTGAGTCACCTTACTTGAGAAAAGAAGGCTAAGGTTGACACCCTTATGAAGGGTGAAGAAAAGTACAAAAATCGGAAGTGGTGCCAGCAATATTTTCCCCAAATCCCAGGCAGGAAAGAGCCTACCATTCCAAGTTTTAGAAAGTGAATACTGTAAGAAAGAGCATGCTAAGAAATGAGTTTGCCCTTGAAAGGCAATTCAATTAATTGTCACTTTTGGTCATTAGACCATTTTATCATGACTGGAGAGGAGACCTTAATACAATTTGACTGCTAGACAGGCTTCTAAAGGTGCTATTCAGCGGCCACTTTAGTTAATAGTAGTCCCAAAGACACCAATTAAGTGGTCATCAAGTTGTTCCTGTTTTAGCAGCTAATTTCCCAGAATGATTGCTCCTACTAAACACTTCACAGCCTGAGTTGTAGCAAGGCTGCAGCTAGCTTTTGTGATTTTTGTTTTTTTTTTAACCATTTAGGGTTGTAAAAGTGCATTAAGTTTCAAAGTAAGAGGCCCTTCAAAGGACTCAACCAAGTTACAGAGATGGGACATCCAGAGGAAGTGGATCACACAAGAAAGTTGCTTGCTCTCTCAGCAGCTACTGCCACAGGTATGTCATCTCAAGAGAAGCTTCAGGAATACTGAATGGGTTTACGTTTTAAAGCACCTAGTAGTCAATCGGCACACACCAAGGATGATGATCCACACAACAGCTATGCAGTAGTCCAGCTAAGGATTATTATTATTTAATCCTGCTTGCCTTCCTCACTACCAGCTAGATACATGTAGCTGCCGCTACCACATGCATGCATCAACTTTTGCAAAACCCTGAAGTGTGTGTCCACAGTTTGCAAAAAGCTTAATTCTGTGTGTTGGCAGCAGCTACAATCCAGCCAGAAGCAGGGAGCAAACATAAGCGGGATTGGATGCAAAGGAAGGCGGGGCTCCAGAACTTCCAATAGTTGTGGAGAAGGATGAATTTCAGCAGGAAAACCCAAACCTGCCGAAATTCCCTCTTCTACACAGCTACAGCAAGTTCATTTTCATTTGGTCACAGAACTCTAAACACCTTTCCTAAAGGGCTATTACATCCCAGTGTGGATTTTCTAGTAGACAGACATTTCACACCTCCTTAGACCTTGAAAGCCCACATGTGATGATATGCTTTAAGTGATAATTTCTTAACATGCTATGTGACTGGAACCAAGACTAAATCACCAGTGCAAACAAAAACAACAAACAAGTAGCCACAAACGTTCCCTTTTTCAAAAACAGACCAAAAAAACCACAACTCCTCTTCATCAAGCCCTTGGCCAATATCTGTTAAGATTTCTGCCAAAAGGTCCTTCCCCATCTGTGTTACAGAAATAAGAGCACATTATCCCTTTGGTGGAAGACAAAGTGCCTCTAGTTTATTAGTGTAAAGAAAAGGCTCGGTATTCAAGTTATAACAGGGAAGTACTCAGCCGTGCATGTGTATTTTGAACAGCTCTGTTTGCTTGGTTCTCAGAGAGACTTCTGTAATTCAATTGCATCCTTCTTGGCTTTCACAGGTCATTTCCTGTACAGGAATAATGAAAGGCACAGGTCAGAAATGGTCCCCCACTCCCCACCACACCTCTTGCAAGCTTCCAGAACAGCAAACTCCACTCTCTAGCTCCAGAGGGGCATACTTCCCCCCACAAAAAGGGATGTTTCACAGCATCAGTCACTCCCCCAGTTATAGACACCAGGTCATATCAGTGTTTGCCTGGAGCAGAAAGCAGGTAACATTCAGGTTGCTGCTTTGTCCTTCTCTCTCCCATTGTCAGGCCCTGATTTCCACATTTCCTTCTCACTTGATGCCCTACAAGGCTTCTCCTTTGCTCCAACTTGAACTAGGCTGGCTGCAGCGAGGCTAAGGTAAGTGCAAAGGCACGGTTGGCCACCCCGATCCGCTTTCCAAAGGATTGGGGTGGAAGGCACTAAGGCAAGGTGATGGCAGTTCTTGGAGGTCGCGGGGCTCGGAAGGCTGTAAAGCACGCGGTGCGAGGCAAAGCACAGCTGGCTCCTCGCTCCGAGGTTCTCTGGCAACCCAGGAAGGCAAGCTGACGGGCGCCTGGTCGGTGTCAATAAAAGGGAGGCGCGGATTTTTCCGGGCTGCTAAGGGTGTAATTGGCCCCGCCGTTGTTATCCCAGTACTCGCCCTGCTGGCTGCGGTAGCAGATGGCGAAATGCACGGCCGTGCCCTCTTGCAGACCGGGCGGGAGGCACAGGGTGAACTGGTAGCGCTCGACGGGGCTGCAGGGCTCCGGGGGGTCCGCGGGCGGCGGCGGGGGCAGCGGCGCCGCGGGGGTGTCCAAGAAGGAGAGCCACTCGTTGAACGTGTAGCGCACCGTCACTTCTTTGGGGCCCGGGCAGCTGAGCACCCTCACCACGCCGCGCACGTCTGTGGGGGCCCCGGCCAGAGCCGTGCCCGTCGCCTCCTCCAGGCACACGCGCTGGCCCTGCAGCCGCCCGGGCCCGTCGGGCGGCGGCGGCGGCGCCAACTGGAGCGCCTGAGGCAAGTGCAGCGGGCGCAAGGCCGGCGCGGCGCAAGCGCCCAGGCCCGCCAGGGCGGCGCTGAACTCCTCGAAGTCCTTCTGGCGCATGGGGAAGCTCTGCAGGCGGGACAGGACGGCGGGCGGCACCTGCGGCTCCTCGGCGGCGCTGAAGTGCTTCACGCTGGCCAGGCACAAGCCCAGCGAGTCGGCGAACTGCACCCGCTTCTTGCACTTGGTGCAGCAGTTGCCGCTGCCGCCCCCCGACGCCGACGGCCCCCCTCCGTCCTCGTCGTCGTCCTGGTCGCCGTCACTGTCCCCCTCGAGGCGGCCCCGCGGAAAGAGCCGCGCGGCCGCCAGCGTCGGGCTGGCGGGCAGGGAGAGCGAGCGCCCGCGGCGGCGGCGCAACTCCAGCAGCGCCTCCTCGGGAAGCTCCTTCTTCTTCTCCCCCGCGCAGTCCCGCTCGACGACGCTGCTGCCGCCGCCGCCGCCTCCTCCTCCCGCCTCCGCGCTGCCCGGCGCTCGCCATGGCGCGGCCGAGGCGACCTCCTCAGCCGCCGGGCGCTCGCCGAAGGAAGCTAGCAGTTGCCCCAAGCCCAGCACCGCGGGACCCCTGCTCTCCATAGCATGACGCCGACGCGGCGCCTCGCTCGTTCTCGGCCGAGTCCGGGGCTTCCGCCCTCCCTTCCTAAGTTTCCATCCGAGCGGCGGCCGTCGGGGGGTCCGGTCCGCTTTCCGAGCAGGGTCGCTTTGTCGCAGTTGCGAGGCTGCTCGCTAAAGCCCGTGGCGCGCTGGGCGAAGGGGGCGCGCCCCCTTTTCCCTGCCTCCTGCGCTCCCTCCCCACCCTCGGGGAAGTGTGGGGCGGGGCGGGACCTCCCACAGGAACCAGTCAGGAAAGACATTCGCCACAGGCTACAAAGCACGTAGCTGTTTCTCTCGCAGTCCCGGGCGGGGGAGCGTGCCTAACCCTTTCCTCGGGGTGTGTATGCGGCGGGGGCGAGGGGTGAGAAGTAAAAGGGGGAAGCGCCCCTTCGAATCCGGACTTGAAAGAGTCCTAGAATGCTTTTCGCCTGCAGGAGGCTTGGCCCCGCCACGCCCACCGGGAGTTCCCCCTCCTCATAAGTGGCGTTGCCGAGCAGTAGTAAGACTCCGTTTGGGCTGCTCCCTGGCGCAGGGAGGAAATGAAATGTCAGAGGCAGCCCTCTCTTCGCCACAGGAAGCTGTTCCTGAGGCAGCTCCCCCTTTTTCCTTCCTCTCCTGCTTTTGGCAACTTCGATGGATAATGCCCAGGGGAAAGCTGCAACTATTTCAGTCAGTGCCTTAGAAATGGTACCACTACAATCCTAACTTAAGTACTGTACAGAGTTGAAGACTCTATGTAAAGCAAGACGCGCTGAGCTCAAATGTATCTAAAAGTCATTATCTCAGGCCCAGAAAGCTTTCTTTCCCCCTGCCTTCCTTTGGTGCAGCTGGTCAAGCAGAGAAGCTTAACTTGGCTGCTTGTTGATCTGCATGCGATGGCGATTAAATGATGGGCATCTTTCACAGTCACAGGATTTGTAGATTGTCTTCATGGCCACCCAGTTTGTAAATGATATTCTATTGCTGGAGTGCATGCCCTATTATGGCTAGACATGCTTGAATGAATTGTTCCTCAATGGTGACCATATACTTTAACTCAGATTCCTGCATTGCGAGAGGTTGGACTGTATGGCCCCTTCCAACTCTACCACTCGATGAGTCTCTGTTAGGAAGTGTGGAAGTATGTGTTATCCTCAGACTCACTGTATTTTTACTTCACATATGCAGGTCAAAGCTTGTCTCTGAAAAACAGCATTGAGCCAAACCCTGGCGCAAATTAAACCACATGCCAAACTAAGCCTGATGCTGTTATCTAGAATCAGGGCTGTAATCATAGGCACACTTTGGTGTTTGAAACTAATAATGGGATATAGTGGAACTAAACTGAAATATAGCACAAGTTTAGCATTCATTTCCATATTATTTGCAAACAATATTTGCAAACGATATTGGAGCAGAAAAGAAAGACCTTAAATCAAAATCACAGCCATCTGAGGTCTATCTAGGCATTATTGCATGCACATTCACTTTATTAAGTTTGCAGCTGACTTACTCCAGGGAAGTGTGCCTCACAGTGCTTTGGCTTTATGTGAATTGTGTGTCAAGAAGCCAGACAAAATAGAGGACATGCTACACCTGCGGGAAATTCCCTCCTTTGAACAACTAATAAAGGTGAAGAAGTCCTTTCCTTTAAAAAAACACATGCAACTAGAATCTTTAAAAAGCATTTACTACACACAGATACATCCTGTGATAGGCTACTACTCATCCTCCAAAATGGAATTTGGTTCAGAAGTGAACTCCGGAGTATGTTACTTGAGACCAGCCCAATCCACCAATCTGTAGGTGGGTGTTAGTTTTAAAGATGTTTCAGTAAATACATGCTACAAAATTAAATCCCTCCAACACAGTAACAAATTGCACACACTCAAGTAGGACAAGATGGTTTCAACAATGGAGTGCATTGTTCAATAGCCAGCCATGTGTATGTGGTGGATGCCAGACCATATTGTTTTCATTTGAGAAAGTTAGAAATGGATGCCATACTTCAAAAAAGTCATCAGCATCCTGAGAACTGCTCAGTGCCTTTACCTGTCTGTTAACTGTTGCTGTTAAGGGTAGCAACATGAATGCAAATTGTTTTATAGCCCAGACTTAGGCTGGTGAGCTGTCAAAGTACTAGCTAGCTTGCACGGGTACAAGCAGCGGCACAGTGGAGGCCATCTTTGCTGCAGCGCAAGATCATGCAGCCCCCATAATTCAAAACATACTGCTTTAAGTTCTCTGAATTTTTGCTTTAGTTCACTTTTACTGATGCTGCTTTATGCACTGAGAACTCCACTGCCCAGATGTTTTGTACCAATATAAATGAGAACAGAGTACAGCTTAGAGATCTTTAATTAAATCATAAACGGCAAAATCCTTTGGCAACTAAATTGCCAGTATGAACACTGAAAACCTGAGTATTGCTCTGAGCGTGCAGCCAGAAATTGGATAATTATTTTTCAATCACCTGGGACTACATTGCCATGCTTAATCAAAACTAAATGGAACAAAAGTCAGACTACCCATTTCATTTCCTTCCCAGCAAATTACAGCATATAGTTTACTTTTAAGTCAGCTAATTTGGAAGGATGGCTGGCAAAGAAGAAAAATGTACAATTACACTTCTATCTTGATAACCCACTGCATGTTCAAGATACATAGGTAGGTATTAAAAAAAACCACCCTAATCTTAATGTTGTCACTTTTACATTGTGTAGTCTTTCTTTATAAATATAATAGGCCCGCAAAATCAATAAATGAGAACACGGCTTTGAGAAGAGAGGGCTAACACAAAGCAAATGAAAAGAAATTAATTATAGGTGGTCAGAGGGGAATAAAATAGCAATAGAAAATAACTGCTATATGTAGCAGTTGAGAGAGATGAAGCCATGAGCATACATCAGACAAAGCCTACATGTTAGATATGCCCCTGAAACCAGTTTGGCACCTGCCTAGTGTGTGCCCTTTCAACTGCGCCCACCCTTACAGTTCCTTTAAAAAATGCCAAGGAAATGAAGAGGCTGGAGCAGCTGGAGGCTGGTACTTTGCATTCCATGGGATGGCAAGAGAGTGAAAGCTGTGCTAAAAGATGATAAAGAGATTGCAGAGAATCTAAATGAATGATTTGCATCTGTCTTCACAGCAGAAGATATAGGGCAGATCCCACTGCCTGCATTGACATTGCTAAATTACAGCAAACGCGGGTGGCACTGTGGGTTAAATCACAGAGCCTAGGACTTGCCAATCAGAAGTTCGGCGGTTCGAATCCCCACAATGGGGCGAGCTCCCGTTGCTCAGTCCCTGCTCCTGCCCACCTAGCAGTTCGAAAGCACGTCAAAGTGCAAGTAGATAAATAGGTGCCGCTCCGGCGGGAAGGTAAACAGCATTTCTGTACGCTGCTCTGGTTCGCCAGAAGTGGCTTAGTCATGCTGGCCACATGACCCGGAAGCTATATGCCGGCTCCCTCGGCCAATAAAGTGAGATGAGCGCCACAACCCCAGAGTCGGTCAGACTGGAGCTAATGGCCAGGGGTCCCTTTACCTTTACCTTTTTATGACACTAGTAAATGGTCTTGGAGTTTCTAAGGCTCTAACATTGCTAAAACTAAAAGAGATCATAGAAATTCCTAGTATAGAATCATAGAATTGAAGAGTTGGGAGGGAAGAAAAGGATAATCAAGTCCAACCCTCTGCAATGTAGGAATCTTTTGCCCTACATGGGGCTTGAACCCACAACCCTGAAATTAAGAGTCATTACTTAGATATATGTACCTTCATTACTTCTGGAATATATGGCTGCTAGAATGTAGTATAACTACACCATGTACTTCAGGCTTTTATATGAACAACTGTTTGAATGTAACACATAGGTTTCATTTTACCGAAGTAATTGTATGAAAATAATTAGAAGCACAAATGCTTGGAATACTAATATAGCACTCCAAAATGGTACAGTGAAAAATAAAGCATTTAAAGTATAGGAATAAATTTTATATAATTAGATTTTAATTATGCCCTTAATTGCAACAGATTAGTCAGAATGCATGAAAATTAAAATTACATTACCCTTTAATTCAGTTTTCTGCTCTGTGCTGCAATCTGATATACTTCTTAGTATTCAAGCAGTAAGAAAGCCGTAAGAATGTGCCCGTGGCTGAAAAATACACAGAGGAAGTACTTGGCATATATAACAATGTTAGTAAGTAAATAGAATCCTTTCAAAATCATCATTTTAGGCAATAGCCTTCCCTTATGCTGAGGCTCCAGTCTACATTGGCTACTGTTACTGATGTTAGTCACAGAGGAGGAAACAGACAATATTGATTTGGACAGGGGCCACAGCACAGGGGAAAGGCTTACACATACATACACCATGGTATTATTATTAATAATATACTGCTATACCATGGCCACAATCCAAATCAGGATTTTCTGTTGCAGTTTTTGTTATAAAATTCAATGAGTGCCTTTTGTTTAATTATCAAACTATCTCACAGCCAACATAAACTACCAGTACTTCACATGGTTGTTGTGGGACTAAATGAGACAAAAATCCTAACACATTTCATACGCATAGAGGACAATCCTAAGGCAAGATCCACCAGGAGGATGAGCTTAGGCTGCAGTAGATCTCTGTCTCAGCTGACTGATTTCACACTCAGCTTGGTCATGTGACCATAGAATCATAGAGTTGGAAGAGACCACAAGGGCCATCAAGTCCAACCCCCTGCCAAGCAGGAAACACCATCAGAGCACTCCTGACATATGGTTGTCAAGCCTCTGCTTAAAGACCTCCAAAGAAGGAGACTCCACCACACTCCTTGGCAGCAAATTCCACTGTCGAACAGCTCTTACTGTCAGGAAGTTCTTCCTAATGTTTAGGTGGCAACCCAACACGCAACATTTTTAAAGGCTTGTTTTCCCTTTGCCAGGCTTAGGCAGAACAGCAGCTCTACTGCTGAATAGCATTTGGATCTGGTGTAACTTTATGCTAGCTTAATTTACACCAGCTTGCTTTACACCAGATTCTTGTGCACAGAATTGCTCCCACAAAGTGTTATATAAATGCCAATAGTTACAGCTTATTTATTTTTACCCTATATTTCCTATAACCTTTGTTGAGATGTTCCATGAAAAATATTATTCCCTTTTGTTGTCACATATGAAAATATGTGCAACAGTTACTTGGTAACTCCTGCCTCAACCAGTATCCACAAACATTAAGTATAATGTTCTTCTGCTGTTAAGATGCAATTACCTGGAACACTTTGCTTTTCTCTCCTGAGAGAACATGTCTTAGTCGCATATAAAAGAGACATTGATTGGAGATGTAACTTCAGAAGAAAAAGCTGAGTAAATACTGGAAGGCTGGCAAATCATCGATTTGTCACGTTCTTGTCCTTCAGCATCTTCTAAAATGACCAGAGTGGCAGAATCTTATTTTACTCCAACAGCCCCATGTTAGGCTTATGTGATCCAAAGAGGTTAACGAATAGGGTTTTAACTTGTATCCAGTTTCAACAGTTGCCCTATGCCCGTTGGCTGTCTTTCCTCAGTATCATTCTCTCCCCTTAGCAAACTCATGACTGAACAGAATCCAGCAATTGCATATTGCCAAGACTACTTTCCCCCCACCCCAAATTCTTTTATTGGTTTTCACAACATTATAAACAAACAAACAAACAAACAAACACATAAGTCAAACAAACATAAATCATAGCCTTATTGAAAATTATTAACATTGTTAAGTGACTTCCTTGCTTCCCTTTGGTTGAATTTCATTGCATATCCTTTTAGCGGTTTTCCAAATCACAGTTCTTATAAAATTTAACTTAAACATTAACATCCTTAGATCTTCACATTATGAAATTAAACATATTAATTCATCACTTAACATAAATAAAATCCTAAGCCAATTACGGTAAGTATCTGCAAGCTGTTTTCAGTTAATTTAACATATTTAACTAAGTAATCATTAAATTTAATCCACTCTTCCTGATACTCCTCCTCCTTTTGGTCGCGGACTCTTCCGGTTAGGTCGGCTAGCCAAGACTACTTTTGGTCTAACGTGCATGTAAAACAATATGCTAGGTGCTGTACGGAACAGAGTGGTGCATTTCTTGTGCAGGCGACCTAAGTCTCAATAGGCTGGACAACGATTTACAGGGGAAGGGAGTGCTGAAGACGTATAGTAAGAAAGGTCCCCAAGTCACATTTGAACAGAAATAGCCGTGTTTCCATCTGTGTTATAAGAGTCCCAAGATATACACACACCTAGGCATGATGCACATAGCGGCACCCATGAGGTAGGTGGATGGAAATAATTTGAAATGCAACCATAGGCACCAGATCGACACGTGCAGGGATATTATAAAGCTGCTGCGTGCTGAAGTTCTAACATGGGCTGGATAAGTTCCACCCGCTCAGCCCTGCTCCCTTTCCTCCGTGGACCTGGGAAGGAGCTGTTGCCTGGCAACCGCCTCCAGAAAGGAAAGGCTGCTACCATCAATGCATCAACCAGCTAAGGGACCAGCTGAAAACCTGCCTTTTTGTAGTTGCAATACTGACCTGTGTATTGGGAAACCCAACAGAATATTGGCATGGTGTACCATTTTGTTATTATGTTTCATCATCATCATTAATTAAATTTATATGCCACCCTTCACCTGAAGATCACAGGGTGGTTCAGAACATAAAAATACAACATGAGAACACAAAATACATGCGGATAAGAGAATAAAACAAAACCAGTAACCCCTTCCAACAAACTGGCCATATAATGAACTTTCAATGCAAGCCAGCTAAAAGTTTCAGAGATGTGAGCACTCTTATTAGCTCTGAAAAATTCCCTTATGGTCAGCTTTCCAGATTCTAAGCACTTTTCAATGGCCTTTTCACCACAAACTAATGAGCGTACTCTTGTAATTTTCAGCCTTTTATTCAAATGTAACTCTGTTCAGCTCAAGACACACTGAGCCTTATTGTGCATAGGACGAAGTGCAAATAAATGCCTTGAAAAGTTATATCATCACTATGAGGTCATTAGAGGAAAAAAGTTTCATTTTCAGTTGTGTTCTTTTCGCACTGCGACTTCCCCTGAGTCAACTACAGTCACACTGAACTCTTTATATTCTATTCTATTCTATTTTTGATTAATTGATTAATTTGTGTTTTCACGAGTCCCATGATTCACTCTGCAGGGCTTTTATTTCTTTCCTCAGCACCCAGCCGCTTCCCTCTCTCAACCGTCCCTCAAACCAAAATCAAGCGCGGGCAACCTTTGTAAAGCGACGGCGCTCGCGCTTCCCTAACGGCGAGCGCGCATGCGCGTACCTCCTCCCCTCCGCCCCTTGTTCCCAACCCACAGACCGCCTCCCTTACGAACGAGTGACGTCTTATGCCCCACCTTCCTTTTATTGGCCGGTTCCAGCTTCCTCGGCGCGCGCGCGGCCGCTCGGAAGGGGAACGCGGCGCGGCATGTTCGCCCCGCTGAGGTGGCTCCGCGAGGGGCCCCGTCACGTGCTGGTGTGCGAGGGGAGCCACGTGCGGCACGAGCGGTCCCGCCACGCGGCCCGCGTGCGGGACCACGCCTTCAACTGCCAGGTGAGTGGGGGTTGGGGGTGAGAGTGCGGGTAGCGGTTCCCCCTGAGGAGAATCCTGAGCGCCTCAAGTCTGTGCGAACTTCGCTGGTGGCTTCCGAGGGATGAGGTGGTTCAGGATTGCACCGCCTCACTGACTTCCACGGGTGTATCTGCGATTACTGGTGTGGCGAATGGCCGTTTCTTAAAAGCCTTTATGTAAAATTGAAACCCCTAGGCGGTGCTTGCTGAGTTTCATGGCCATGTGGCAGTGATAAAAGGGGCGAATTATTGAAATGCGTGGTAGCTCCTAGCGTCCTGCTCCTTCTAAGGCTATAGGGCAGGGTTTTGTTTTAATTTTTGGCCGTGTAGCTGTTAAGGCTTCAATACCAAAGCAGTTCCCCCCTCTATTGATTTATCCATCCTGATAAAGGGGGGAGAGTGTTCCTTGCTTACTATTCTGTGGCTTTCTTTCTTTTTTCAAAATGTTTTTTATTGATTTTCACAACGTTATAAACAAACAAACAAACACATAAAACAAACAAACATAAATCATAACCTTATTAAAAATTACACTTATTAACATTATTAAGTGACTTCCTCGCTTCCCCTTGGTTGAATTTCATTGCATGTCTTTTTAACGGTTTTCCAAATCATAGTTCTTAAAATTACTATTTTGTGGCTTTCTGATTGGTCCTACCTAATTTTTTTTCCTTTTCTTTCTTTCTGGAGAAAAAGGTGAGGGAATTCACCACAAAGTTTGTTTTTTTGTGGGCTCCCACCGCCACAGAAGTGGCTAAACGTAAGATGTGATTAATAAACACAGGCAGACAATGATCTGGATTATTAATAGCCACAGCTTTATTGATTACAGGGCGTAGGCAATCTATATTTGGCTCAGGCATTGGGTGTATATCTGTTCCAGCCCCTCCCCCCAGACAAAAATAATAATTATTTAATTTTTATTTATTTTTTTGAATATTTATTCAAAATTTCATCAATACATAAACACAAAAAGAAAAACAAGAAACACAGAGGGGAGAAAAGAAAAAAGAGGAAAAATATACAGCAAAAAATAGAACAAGAGGAAAAAACCCAAAAAAGAAAGAAGAAAGATACAAATCTCAGATTGCAACTTTTCATTTGCTTAATTCTTGAACCGCCTCACACCTCCCTTTTTGTATTCTAGTTTAATTCGTTATTTCAGCAAATTCTTCCCATGTTTCTCAATTTTAATTTAAATGATTAATCTTCACAATCTCTCTTATTTATTAATCAAGATAACCTTTCCATCTTTTAATATAGTCTGTTATTCAATTTACCTTAATCTCTTTAACCTTATCTTATCTTAAAAATCTTAAATTTTCAAAATTTACATCATATTTATACATATCTCCTTAAAATCATTTCTACTAAAGCCAATTTAATTCCTTTCCAGCATATTCCCTCAAATTTCATTAATGTTGCACTAATTCCAAAATTAACAAAAGAATTTCCCTTGATATCTCTAATTTTTATCCAACGTCCCTTCTTCCTGGTTTCGGGTCATGTCAGTCCTTTCTGTCCATTACATCCAGTCCATCAATCTGGTGTTCTAATGTCCGAGGCCCTTAAATCTCTTCTAGGCCCCTTCTGCAAATTTTTTTGTTCCTGTTTGTGCTTGCGCACTTCTTTGTCAATTGTTGGTTTCTTGGGGAGTGGGTTTTTGTAATATCAAATGATGCCAGCTGGCTGCAAAATATGTGCCCATGGACACACACCTCTGCCAACTGAATATAGTGTTTTATGCCTTTGGTGAAATGTACCATTCTTCACAAGTGCTTATGCCACAATATATATGTTAGTTATTTAAGGTACTTGCAAGACTGTATTGCTTTTGCTGCAATACATTAATAGTTTCAGACATTATCTTTAAGAATGTGGTATTTATTTAACGTTTCTATCTCATGAGAACAGCATTTTAAAAACTCAACCCATTCAAGACTGTATTATTTATTCAGTCTCTAACCAGCTTACGGTACATATAAAATTAAAAATCAACCAGCATGTTATACTAAAGAACAGCGCCAACACAGCCATCCAATGAAATTAAAAAGAACAAAACATAAAACAGATTAAAAACCACCAGTGTCAATTCTATTCAGTAACACAATCCAAAATCATGGCTTCAATAAGCACATACTTAAAACAGAATATGGGCCAAACTAGATGTGACACACAGCTGCATGGCTATGAGTTTAAAGATAGCTTCACTCACCACCCTTACATGAACCTTTTGTTCTAAAAATCAGACATGAGTGGGGTTGACCCACGTTTAAACAAATCGGCCTATTACATCATATCTAACTTGGCCCTTAGTTTTAAAACCTAAAAGTATCTTGGCACATCACTCCAAAGCTACTGTATTATTTAATTTTTTGCTAGTTTCAAGTTTAAAATTCTACTGAGGGTTGTGCAAAGAATAAAATATTCCCTGACAGAATGGTTTAACTGTCTAACAGGCATAAAACTAAAGGGCTTATGAGACAATGAAGGGAAAAGGGAAAGTATGGATTAAATTAAAGCTTAATACCAACAGTATAATGTATTTAGTACTCACTGCCTTGCAGGATATCTTCAGGAGTGGAGTCCCTTAGATAGATGGATGGCATCTTGTATGCCTCCTTCTGACAACTCTTGCAGCCAAGCTGGTGCTAAATGTATTGCTTTCCATTTCTTTGGACAACATCAGCAGGCTGGGGAGCAGGATTATGTAGTTTGGGCAGCCTAGGACTTCCATACCCATTGTCCAAGTTTTCACCCCAGAGTGGTCACTTCAGTGCTGCTAACACAGTGAAAACAATAGAGGAGGCAGCAGTTACGAGTTACCAGGCTCTGCAACCAACAGGCACTGTGATTCTCCAGCAGTTTAGCTCCGCCCCCAGAGGCACACTCCATTGTCTCTTGAGACAGATGGATGTCAACAACAACAAAAATTATTTATGCATGTAACGTGGGCATATCACATGTGGCCTTTTGTATCCAGTCCATATTGCTTGTAGAGCTACAGTTTTCCTCTTGCATGCTTTCCGTGGGGAGGAGGGGATACTTGTGGCCCTACAGATGTTGGAGAACTCCAGACTTCCATCAGTCCCAGAAACTTTGTTGCAAACATTTGCAAATGTGTAGAGGTAGTTTGTATCTGTGTTAAGCCTGAACAAGCCTACAGACAGCATACCTAACACAGGAATGCTGGGAGAATAAAGCAGGATAAATCCTTGTCATCTTGACTTTCTTGGTAGAAGAGTTGGTTACAAATGCACAAGTATTTGGATACTAACTGTTCATAATAGGTTAAAAACACTACTTTGTTTGAGGTATTATTTAATATAAAACAGCCAGCATTGTATTAATGTTTATCTGTGGAGCTGTATAAAAGGTATTTTGCAGTCTGTTTATTAATGATCATAATACCTCATTTATATCCCAAATGTTCTCTGAATAGGTGTCTTTTTTTATCCCTGACTGTGGAGCAGTCCCAGAAGCACTAAAAAATACAGTTGCAGATGTTGGGCAGTACTACTTGGTGAAGAATTTGTCACTTCATGAGTTAGTTACGCAGGAATTTATTAACACATTTGTGAAGAAAGGTAAGAAACCATTGAAATAAATAAGCAAGCATGACTGAAATTCTGTTTCGTAAAGGTGGAATGTAATTAATTTAAGGAAAATCTTTGGCTCCTGAAGGATTTTTGAAGAGAAGCACCTTAGAAAAATTGGGTGTTATTGTTTGTTTTTGCTTTTTGGCATTTCATTCAGTTGTAACAGCCTCGGAATACTTTGGCTCTAATATTGTGTCCAATATAATGGTTCTGAGGGTTTTGAGTGCACTGGTGCTTTGTCTTCTGGCTGCAGGAGTTGTTTGTTTGTTTGGTTTTTTGCTGCAGTAGATGTTGAAAGCTAGGTGTTGTAGTCCTTGATTGCAGTATTTTCTTGTGATGTTAATAGAAGTAAAGGTAAAAGGTAAAGGACTCCTGGACAGTTAAGTCTGATCAAAGGTGAATATGGGGTGTGGCGCTCATCTCACTTTCAGGCCAACAGACAGCTTTCCAGGTCATGTGGCCAGCATGACTAAACTGCTTCTGGTGCAGTGGGACATGGTGACGAGTGCCAGAGTGCACGGAAACACCCTTTACCTTCCTGCCACAGCAGGATTTATCTACTTGCACTGGTGTGCTTTCGAATTGCTAGGTTTGCAGAAGCTGGGATAGAGCAACGGGATCGAGCAACCCCATCACACAGATTCAAACTGCTGACCTTCCATTCAGCAAGCCCAAGAGGCTCAGTGGTTTAGACCACAGCGCCACCCATGTCCCTTTACCTTTACATTTTTACTAGAAGTAACATCACAACAAGTAGAAGTGGCATTCCCAGATTAGTTTAACTATTGCAGTTTCTTTGAAGAACATGATATTAGTTTTTGTTTGTTTTTATTATAACGACTTTAAAAAAAGAAACAATTAAACTCTGAAGTCTTTCTGTGTTTTAGGTTCATGTTATGCTCTTACGTATAAAACAAGGATTGACCAAGACAATACAGCTGCTCTGCTACCAACAGGTATGATATCATGCTGAAAACAAATAGATTTAGTGTTTTTCAAATTTTATAGTACTAAAAAGTATCCTTCAGTTCAGTTAGACTAGTTAGTGGTCTATAGAAGCTGCGTGTGTGTGTGTGTGTGTGTGTGTGTGCCGACAGAAGAGAGAGGGGGATGTAATTCATATACTCACCTGGCCCAAAGATCATGTTTTTAGGTAGAAAATCTAGTGTGCATGTTTGTACTTCTCAATACACATATAAGAAAATGTGCAACTAAGGTATTCCAGGCCTAGTCTTGATTCGCGTTGCCTTTTATTTTCTTTTTGAGTATTAAGGGTTGTAAGACTCAGGCCTCAAAGCATATAGACCTATGTCTACAGCCTTCACATCATATTGTATGCCAGTACACATAGGCAATCCCTAGCCAGGTAAGTGTATGAACCACTCCACAGAATGTGTATACGTAACAAGCTGCTTTCCAAAATAGAGTAGAAAATGAGAATCAATGTAGTTGATCCCTGTTATCTTCTGGTAATAACTGTTCACAATTTTAATTCAGCGTTATTAGTTCATTTTGTGTTTGTGTTTTTACTTTGTAGTATGTATTAAGAAGTTAGAAAATATGGTTACTTGCAATTATTTTTGTTTATAGGCAAATTAATTATATCAGTAGACAAGGATACTTATGAAGAGCTTGGACTGCAAGGCCGTCCTTCTCTGTATTCTGGTAAAAAGCCGATGAGATACAGTAAGTACCTATTTATTAGATAACACCTCAGTTCTTGGCTTTCTTATGAATATAGGACATCACACCCTCAGCTTTTGAGGTTTGGAATTTGGATTGGATTCTGCTTGAATAAACAGATTTGCCCCCTACAGATCAATTTTCCTGATCAAGCAAGGGAAATACTTAAATAAGTAGTTCTCAACACATGTAGCTTGTGCAGATGCATGTGCCTACTTCAATGCGCATCCCTATTTATATCATAATACTCAACTCATTGGACAGCCCTCCTAGTGATGCAGCAATAAAATTGCTAGCTCATTTGCAAAGCTAGGCAGGATCCGGTAGGGTTTCAAGTTGGATGGAAGACCACGTATTGCGTGTGCTGCATTGCAGAGTGTTGGACTAGATGACCCTCGGGGTCCCTTCCAACTCTACAGTTCTATGATTCTATGGCTCAGTCTGCCTTTTGATACAGACTAGGATACTTATGCCCATCTTGGGTCAATAAACGTGTGGAACTAGAGATGAGTTGAGGTCAGTATTCATTACCAGCTTGTTTCACAGTGCTTTAATGGCATGTACAATCTGAGATCGATATATATCACAGGGCACATGCTCCTATTCAAACTCCTCAGAGTCTCAAAATGTGCTAGTGAGGCCTTGTTGTAGAACCCTTCCTCTAGGGAGGTAATGTTATTCTCTCCTAGGAGCAGGACTTTTTGTGTGTGGCTTCTGTGGAATGCTCTTCCTGAGGAAGTTTGCATGTCTCCTGGTCTCATTTTGTAGTCAGGTGAAAATACCTTCATTCCATCAGGCATTTGGGGATTAGTGAAGATTCTGAATGTTTTCTTATGGAATCTTTTTTGTTTTCTGTTGAAAGGTGGTCTATAAATACTGTAAATGATGAATACCTGGTGTATAGTCATTAATGTTTTTTATCGCAATGTTTAGCTTCTTTTTAGAAAGAGTACCTGCTTAGTTATCCAGGTAGCATAAGATCTACTGATACTATGTTCACATCAAAATTTATGCTTTCTTCTTTTAATAGTTATTACTGTTGACTTGACTGATTCAACCTTCAGTCCTGATAGTAAGAAATACAACAGAGTGATTTGGGCCTTGAAGGAAAAAATGCCACTAGAGTTTGATTTCTTGATGGCTTGGCACCAAACAGGTAACAGCACGTTAACCATAAAAGGGAATGGTGGAAGACATACATTATATATACCATTCCATTCTGAAGGCTGATCCTGGTGTTTTTACATGTGACCGATAGGTGTCTATACACATTTAAGGTGCATGAAAATGTAATATAGGAAGGGTAATCTGTCTGTCAGGAGAGCCCCTTGTTTGGCAAGACTGCAGACCTTAGTTTGGGAAGTGCACGTCTTTTCTAAGTAATAGGGTTTCTTTTATGCAATAGGCTGGAATGCTTAGGCATCGAAAGTAGAACTAAATTTGTGGGACATGATAGTACATATTAGACACCAAAAACAATGGATTTTTTGGTTTTGGAGAAATCAGTAAATGAGGGAGTACATATATAAATATTTTAAATGTACAAAATAATAATAAGAAGAAGAAGCAGCAGCAGCAGCAGCATTATTATACAAATAATCCTTAAACATTGTGTGGATGGGATAAGGAGTGTATTAGAATTATGACCTTGTGCACTTCCTAATTTGCAATTATTCTTCCTGTATTCTTGCATTTTTCCAATAATTTCATTTTTCAGTTTAAACCTCTAATAATGTTGATCACGCAAATTCCAGCAAAGTGGCACAGTCTGGTTGCTCTCCTAAGTGCTAAATGGATCTGAAAGTACACTTTTTATCCTAAAAGGAATGTGACAACTTGTGGGATTAAGAGGAGGAGGTTGGAAATCTTAGGCTCTGGCATGGCATAGATAAACAGTAGATTTAATTTCGACACTGTATTTCACTAAATCTATCTTTCCAAATTGCATACAATCATAAAAGAGTTTGAATAGTGTGGAAAAAAATGCTCCTTTTAAAGTCTGTTTCTTTTTTTTAACTTTTGGGGTGTGTTGTTTGCATTCAAGGATCAGAAGAATCAAGTTTGATGTCATACTTTTCCAAAAACCAAATACAGGCCCTTCAGCCAAAAATAACATTCAGCACATTAAGAAATGTGCAGTGTCCAGTTCTGGAGAGCAATAAATTGGAAGGAGAGCCAGAAACAGCATGCAGTGCTCAGGAATTATTTGAATGGCTAGGTGCCATTTTCACTCACACTGACTTGTAAGTATCTGTTGCTTGTTGTAAGTATATATCTCCAACTATTTTTCTTCAAAAGAAACCCAATTGGCTTAACATCAGATTATACACACACACACACACTCACGAGTATTAAAAATAGTAGGAAAAACATCACTATAAAATGGCAAAACCCATCATATTTTCAAAATGAAAGGAGCAGCCAAGCAAAAGGAGGAGTATCCACAACACAAGACATCCACTTTCAGACATCTGTTGAAGTCCTTTTTCTGCCGACAGAGCCAAGCCCCTGCTTAAACTTCCCAGCCATTTTAATGATTATTTTCTATTGTTTTTATTGTCTTTTGTGTTTTATTATGCTTGTATAAATTGTTGTACACTGCCTTGATATTTTAAGTGATTTGGTGGTATATAAATATTTTTATAAATTAAAGTTGTTTAGACACTGTAGTACATAATGTCATTTGGATAGTTATTATCATATCTGGGTTATTAAAAAGTAAGCTGAATTTTTCTGCTGAACATCACTGTTGTCCACAGATCTCAAAGGGCACAATCTACTGACACAATGGGAATTGTACAGGAGAATTTACTAAATGGATTTTGTCCAGTGAAAGGGGAAATTATTCAGCTCTTGGTGATTTAGCTGTATGGTGCACTAGCAGAACAATTATTTAGCATTTTGAATGTTAAAATATTAAAAGAGTCTTGCATATCTTCTTTTTTGCAGAGAAAATGCATCTTCTAGTTTCTTATCAACATATTCATGTCCTCAACCGAGCACAACAGTAGAACAAGCTTTGTTGTGTACAATAACCGGCTTTATACTTCCAGAGAAGATAATTCATTTGTTTGAACAAATATGGTAAGCAGTTAGCTATACAATCTGTCCTATTTAGCATGTTATAACTACACCTGGAGTTGATCAAATTGAGCCCTAAACACACAACAGCATAAATACCACTGAACTGATTTCTGAATATACATGCATTGGGTTGCACTGCATGTGTGTTCATGCAAAACTGAACAGAGTATTATATTTGTTTCAGTGTTTTTCCAATCATTTGATTCACAGCCAATTTCAGGGAGGGGGTGCAGGGGGAAGCCCTGTTACACAAGCAGAAGTCCTTGTGCAGGGTTTCTACTGATGGTGCTGGTTAGGTGAATCCCTCCCTGTGTGTTTATTTGAACAATCTTATGTACATACTCTTTATCAATAAGACTTATTTCTCTGTATATATCCATAGGACCAAGCTGTTTGCTTGAACAGCTATGATCTAACTTCTATTGCAAAGCTTAATATAATTTATAGTTTTGCTTCTCTTTTCCTACCCACAACAGTTCCTATTTTGAAGAACCAAAGTTGGCTCACTGGATATCTCTCATTGTTCATGGCTTTGCTGACAGCCCTGTTTCCTGGAAAGAAAGTGAACATGGTTTCCTAAAAGGCGGGGAGAATTTATACAACTTCGTAATTTTTAGGAGCCTGGACTACTGGCTTCAAATGGCAGTTGGAGCATATGATGATTGTCCTTAAATAATGACTACTGAAGGCATTCAAAGGTGTTGTATTATTAAATAGACATTTTTGTAAAATTATAAAAAAATGTACCCTTTAAAAGGGTAGGTTATCTGGCTTGAAATCAAACACAAAGGTGAAATGATTTTCATCTTAATTATTTTCTTTTTAAAATTAGTTGTATATTTAAGTGTGTGTGTGTTTGTAAGGGTTTAAAAAATATAGTTAACGTTTGAGCTTTAAATTTGCAGCCATAAAAAATGTTGTGGAACATGTTGGTTTGAAGTTGGTTTAAAATCCTGGTATAAAAATAATGATATGTAAATAAAAACATTTATTCTACCTTTTGGAGAAAAATGTTTTGAATTTACGTAAGAAGTTGCAGAAGCAACAATTACTAGACTTTGCTCTTACCAAGGTGGCAGCTAGTAGGAAGGATTGTACCAGTTCTTAGAGCCAGCATATCAGTACAACTAGAACCCTTGCCTTATCAGAGACACCCATATCAATTCCTTTTCCTAGCCCCTTGTGCTGCACACCTGTGCTGTCTTTTTTATTGGGCTGTGTGTGTGTGAATCTGTGTGTGTGAATTCTAATTACAACACAATACCACTGGAAATTACTAAGAATAAAATGACATTTATATAATGGGAGGCTACTTTGCAACGTGTCTGCTGCTTGTATCATGGGAACCATTTTTATAATTTCCCGTGATCCAATGAAATGACTGCAATAAAACACAGCTGAACTTACTGGATGAAGAATTGTGAGTTTACCAGCAACTGTGATAGTTGGGTGGAGATCTGGTAAACAGCATTACTACTATAATGGAAATGGTTGCTAGGACAAGATCTTGTATGGTGGCATCTGACACTCTGACGGTAAGCTCCTGGGAGTAGAAAGGTAAAGCTGATTCTTACTTTCTAGGTTTACCAAATTGTGACCTATTCCCAGTGCCTCTTGTTATAATAATTTCAGGACAGCAAGATTTTCAGGTGCCTCAAGTCCCTATTCAATCTTGCGCCATCTTGTCTGTTAGGAAGCAGAACTAGAGTCCTTTGATTTAATAATTACAGGTTCCTTTTATATCATAGCTCTTACAAGGTGATCATAAAATGTTAAATACATTTAAAACATGATATTCTAGACATTAACTTCCAAACAGTGGCATGCTGCACCAGTAGAGTTGGGTTCTCCCAGAATATTGCATTGCTGTTCTTGAGCTTTGACTCAACAGGTTAGAATCTGGCAACTTCCATGGCATTTCACAGCATACTCAGAAGCAAATACTGAATTGGGTGGAGAACATGCAGACTGACTAGTTGGAAAGTGATTTACCTTCGACATGACAACTTGCAAATTACTTCAACCATATAAAGTAAAATAAATAGGACAAATGCAACAAACTATAGTAGATAAACTCACTGTAGCATAATAAGTTGAGCCTGTTAAGATCAAAGCAACTGCAGTTGCCTTAAAGACAGCCTTTTCTCTAATTGCTGTGCTGATATCTTGGTCCTTGCTTGTCAGTAAAGTTCAAAGCCAGACAGGAAGGAAGTGAGCTCAGTTGTGGAAAGGAGTGGGTGTAATATACTTAATGAAAACCTTTCAAGAATGGAAATCTAGACCAGGGAGATTGTGACCTTATCCAATTTGTTAGACATGAATTCAGCAAAAAATAATTTTACTCTGCATTTTGCAACAGATTACAGAAGCAAAATATTAGGACCAGAAATTATTACAACATCTCTTGGCATTGTTAAAACAAGTTGCGGGGGGGGGGGGGGATGGGGCTCATGATGCTATATACAGGCAATCCTAGGAGCATCGTTGCTCTGTAAATACTCGTATTATTATTTTTGGCAGAGGAGAGCATGTTTTGGAAATCCTTGCTTGACATTATTTTGTTTGTTTTAAACATTATTAACCAGAGTATTTTTTTAGTTGGCATATTGATCTTTCAGACAGTCTGAGCTTCAGCTTTGAGCTAGGCTGAGCATATAACATTATACAGCAATAAGATTCAGGTGCATGCACCCTCTCATGTCACATATAAAATCTTCAGTTTGAATCAGAACCTCTTCCCATGTTCATTATTGGATGAAGAGGCGATAGTCCCACTTGTGTCATTTGTCCACTCCTTTATTTGTCTGTGTGCAAATGCAGATGGAGTTAACATGAAAAGATGCAATGAATGGGAAGAGGTGGGATATATCTGCTGAAGATTTGCTTCCACATACAGATATCTGTGAACTGGCCTTTTACTACATGCACCCAACATACTTGTTTTGCTATTCACAAATGTATGAAAATATGCTATTAATTTCTTATAGCAACTTTTTTGGTCATATTAAAAAACAACAACCCCAAAACTCCAGAGTTTTATTTATTTTAAAATCTCATATTCTTACGTTATGGATATGCATGGAGAAACAATCAGACGGTCCTCTGCCCTATCTACTCCAAATCTAGACTGTTTGTCACCATATCAGTTCAGCTGTAATCGGTAGCAGATAAACAACCATACTTTTCCATCTCCCAGCTAAATATCAAGAGTGGGGACTTAGAAGGCTGTGCTTAGGTAGCTTAAATATTATTGTAATAGGGATTCAGAGGTGTTCTCTAGCTTCCACCTAGAGTAAGAATAATGTCTTATAAAATAACCTGAGCTCTTATTTTAGAATAAAAACAGTTGTTTACTCCTAGAGCCTCCAGCTACAGCTGGCCATCTTAACAATAGCAAGCATTCTGCTGAACACAGTGCTCCTGGGAAGCAGGAAGCAAATTGTAGCATTCTGCGCTCTCCAGTACTGTTTGCATGCACTTTACAACATTTTTTTAAAAAGAATATTTATCATCTGATACAATCAGTTATTAATTTTCATTTACCCCTTTAGATTATAATGCCTTAATTACTATATATTCTCTAACGGCATATTGATTGAGTTAGAATTTAGGGCCACTTCATGCATCAGATTTTTTCCTAGGACACATGTGGTGAAAAAGCTACGTGAGAATGTGTTCTTGGTAAAATGTACTGTCAGTTTAAATGACAGCAGTGTAGGATATGGTCTTTTGTGAAGTGGTTCTAACAAGAAAGTGCATTTAGGAACCAATTCTTATTCCAGTCAGCTTTCACAAAAGCTTGCAATTTTCAAATTAATATTCCGATATAGAGCATCAAATGGGGTACTGTGGAGTCCATGACATGGACATGCAGCCTGTATATAGTTCTATCCCACCAAGATTTACTACATGTTTACACCAAGCTGACACTACAGAACAAGCCCATATACACATGCAATTACAGGCACTTCTTTAAGAGGTGGCGTTCTTACACACACCCTTCCCATTTGCTGTGGTAGGATAGGGTGTGCAGACTTTCCATGAATGCAGTTCCAGTTCTGTTCTTAGAAGTTTGGTATTCCTGGAACTGTCATGGAGCAATCTGATGAGAAAAAAAGCATTTGTGTATCTCTCTAGTCTCTGCCTACCTGTACAGCAGGATTATGTAGAATAGATAGTGACTGATGAGAGAAAAGTATGCCTATCAGGTCCAGTTGAAATGTTACAATAGACACAAAAATATATAATTAATTCAATTTTCACTATTATTAATTTAATTTATATACTGCCCTTTATCTGAAGATCCCAGGGCAGAATACCATATTAAAAGCATAATTTACATATATCGCAATATTTTTTGTTGCTATGGCCGATGGCTGATGCAAATAAAGTTCCATTCATTCATAATTTACATAGTGTAATGATAGAAGACAATAAAACAGTCACAGAAAAAAAATATCATTAACAGCCACTCCACACAAACTTAAAAAACCATAGGTAGTTTGATGGCTAAAAGCCTGGGTAAAGAGGAATGCTTTCCCCTGGCACCTAAAGACATGTAATATTGGCTCCAGGAGAGCCTTTCTGGGAAGAGCATTCCGGTGCCACCACAGAAAAGGCCTATTCTAGTGTTGTCACCCTCCGAACCTCTTGGAGCGGGAATGCAGAGAAGAGCCTTGGATGACAAGCGCAGGGTCCGGCTCAGTTTGAATGGGGAGAGGTGGTCCTTAAGGTATTTAGGTCCTGAGCCATGTAAGGCTTTATAGGTCAGCACCAGCACTTTGAATTAGGCTTGGAAACTCATTGGCAGCTAGTGTTGTCGGGCCAGGATCAGTGTTATAGACGCAACACGTCTTGCCCCAGTGAGCAACCTGGCTGTCAAATTTTACACCATCTGAAGTTTTTGAACCATCTTCCGAGACAGCCCCACATAAATTGCATTGCAGTACTCTATGCAAGAAACCATGGATGATGACATGTTTAAAACCGGTTGCCTAAGTGTACAGTGTTAACACATGACCATGACATACCCCCACACCATAGATCCGTGATTTGCTAATGCTTACATATTTATATGCTAGCAATTTGTTTCAGATGTGATGCTGTCTATGCGTGTCCCTGCATGGATCATGTTTCATTTATTTTATGTGCCCAATGTCACATTTGAATTGCTGCATAATTATTTTTGCCTTTTTTTCTGGGTGGTGATACAAAATAAGTCACACTAAAAATATTCAGGAAGGAAGACAGCATAGACAGGTGGAGCTGAACACATTTCTGGCAGAGCTCCACAGAAGGCAGTGGAGCTCTACAAGATTGGAATTTGCTCCATTTTAATCTTCACAGCTGTTTGCTGTCTCTCTTGAGGGGGAAAACACACACCGCACATCCATAAAAAAATATTAAATCCCCCCCAAACTAAGAAAGTTGCCAGCAAAGTAAATGTTTACACCTTTTCTTCATATTTATGGAGATTTAATCCAAATCATTCCACTGCACATTTTTAAAAAGTTTTATTTAAACAGGAGAGGTAGAACTAAAGGACAAAAAGAAATACACAGAATAGGATTACTGTAAACATGTTAAAGCAGCTTAGCTTTTACTGAGAAGATGTACACCTCTCCATATAAGTCCACTTACGCGTTCTTTTGGATCGCCATTAGAAAATGAAACCATTCACTTAAGAAAAACTGATGCTAGCTTAAATTGCTCAATCCTCGTAATAGTGACAGTAGCCTTATCTAGTGAGCTCAACCAATTTATGTTTTAAAATAGCCGTAAGACAACCTTATAGAATCTATAGCAGATCTGTGAGCGACTATGTAAATAAACAGAAGAGATACTGAGTGCTTAACCTAAGGGAGGCTTAAATTGAAAAAGGCTCAAGGCATGTGGATCTGAAAGCATTTTGGGGGATTTAAATTATGGATTAGATACATAACATCATACTTCTGAAAGCCTCATCATGGTCTGAAACACTGCTTTATGTCTTCTGAACACAATGCCAACTGTGCACTGAATCTGGCACCTGCTGTTGTAATTAGCTTTTCTGGAATGGTTTGTAACACGCTCTGGCCAAAGGCTTCTCTCTCCTTCCTTCCCCCTCTCCACCCCCTCCTGGGCTGCTGTGGTGGCAAAACCCAACACACTTCCTTTTGCAGTTTTCCATCTATTGATCCTTTTCTACTAACTGTCAGCAACATAAGACAATATTTTCAGGTGATGAAACCCAATTTTGGTCTATTAAAAAAGAGCCAAGAAGGCTTTCTACAAGCAATAAGAGTCAACAGAAGTGAATAGTGGGTACTAAATTAAACGAAAGAAGAAGCTTCTGAAATAAAAAATTGAAGCACTGTCAAAATATAGCCTTTGATATGAAACTGAATTGGCTGGAGCTCACTCATCTGTGTAGGTAGTTTGGAGATGAATTGCATATATCTATGCATTTTTTCCAAGTAGAAAGTTGACTTTGTAATTCTCCAAAGCAGAAGAATCCAATAGTTTAGGTTCATATTTGTTTCATTTTGAACTGGAAAGGCCATCCAGATATTTCCAGTGCAATGTGCTTATGTAGAATAAGTGTTGTGACCTAACAATTTTTGCTGAAAGGCAAACAGCCATAAACCTTTAAAAAAAATGTGTTTTAGAGAAATAATGCATGAACCAACGCACTGTGCCGTTAGTAACATAATGCTTAGTATGCTATTGCTCCAATTTAGCAATAGAGAACTTGCAGCATTGTTTGGAGAGTTCATGAGAATTCTCATTCAGATGTAGAGGGACTTTGTGATATTCATCTGGGCTTGATTAATACAGCCAGTGATAGTGGACATCATCATTTGGGTCCAATTGGAAACAACAAAGTTAAGCTACACCAGGATCAAGCCTTGTATAGGCGACAGTAGAGATGTGTTAGGGAGTAACTGGGTATTATGATGAATACAGATATGTTTTAGTTGCTTGGTTTAGGATCCTGCAACACTTTTTCATATCTTCATAAGCTTAAGTCCTGGCTGCTGTAGGTAAATTCAAATCAGGTGACAATAGCCAATTGAAAATTTTCTAGCAGCTGCAAAGGGGTGACAAAGTTGGGCTTAGCATTCACCAAGGCATTAAATTGCTACCGTATGACTCTTCTGAATCTACTTTGTAATGTACCTTCATGGGGCTGATCTAGAAGACTGTTGATAGAATTGATACCTCCTTCCCTAGGGTGTTCTGATGAGTACATATTACACCAACAAGTTGGCACTGATTTACTAGAGATGGGGGGGGGGGGTGGAGGGAGAGAGAGAGAAAGAATGGAAACTGCTGTTTTTTGACATGCATTAAAGCCTACCTTGCACACAGCCCAGAATTTATTGTTGCCATTAAGTGCCATCATGATATTCTAAGAACAGTGTGTGTCTTCAGGCAATTTTAGCTCTTAAAATAAATACATTATCAGTTGCCACAACTCAATGGCTTGCTAGGGTCTTGCATCTTCTGAAAGAACACAAGACCTTTCATATGAGGTGTTTTAATTCTGTGGTTTTTTTAATTCACTATATATTTTGGAAAGTTGTTTGCCTCCTCTCTGTGCATTAACCAAATTTTGCATGATGGTTCCTGAGATCAAGGAGCGGGCTTTCTTCTGTTTGGATACAGTTGGACACCATTTTGAATCAATATGGCAAACTAGACCTTTCAAAACCACTGATTTTCCCTACTGATTTCAAAACTCCACTGATTTTTTTATTTTTTGGGGGGTGGGGAGTGGGTTCTTAGAATTCCCAAGCAATAGCAGGTATGAGGCTGCTAGATCACAATATTTTATCTTATAAAAATATGCAGTCCACATTGGGGATGCTCAAGCTATGTAGTTAAACATCATTCAGGACATTGTGGTACGAAACAGAATGGCTTGGTCTGATGCAGGAAGGCTTTTCTTGTGGTCCCTTTAAGCAACTTAATTCTACTGCAGCAATTAAAATATATTTCCTGAAATTGTCATCATGTAAAAACCTGAAGAAACGAAACTGAATTATTTTTGAAAAAAATAGTCTGAAGCCCTTGGTGAAATGTCTGTTTCCAAAAGTGACCATGGACTGTTGATTTCTTCAAAACACTTTCTAACTCCCAAAGTGAAATATTGTAACTTGCTTGTCAGTTGAGTTGATGCAGTGATTTTGGTTCTCGTGGGCTTCTAGCCAGACAAGCCTTAGAACCGGCAATTACTGCTATCCTGGGAAATACAGAAACAGTTCTTCATTTTCTGTTCCTTCAAGAAGCCCTCTATTTTATTGTCAGAGGTCTGAAGGTCTTCCTCTGTGTCAATAAGATATCAGGAGGAGCATATGTTGTCCTGTTGATGATAGCGTTTTAGATAGTATTGTAATGGCAGTGTACAGTGGTACCTTGGTTTAAGAACAGTCTGGTTTAAGAGCAATTTGGTTTACAAACTCCGCAAAACGGGAAATAGTGTCTTGGTTTGAGAACTTTACCTCGGTCTAAGAACAGAATCCAAATGGTGGAAGGGCACCGGCGGTAGGAGGCCTTATTAGGGAAAGCTGCCTCGGTTTAAGAACGGTTTTAGTTTAAGAATGGACTTCTGGAACGGATTAAGTTCGTGAACCGAGGTACCACTGTATTCTTAAACACACTTAATAGCAACTAATGTTACTTCCGAGTAAAATGTGCTTAGGAGCACAGCCAAATTTTAAAAACATCCTCACGTGCCCTTCACCCAATGTATTTCACTCTTCTCCCTGTATCTACAACAGAAGACTGATTCACCCTGATCCATGAGTGCCCTGTGCCCAGGGAACCTCTCTCATTATTTCCTGAGCAAATTATCAGAACTGCCAATTCAGAAGAGCACACAAAGTTAACACATGGCAGCATATTACATATATAATTGGGGAGTTACGTATGCGAGGCAACTGGATGCCCAGTCAGCTGAATTGAGTAATTTCCTTGAGTTACTACACTTCCTTGGAATGGAGGTCATTGGCATGGGCATCTCCAGGAATTTTCCCTGCAAATTAAAACACCAAAAGTTAGCCCTTGCCACACACCCCTCGTGCCCCATAGATGCCCATGGTCACAGGTGGTGTTTCTGTGATACAAGCTTTATTTGCATGTATACATAGCCAGAACATGCAAGCAGCTTCACCTCATTAACTTTCCAACATGTCCTGCTCACCCACTAGGTTTCTAGGGCCATAGCTTTCTCTTTCAGACGTAGTTTCAAGAATGGCAGTCTTTTTTGTTCTCTTTCAGACACAGAAACATTGATTACATCTCCAGCCACGGCAGGAGGGAAGAAAGACATGCACCCTTCTACATGGAGCCCCAGGTATTTTGTTTCCGTGGCAACACTTCACCTGTACTTGGTCATCACTTTAGTTGTGCAAAGACAGGTTTTCTTTTAGTGATCCATGATGACTGGGGTGGGGGGATATCAACTAGAGCCTTGATTTCTCTTCTGTCTTCCCTCCCCACCCCCAGCAAAAAAAATGGTGGTTGTAGCACATACAGCAGATTACAAAACAGAAGCATTCCCCTTCAAAACAGCGTGAGGATAGAGGGGGGAGCCATGTATCATTCCTTTATTCAACATCATTCAGTCCCTCTACTCCTTAATTGGTGGAACAAAGACTAAGTAAAATCTTATAAATTCTACTTGGGGTGGGGGTGGGGTGGGGATTAAGATCTGTAAATCTTCCAAGTTTTACTGCAGCTCTGTTCATTTAAATGGAGGTTGTGCAACATCAGTATTTGGAGGATTGTGTCCATAGAAAATAGCAAGCTATGTTATGTCTGGATGTTTTTAAAGCTGGTTGGATCTCCATTCTCCATATAATGTATCATGACCCTTGAGTTAAAGTATTTTTCGTCCTATAGGGCGCACCGGCCCATAGGACGCACCTCATTTTGGGGGGGGGGAATGAATAAAAAAAAATTATTCTCCCCCCCCCGGCCGCGGCTGCCGCCCCAAGCCTTGCGCACACCTGCCCGAAGCACGGGGCACCCTCCGGAGGGCTCCCCGTGCTTCAGGCGACAGGCTGCCGCCCCAAGCCTCGCGCGCTCGGCGGGACCTCCTGCCGGGGGCGCAAGGCTTGCGGACACTCGCCCGAAGCACGGGGAGCCCGCCAAGCGCAATTCAAATTTCTCTGGCTGATCCCTTTCCAGGCCGTGGTGATCATCTTCAAGCAGGTGACGATGTCGAGGTGGTCCTTCCAGAATTCCCGCAGGGTGATGGTGGTGCAATCAGTCACCTTGAAGCATCGCCTGAAAAGCTCCTTGGTGTAGAGTTTTTTGAAATTGGTGATGACCTGCTGATCCATCGGCTGGAGCAGTGGCGTGGTGTTAGGCGGCAGGAACATGATGTTGATGAAGCTGAACTCCTCCAACAAGTCCTCCTCAAGGCCTTTAGGATGAGCAGGAGCATTGTCCATCAGAAGCAAAGCCTTCAGCGGCAGGTCGTTGTCCAGCAGGTACTGTTTGACAGCAGGGCCAAAAGCAAGATTGACCCAGTCCACAAACAGCACACATGTGACCCAAGCCTTACTGTTGGATCGCCACATGACACTCAGCTGCTCCTTGTCGACCTTGTGTTTCTTGAAGGCCCGTGGGTTCTCCGAGTGGTACACCAGCAGCGGCTTGATCTTCAGGTCGCCGCTTGCGTTGGCACAGAAGAGCAGGGTCAGATGGTCCTTCATGGGCTTGTGGCCAGGCAACTTGGCCTCCTCCTGAGTGATGAAAGTCCTTTTGGGCATCCTCTTCCAAAACAGCCCGGTCTCGTCGCAGTTGAAGACCTGCTGTGGAACGTAGCACTCCGTCTTCACAGCCTCCAGGAACTCCAATGCAAAGTCTTCAGCCGCAGGAACATCAGAACTGGCAGCCTCTCCATGCCTGACCACGTTGTGGATTCCAGATCTTGTCTTGAACCGGTCAAACCAGCCTCTGCTTGCCTTGAAGACTTCTGGCTCGCCTGAGGTTCCTGGCTGTTCCCGGACGAGGTCTGTGTGCAAGGCCTTGGCCTTCTCACAAACCACGGCCTCAGTCACTGTGTCCCCTGCACGCTGCTTCTCTTCTAACCAGATGAGCAGCAACTTCTCGACCTCCTCCAGAACAGCTGGGCGGTTCTTCACGATCCTGGTGACTCCCTTGGCTGCATCAGTCGCAAGGATATTCTCCCTCATCTTCAGGATGGTGCCGATGGTCGATGGGTTCCTGCCATACTCCCTGGCGAGGTCTGTCACACGCATTCCACCGTCATGCTTCCGGATGATCTCCTTCATTTCCAGCGTCACCTTCTCCTTCTTCCTCTCGCCGGCCTCTGCAGCAGCAGTCTTCTTGGGTCCCATGGCAGCACAGCTCCTAGCTTCGTAAACGGAGGGGAAAAAAATAAATCAGTGCTTTACACCCAAAAAATTCAAAAGCACGCACCCAGCCACCCACCACACAGGAATTCAAACCCAGAACCAAGTCCTTGAATTCCAAACACCCAACCCAAAATCCAAAAACCTCAAAAAAAGTTTTAAAAGTTTAACTTACGAAATGGCTGCAAATCACCAAAGTCTTCAAAATCCTCAAATGGCTGCAAAAGAAGTTTTGGAAAAGCTTTAAAAATCACCAAAGTCTTCAAAAACCTCAACTGTTCCCCCAGCCACCCACCCACCACACAGAAATTGCAAACCCCTCCCCAACTGTTGCAAACCCCTCCCCAACTGTTCCCCCAGCCACCCACCACACAGAAATTCAAACTCAGAAACTTTTTTTGAAAAAAAAACAACATGGCCCAATGGTCACAGAAAATCATAAAAATTCAGAAAAACCCACACAAGCTCCCAGATTCTTGCAAACCCCTCCCCAACTGTTCCCCCAGCCACCCACCACACAGAAATTCAAACTCAGAATTTTTTTTAAAAAAAACACAACATGGCCCAATGGTCACAGAAAATCATAAAAATTCAGAAAAAACCACACAAGCTCCCAGATTCTTGCAAACCCCTCCTCAACTGTTCCCCCAGCCACCCACCACACAGAAATTCAAACCCAGATTTTTTTTTTAAAAAAAACAGCAAGAGTGCCCCAATGGTCACAGAAAATCATAAAAATTCAAAAAAACCCACACAAGCTCCCAGATTCTTGCAAACCCCTCCTCAACTGTTCCCCCAGCCACCCACCACACAGAAATTCAAACCCAATTTTTTTTAAAAAAAAAACAGCAGAGTGCCCCAATGGTCACAAAAAATCATAAAAATGCAGAAAAAACCCACACAAGCTCCCAGATTCTTGCAAACCTCTCCCCAACACCAAGTCCTTGAATTCCAAACACCCCAACCCAAAATCCAAAAACCCCCCAAAAAGTTTTAAAAGTTTAACTTACCGAATGGCTGCCAAAGAAGTTTTGGAAAAGCTTCAAAAATCAGCAAAGTCCTCAAAAACCTCAAAAAAGGCTACCACACCGCGTGCTATGTGTTGCTCCTCGGAGTCAAGTCGCAACTGCACCTCTTCAAGCAATGCACCCTGGGCATTAACGGTTTTACGAAAAAGGAAACAAACTTGCAAGACGTTTTCGTCTTGCGAAGCAAGCCCATAGGGAAATTCGTCTTGCGAAGCAGCTCAAAAAACGGAAAACCCTTTCGTCTAGCGAGTTTTCCGCCTTGCGAGGCATTCGTCTTGCGGGGCACCACTGTACAGTGTGTGTTACACTTTAGATTGAGGGAAAAAATAGTACGTAGTGATTTTTTGTTGTTCACTTTTGCATGAGTGGGTGAAAGACACAAAAAGTTACAAAATAATTTGACCAATTAACATATTACATTAATCTGCCAGTTGCCCTGTGCCTGCAAGGGGAAAGGGCACTCAGGCCCTATCATTTGGCCAAAGGAACAAGAGTCCCTGCCTGCTATTCAGACAAGAACAGGTGCAAGGGAAGAGCATCTAGTCCCAAATGCTCATTTATAGCTCACCACTTTGTTCTTGCACTGAAGAATTGATCTTCCTTCTCTACCTGTTCACCCTGCTTCCTTTCCCTTGAGTATATTTGAAAGCCTGATGGCAGTGCCTGCCTCTGCTTTATTGAAGCAAGTTGCTTTGGAAGAAAACAATGGTTTGAAAAATGGGATAAATAGGGTTGTAGTTGGCCAGCTGCAGTTGTGCCTGGAGGAAGCAGATATTTGAGACCCATTTTAGTCTGGTTTCAGACCTGGTTTTAGTACCCTTGCTCAGTTTGACTGATTACCTTTATCAGGAAAGATGCAGAGTGTCAGTATCGGTATCAAACTTTATTTTGGTCACAGGTTAAAGGTAAAGGTAAAGGGACCCCTGACCATTAGGTCCAGTCATGGCCAACTCTGGGGTTGCGGCGCTCATCTCGCTTTATTGGCCAAGGGAGCCGGCGTACAGCTTCCGGGTCATGTGGCCGGCATGACTAAGCCACTTCTGGCGAACCAGAGCAGCGCACAGAAATGCCGTTTATCTTCCCGCCGGAGCGGTACCAATTTATCTACTTGCACTTTGACATGCTTTCGAACTGCTAGGTTGGCAGGTTAGCATAAGATAAAACATACGACTTAAAACACACAAGACTTAAAACAGGTAAGGAATAAAAACTAGTAATTAAAAGGTGATTATATTATACATGCGTAAAAACATAGAAACAGAGACAAACAGTTAAAAGTGACTCTAAGGGAGGGAGTGTGAAGGAGCACAGGTCTTGCATTTTGGGCCTAGTTTGTGGCACAAACCATCCTTTGGATGAATATCCATCGTGGCAGTGCAGAATCTAGCAACTGAGTATGTAACATGGGTTTTCATCTTGGAAGTAGCAGGGAGGTATAAAGTTGTTCTGTGTGACCTGGGAATTTATGTAATACAGGCAAGATGAACCTAGCTCGTATATCTGTATAGTATTGGCAGAGAAAAAAGACATGTTCGGTTGTTTCCAGTTGCCCAGAGCCACACGGGCATTCCCTCTCCCCATATGGTGTCTTCCTTTTTTTAAAAAAAAAATAATATTTATTAATAATTTCAAAATTACAGAAAAGAAAGAAAAAAAATTAAAAACAACACCACAATACATAGAAAAAAAAACAAGAAAAAAAACAAGACATAAAAACCAATGCAACAATACAGCAAAAAGATAAAAAAAGAAGGGAAAAAAGACACAAATCCCATATTACATATCTTTAACTTTCATTTGCTTGTTTCATTGACCTCCTCACACCTCCCTTTTTGTATTCTAGTTTGATTGATTATTTCAGCAAGTTCTTTACATCTTTCTCAATTTTTACTAAATAATTTATCTTGACAATTTAACCTATTAATTAACTCAACAAATCCTTTCCATCCTTTCCCCATATTCTGTTATTCAAATTACCTTAAGTTGTTTAACCTTATCTTACCAAAAAATACTTTAGAGTTTAACGCTTAATACTTGATTATACATAACTCCTGATATCTTTTCTAGATATGACTAGAGTCATATAGTTTCATTCCAACATTTTCCCTAATGTTCATTAATTTTAGGCTAATTCCCTAAAAAAAAATTCTTTATAAATTTTCTTCCAATCTTCATCCAACGTCTCTTCTTCCTGGTCTCGGGTCATGTCAGTCCTTACTGTCCATTCCATTTAGTCCATCAACCTGGTAATCTAATGTCCGAGGCCCTTAAGTCTCTTCCATGTCCCTTCTGCAGATCTTCTTGTTTATACTTGCACTTTTCCTTGTCTTTTGTTGGTCTCTTTCTTAGTTTCTTTCCTTTCTCGTTGGGGAGTAGGTCTCTGGGGGATTCCAACCCAAAATTATCTTCGTCTCCCTTCATCCAACCAGCCCATTCCCCAGAGTCCCACTCCCCACAATCATCAATGTAGTACAAAAAATATTTAAAAACATATTTCGAGGTCTCTCCAAAGTTAAGAACCTCCTCAGCTCCAGACTCTCTCTGGCCGACTCCAACTTCAATCTTCAAAGACAGCGGCTTATGCTCCTGTAGGGCCTCGGGTCCCATATGGTGTCTTCCTAAAGCAGCCCTCCTAGATGGCTGAAGGGAGGGCCTGGCAACAGGCCAGAGTGAAAGCTCTTCGCTGTTTTGGAATTTCAAGGTTGGTTATACAGTGGTACCTCGGGTTACAGAAGCTTCAGGTTACAGACTCCACTAACCCAGAAATAGTACCTTGGGTTAAGAACTTTGCTTCAGGAGAACAGAAATCGCACGGCGGCAGCAGGAGGCCCCATTAGCTAAAGTGGTACCTCAGGTTAAGAACAGTTTCAGGTTAAGAACGGACCTCCAGAATGAATTAAGTTCTTACCTCGAGGTACCACTGTATATGGCATCTGGGAGGTGAGGTATTTTCTGGTTTCACTGATTAAAATTTTTGGGGACCTGGCTAGATCTTCTTGGCGTTTGGTATCTTCCACGTGCTGTTTGATGCTTTTTTTGGCTTGTTCATACCCCACGTTGAATAGGATCTGCGGGGTGAAGCCTAGAGTTGTTATTATGTTTATCATTGCACGTTTCCATGTCGTTTGGAAACTGACCTTAAAAGTTAAAGTAGCAAGGAGCAAGGCTTTGGAGACGTGTTTAGGCACTTGTAGGGCTGATCTTAAGAATTTAGATTGTACCAGTACTAATGGCGCACAATTGGCAAGGGGACCTAATTGGGCACCATATACAAGCTGCACAATGGATTTGGCCTCAAACAGTTTGAGGGCTGAAGGTATATATTGTCCGCCTTTAGTCCTGAGGTACCTGAGCATTGCATTTGCGCTTCTCTGGGCATTCCCTACAACATAAACCTTGTAGGCATTTCTACTTTCCGAGGAGTGAAGGGTTATACCCAAATATTTGCATCAGGTGAGCTGCTCAGTCTTATGGCCACTGAGCAATCTTATGGCATGAGCAAGGTTTGGGCCTTTTGGCAAAGCACATGATCTTGATTTTCTGATAATTTAGTTCTAGTTTGCTCTCCTTGCAGTATGCTGCCAGTGTTTTCAAGCCTATAGGAGTTCTTGAGAGGATTGCTGCGTCATCAGGTTCAGAGGAAGTGCAGCCTTGTTGGTGTTCCTTGATCTCCCAGTGACTTTAGACACCACTGACCATGGTGTCCCTGTGGAATGACTTGGGGATGGGGAGTTGGAGGCACCATTTTACTGTGGCTCTGCTCCTATTTGCAGGGTCAGTACCAGAAAGGGCTCCCTTGGGAGGAAGGGTGGAATAGAAACTTCATACATAAAATGCAAAATATATTAATATACAATCTGTGTGCCAGAGTTTCCCATATGGCTTGGGTAGTGCTAGTTTCAACCAAGTGTTTGTGGGCAGAACAGCAAGCCAGGCACCTGTTCCTATGATTGTGGAACCTCTTCCCTTCCTATTGGCAACAAAAATGTTAAATGCATTTATCTGAAGTGCCATTTCAAGGTACAGTTTTTTGAAACAGGTTTCAAGACCTTCCTACTTGATTCAAGTTCCAACTTAACCTTAATTATTCTTTTAAAATAATTGGTATGTTTAATGTCCAACCACAAGATGTTCCCAGATGAATGCATCTTGCTTATAACCATGGACAGTCCATGAGATAATTTCAGACTCATTGGTAGAGTTGCACAATTTTGCTTCCTGGATGCAACTAGAGACTGGAGAACAGGGTGACTCAGTGATTCATAATTGAAACCAATGCTTAATGATGTAATCCAGAGGCCATGGCTGCAGCCATCTATGAAGCTATTCATAACAAGAATAAAACTACTGATCCAAGTGTTTAACAGAGTATCTCTGAATGAGCAACATGCTGTAATTCAGTGATGTCACATTCTGCTTGCATCATTGCTTTCTACAAACAGAATGTGCAACACCCTAAAAAAAAATGCTGTTAAAATTTTGTCATTGGAGTCTGACAATCATTCTTTATTGTCTACCACACAACTGTGGGCTGAGAGCCTATGAGAGGTTGCAAAATACGTGCATGGAGTAATGAATGTTGGGATTCTTGGTATGATCTCTAACTGTTGAGAGAGGTAACATCTCAGAGATCCCCTTTGAGACCCTGACTGAGAACTCTGGAAGTGGCAGATGGGAGAAAGAGCTGCTCCATTCCTGTCCTTTGGGTCATTGCCTCTAGAGTATGAAAATATAACAAATAGGACCAAATCCCACCAAGAAACTAAACAAAGTAACAAATGCAGGGAGGACAGGGAGGGGAAGAAAATGAATATTAGCCAGTCAACAGGTGCAAGAAAAATCGAATTTATTAAGCTTAAACTTCCCCAACATCTCAGCAATCCTGAGTTCCTGAAAGAATGCCTTTCCTCACATTTACCAGCCTGTGTATTGAGAACATATAGTTCAGTATGATTTGCAGGAGTTTCTCAAAAAAATATTCCAGAAATACAAGAAGTCTGCTCTACAGTAACTTGGAGCATGGCTTTCAGTATGTCTTCCCCTGTTCTGTGGAATGGCATTGTGGCAGAGACATGAAAGGCACCCAGAATCTGTACCTTCCAGAAATAACTGAATACGTTTTTGTTTTGACGAGCATTTCCATCTGGATAAAAAAGCCTGTCTTAGGTTTAAGAACAATACAAAATTAACCCCTATCTTCAGTTGTTTTTGTGCAGTCTTTAAAATGATTTTAACTGGGGGGGGGGGTTATGGTGTGTCAATAAATCACCTTGAAATGTATGTAGGTGATTCATAAATTGTTATTAATAGCAAGAACTCATCAAAAGCCTTCTTCTGGGTGCAACTGCATTCCAAAGTAAGGCAGATGGTGACAAGGAACAGGACCCTTTAGGCTGTGGCACTATCTTTCTTCCAGAATTAGATGGCATGCTCCTTAGAGGCAGGAATCACTATATGTTTTTGTCTATACAAGGTTATGTATTGGTAAGTTTATTTTCGTTTAATTTGAACTATTTCAGTGTTTCAAATTATTGAGCAATGGTTGAACTTCTAGATGGTCCCACTCCTAAAAGACCTGTACTTTGTCAGCTGTATTGGCTGGAAGTCTGTTTCAAGGCCCAATTTAAAGGGCTGGCTTTAAACCTTAAAAACCTGAATTGCTTGGGTACCTAAAAGGACACTTTTACCTATATGCATTCACTTGAACCTTAAGATCATCTTTAGAGACCCAGCTCTTAGTTCCCCCCACTAAATGAAGTGAGGTAGAGAGCCACCTTTTTGGTACTAGCACATTATGGAACAACCTTCCTGTTCCATACACCTCTTTGTGCTAGGTGCAGCTCCCAAATAACTTGCATCTTATGGCCTGATCCTGATTTTTTTTTAAATAGAAAAACACCTTTTCTAATTGCTTTTATTATTGTACATTTTAATTATTTGTGAGCCACCCAGTTAATAAACGTTAAACGTTAAAACGTTAAACGTTAAAAAAATATTCTGAACATGATGGGCAGGGGTGCTCATTATCCAAATCAGCCAGGTGGGCCCTATGGACAGGCAAATGGATTTGTGTGGTAGGGTGTGAGAAGAAGGCCCGAGGGATAACTATCCAAAATACTCTGCATGTTTTTCTTCAGATCTGTCTATTCTCATGTGCAGCAGGGAGATACAAGCCAATGTAGTAAAATCTCCACATACTTGACAACATGGCTGCTTTCAGGTTGGTCCGCAGATTACAGAATACGCTTTTTAGAAGAGGAACTGATTTTTATTTTTTTAAATGGAACACTAGCCTAGCAGAGTTTACTGAGACAAACTGGAAGTCTGTACAACTCACTGTTGGGTGAAATAAAGTTAAAAAACACAACAACACTGAAGGTTTATCATACTGGTTCACACCATCAAAAAGACTCTTCCTTTTTAAAAAAATAACTAGGAATAGAAACTTAAAACTCATAAAAAAACCCAAAAACATGGTACAATGAGATGGTTGGGTGGAAAACCAAAAATTGGCCTAGATTCTAAAATGTAGAAAAAGTTCCGTAATTGCTTCTGGTATGTGAAGATAACAGTCATTTGAAAGAATATCATCATGTGTGTTTTTCTGTACTTTTATTTTTGCCTAAGGCCTAAGAGTCAATGCAAGTGAAGTTTGTAGCTGAGACTGAACTTTCCACTTGACACCGATGGAAAGAGCTAATCCTGTTATATCTACACTGAATCATCTAAGAGGTATACCAGATTGAAGTGTTAACCTCCTGACCTTTTCTATAACTGTTTTAATTTGCTATGTCTGCAAATGAGGAAGTTCAGTAGAACAGTCTCAGGATAACTAGTAGTGTTTACAGGAAAACTGCAATTTTAAAAGGATTTGTAAAGCTGGAATGAAGTATTTCCTGGGGGAGTGAAGGCAGGGAGATGGAGGAGAAAGAGAGCTACACACTGCAGCAATTTTAAGAGGTGTTAAGAAATATTAGTTTTATTTTAACCAGTTCACAGCTGAATATTTATTCTATAAAAACTTTACAGATTGTACAGTTTATATATAGTTCAAACTACTAGAACAACAAAAAAAGTAGGTCCCACAGATGCAAAAATACTGTACCAATCCAAGGTAAAAGCAGATTTACACACTGTACAACTCTCCACTAGGATGAGGTGGTCAGGCTCCAAGTATAAAGTTCCAAACTGTACAAAAATAATGTTTGATTCCTTCCCCCCACCCACCCGCCCCCATTCTTCATACATTCAGTAAGATTGCAAACAGATACCCAAGTATAGATATCTGGAGTCAGGAATCATCACACACCCCTGAAAGGAATGCAAAATAGGTATTGTTTACAAAGGTCACTCTTGTGCATCAATACTGCATATTTTATGCATGCTGATCCAATAATGGCAATCTGCACATGGAAAACAAGCTTTCATGGGCATAGTGCCTTTCTGGATGCAGTCCCATGAGCACAAAAGGGCACTGTGTGGGGGGCGGGGGCAGGGAAGAGAAAATTGCATCCAGCATCTGGGTGGTTGCAGTGTGGTACTCTTGTATCAAGTATGCACTGCCAAACAGATGGATGATTCTTCTAACTTGAAGGCAGAGGAGCCGATTCCAAGAACCCACTCTGACATGAAATCAGCTGACAGTGCTGATCGTCTGGCAGTGGAGATCCTCATCCACTGCAGAACGCATGCAGCCTGCTGCTGCTTCGTGGAAAGATCTCTGGATCAGGGCCATAGTGTATAATTCAAACTAAAAACAAAAGATATTAAACATCTAATATAAGGTAAGGTTTTTTTGTTTTTTTTGTAAAGAAAGGGAATATTTAATAGTGTGCCAAAAGAAATTTTAACTTATTAAATAAAATAAAATACATTTTTTGGTGTAATTCAAACAGAAGAACAAAAAGAGCAAACCAAAGAACCAAAAAACAACAACAAAAACTTATATAGAGTTGTTTTCTCACCCAGCAACAGAAGCAATTATGTAGTTAAAATAATAAAACCCGCTAAGACTAAGCTATCCATAGTATATATGGTATTTCAGTGATTCACTAATACTGCAAATGAAGCTTCTTTTTCAATGACAGACTGGCTTCTTTATGCTCTCTGGGTAGGAATTGGGCATCCTCCCCCAAACAAGAAGGGCTGAGTGTTTTTTATAGCATAAATCCTGAGCACACTCATTTTTTTAAGGAGGTGGGGAATGGGGGGGGGGCAGGGAGAAGAGACAGAGAAAATAGACCATTTAATTACAGGGTTTTCTTTTAAAAAATAATTGTTTGTTTTTTTCTGAATGCATCATTACTTGAGGTATTTAGAACCTTCCTCAGAATTCAAGGCAATGCCTTCTTCTCAACTAACTCTTTTTGGGCAGTGAAAGTAAGGGCTGGCCAATACCCGTTTCAATTCTGTACTCTAGTGAAAAAATATCTCATTGCTTCAGGACCTTCCTGCCACATACAAAATAACGCAACACCTCATTTTATCCACCTTTTTCTTCCGATACAGTACTAGCCAATGATAAAGTAGAAGACAAAAGTTTGGTAGTGCACTCCATTATAGTTTTTTTTTTAGTTCGTGTATATAAAGAAATATAATATATATATTTATAATCTATATATGGAGAAAGGAAATTTGTTCAATGCTTAACATACAGTACTTCTTTAATTTTTTTTTAAAAAAAACCTTGACAATAAAAAGAAGTTCTCCTCAAGCTTTAGTCCCACTCTTTTCTGAGCGTTGGACTTTTAAATTCGTTTAGAGCATCCATAAAACCCAGATGTCCCAAAGTAAATACAATTCCAGTGTCAATGAGCATCTCTTCAAAATTCATCAATCTTCCTCTGCAAATATTTCAACATTGAGTCCATTCCTTGAGCAGAACCCCAAATTTTCTTTAGAACTTCACACTCCTTGTCATTTGCTTGTTCCAAGTCCACCTTCATAATACTACGAACTAAACCTTTGGATTCTTCAAGTACCTACATAAAATGAAGAAGATACAATAAGCATGTGGTGATACGAAACAGGAAATATGCCGTGGTTAGGCATAGTGCAAAGATGAGTGTGTGTTGTACACTCATTGGTTAGGGCAGGTGGCTTCATGTCGTGGGTGGAGGACACTGCTCCCTTTGCAATATATGAGAGGAAGGGTGAAGCTCAATGGCAGCTATTCTGTTGCAAATGACAATTTTAATGATCATTTTGGCTGCTGTACGTTTTCACTGTATATATTGATGGAGGCCACCATCCAATATATCAATACTTATATAAATAATTAAATTATAAGAGAAAGAGAGCAGGTAACAGGCGCTGCAAACAGAGGCACCCCGCCACCAAACACAATACATAGCCACACTAAGGGAGGAGACAGATCACTGAGGGACGGGAGAACTGAATTTTACCCATTCCTGTGTTAAGTGAATGGCTACCATTTGTTTCCATGAGGGAAGGGAATCAAGGCATGCATAGTCTTCGAGTGGGGGTTAACCCCTCTCTGCATTTACCTGATCTGCTTTCTGTTTCTCAGCCATGCTTGAGAGGGATGGAATGTTGGGAAATGGCTGGCTAACATGGACAGAGAGAGACTTGAGGAGTCCCTAAGCTTTATCCAGGGTGGCGCTGTGGGTTAAACCACTGAGCCTAGGACTTGCCGATCAGAAGATCGGTGGTTCGAATCCCCGCGACGGGGTGAGCTCCCATTGCTCGGTCCCTGCTCCTGCCAACCTAGCAGTTCGAAAGCACGTCAAAGTGCAAGTAGATAAATAGGTACCGCTCTGGTGGGAAGGTAAACAGCATTTCATTGCGCTTCTCTGGTTCACCAGAAACAGCTTAGTCATGCTGGCCACATGACCCGGAAGCTGTCTGCGGACAAACGGCGGCTCCTTCGGCCAGTAAAGCGAGATGAGCGCCACACCCCAGAGTCAGCCACGACTGGACCTAATGGTCAGGGGTCCCTTTACCTTTACCTTTATCCAAGGACAGCCCAGCCTCCTCCACCTCAGCTTTCCCAACCTGATCAGGAGGGTCTGAAGGGGAACTGTGAGCAGGCTCAACTAAATGTGTTTACCGTTCACTGCACAATCAGGGACATTACGCACAATCATAATATTTGGTAACTAGAAAGATGTAATTCTTCCTCCAAGTTAAATAGGCCATTGCTCTCTTTGTCTGCCACATGGAGTGTAGAAATGAGCAAGTCATGAGCACCTGTCAGATGGATGAAGGGAAACACCTCAAAGCTGGTGGTAAGGTCGTCTACGCCAGCCGGCATAGCTTGCTTATCCTGGCCCAGCCAGCTAAGCTGAATGCAAGCCCCTTCAAAAGGAGTGCAACCAGAGGGTTAAGAAGTAGGCTTCAGACATCTGAAGGCAGCCCTGTTTAGGGAAGCTTTAAAAGTTTGATGGACTATTGTATTTTAATATTTTGTTGGAAGCCACCCAGAGTGGCTGGGGAAACCCAGCCAGATGGGCAGGGTATAAATAATAATTTATTTATTTATTTATTTGTTTGTTTGTTTGTTGTTGTTGTTGTTGTTGTTGTTGTTGTTGTTGTTGTTGTTGTGACCTAGCAACTTGGCTTGTTTTCCTTCCGCAGAACAGCAGCAGCTGCCTCACTGCTGAACAGGATTTGGATCTGGTGTAACTCTATGCTGACAACTTACACCAGCTTGCTTTATGCAGGCTTCCTGTGCATACAATTGCTCCCCAAATGCCTTAACTGTGCTGGAACCCAGGTGTGTGAGTTTAAGAATTATGACAGAAAAATAGTATTTTCAGTAATGATTATGTAACGCAGAAAAAAACCAAATAATGTTTGTTGCATCTCTGACTCTGGTTCATTAATAAGAAGCTCAACCTATGCATGGCATAGCCAAGAGGGTTGCATTGAATACTATTTTTTATTATGTAAGTAGGACTTATGCAGGGTGGAACCCTGTAGATTTAACCCTAAATATTTCTTTGTTGTGATGGCAGGGTGGTGGGGGGTTGGTTATTTTTGGTCTGTCTTATCCAAGCAAATATAAACAGAAACAAAACACCACTATGGACACTCTGTTCAAATATCAAAGCAGTTAAAAGGAGCTCTTTCGATCTACAGTTTAGAACAAGATATTTTTGGCTAGCTACCTCAGTACAACTGTGATCCTTACTCTAAAATGTAAGACTAACTTTATAAAGCTGCCGAACTTCACTTTCCAGATTTATATAAAAATTCCCACAACATGTGAAAGAGCTTATTTAAAAGCTGTATTACAAGTGTGGACATTAGGATAGTTAAATGTTCATGGGATCAGTTCACACTCACTCCCCCCTGATGTAGTTGGGCATGACTTTATGCAGATACAACAGCTATTCTTGCATTCATGGCCACTGGGGAAAATGCTGGCATAATTACGGAAATTGCTTCTACCTGCATATTTTTAAATTTAATTTAATTATTGTTTGATTTTATACC